TACTTTTGACTTCTTTCCATAAGTATGATGATAATTCCTAAGAGAATATGGACTTACAGGGAAGAGAATAACCAAGTCTCCGCAGTGTTGTAATTAGTATTTTCCGTATTTCAGTTACGCCCCACTTTAGTGGTACGTATTGATATTTATAATAATATTTCAGTAATTATTATTGAATTCCATATCACTGAGAGTATTCAATATTTTAACAATATTGAATATCACTAGCAATATACTGAAATACGGGAATTTACATATTTTCAATAATCTTTTTCCTTATTAGGCTTAAACTCATTTAAAATATGTAATATTCCATGGAAATATGCAATATTCTAATGAAAATATGTGATATTCCCGTATTTCAGCATATTACCAGTATAATCCTTTCGTACAATACGTACGGACGTGAATATCATTGGCTATTATACGTACTAGCGTACGTATTTTACTCCTGATATCAGCCACAGTATTACTACCGTATACTAATTACAACACTGAGTCTCCGCTCCCCAAAACCGCATTTCTCTGCTTTGAAATTCTGAGGAGAGGGGGGTGGGGATTTGGTGTGTCAGATGGGGAATCCGAGTATACTGATGGCGATGTAACTGAATGATATAGCGATAAAGAGATACTGTTCACCGCTGTCTTTAATGTATTTTTATTGTTACAAAAGTTTGAGACGATAGTAAGTCAAGCTATCAAACTTACTCTAGAATTGTTCTACAACTCGAAATATCTTCCAAACGATAATCAGAATCGAAGAAAAACATTACTTTGACAATATGATACCAGCAAGCAAATATTCTTTCCCAACATACCAACTTGGTTATATCACTAGAGAGGAAAGGTAGGTGAAGATAGTGCAATATTTAACCAAACCAGATCCTTCCATCCGCAAGGTCCTTCCTAAGCCGCAATTCAGTCTCATTTCAGTCGAAGATGGATTAGATGATTCGCTCCCCTTAATTTAGCGAATCATTTTCAAGGTAATTATCAGAACTGAGATATCTTCACTTAGAATTGACTCTCTACTCTGTACTCTCTACATAAGTCCAGCGTGTTGACTCATTGGGGGAGTTGTAGATGCCAGCATACTAAGTACAAGCTCGGTATATAAGTACCCATAATATCTCATTCACGCTCATATTCATAGCAATTTGAACAATGTGAGTTGAAGTGTAAGGAACATCAGTTTCCAGTATGCTTGCTATAGAGATCTAGCCAAAAGCTTAGGACAGCGGATCGTAGGAGAAGCGAGAGAGAAAATGCAGGGTTATGAATTTAACACTTTTCATTCTCTATTGTCGTCGCAAAAACTATCGGATTTCGTTTACCACCACTACACATCTCTCGTTGTCACATATATTGTATTCTCTACCATCAAAATATACACGCACTAGCATAAGCAAATCATACAAACCCTTTCACCCACCAATATCTAATCCTTCCTCTCAACAGCTCTCTCCTGGCAGAAAGGGCGGAACACACACGTGTTGTCCCAGCTCGAAAAGATGCTTTCTACTCGTAGTCGGTATTCACAGTCCTCATTCTTTATTCTCTATCTTTGACACCACACTTTGAAGAGTTTCTGCAAAAGAAAGTCATCGTTATATACTTAGGTAATGATCATATTTGAAAACCTTGGAACTTGAACATTGATAAAATATAACTGCACTCGCGATTCCTTTCGTCTCGCTTCTGGCTTCTCGATTTTAGATTTTTGCCTGTCTTGTACCTATATAAAGCTATGTTTCCTTTCAGTTATTGTCGTGATATGCTACCCAATGGACTCGAGAGTGACAGGCCTAGGGCTGAAGCAGTACTTCGGCTGCTGCACTCCTCGTGCAAGGTCAAAATTAGATAAAGATAGATTCTTTAATGATAGAAATAGGAAATCTTACGAGCAGAAGAGAAGAAGAAGAAGGGAAATGAGGATTCAATGATTGCTGATCTCTTTTCTATCCTTGTTGTTAGTATCAGTTTGAAGGGTAGGAATGAAAGAAGGTAATGAGTAGGTGAGAAGAAATTAAAGTGGTTAACTTTGCCAAAGGGGAGAGAGAGGTTCTGCTGATGATCCGAAAATGAAGATAAGTGTTGTCGTCGTTGTAATTTTCATCATCGTTAGAATCACAACGTCAAGATGCACCTTATATGCTTTTCTTATGTCTTTCAAAACTTTGATTGTCGATTATCAGAAAGGGAGTATTAAGAGTTTATATACATACATAACAAATGCACGAGAGGATGAGAGGAGTAGAAAATCAAGGAAGTGTAGATAAAAGATAGATTAGATAGAAGTGGAACAAGATGGAATTAATTTACATCTCTCTCTTATCTCATCTCCCCTATTCCCCGTCTTAATCTTTATTTTCCCACCTTCACCCCTATATTCAAATTCAAATTCAAATTCCCTAAAAATTAGAGAACTAGACAGATGAGATTATAATTATCCAACTCCCTCATATCCATCCATCCACACGTCAATTCATCCTCATCTCCTCCCAAGACCCACCAAACGCCCAACTAATCAGATAGATACTCAAACAAACATCACGAAATCCAAATCTATCACTCTCAAAATGCTTTTAATGATTCCGCAGCCGCATAATTGTATAATCTCATATGGAGATGAGATATAAAAGCGTTTATTCATCGAAAAATTCCCAGATGTATAGTCTATACATACTAGATGAGGGATGGGAGAAATGATGGAAATAAATATCTAGATATACATATATACACACACACACATATATATATATGTAATTACATTTATACATAGTACTAGTTATCATATTTGTTTATCATCGCTAGCTGAAATAATCTAGATATAAACCTACATATATAATAATAAGATTCTATTCTGTTTTATTATTATTATTATATTATGATCGAGAGTAGTAGTACATCTCAATTTCAATTTCAATCTTTCCTATCTTGATAAGTAGGGAGAAAGAATATAATACAGATAGAAAATAGTTATCCTTAGATATACTTCATATTATATTTATCCCTTTTGAAATCTCTCTTCTTCTAGTTGTTCAAAGCCCACTTCCACATACTAGGTATATATATAAAGAAGACTGATTATAAATTCTGGGCCCCCTGAAAAAATGTCAGGAAAAGATATTCATTCATACATCTTAGATACCTATGTATTCACATTCACATTCACATTCGAATTGAATCCAACTCAAAACATGAGTCAGTCATCACAAACCTCAAACCCAATAAGCTACATCTAAGCCCCCTCTCTGGCATATATTCGGGCTCTGATACGAGTGATCACTAATAGGTACCTAGTTTCTCGGTAGTGTGTCCTGTGTATCTAATCTAGGTATGTGCAGTGCAATACATTGTGATTACTGGATGAGAAGGAATAGAGTTCGGAGCGAAAAGTATTGGGGCTTGGAAGTAACAGTGCGGGAGTTTGGGTTTGGGGTCTGGGTTTTTGCTTTACGTAAAGGGAGGGGGGTGTGTGGTGACTTTTGACCTGATTTGGGATGGGGTGGAGGGAAAAGAAGGGAGGGGTGTGTTAAGAATGTATTGAAATGAGAAAGAAAAGAAAGAAAGGAAAGGAAAATGAGACAAGGGGTCTGAAGAAATTGATCTCTGTGAGTTGTGTGAGTGAGGGTGAGATGGAGATGGAGATACAAAAGTAAGGATTAGGGGTATGCGGGGCCCCGGATTCGTGGACAGTTTTTGATGGTTGGGGAAATTGGAAGGCAGGTAAGTATATGTGCTGTAATATGACACAATATCAGAACTCTTTATGTACTCCGTATACTTTTGAAATATTGATAAAAACAGCAACCTGGATATATGTATCTACCAAGTACACATTCTTCTGTTTTCATTAAATCCTTCGATCTTTACTCAACTAGGTAGGTGATTAACTCATGTACTCATGATTCATGACTCGAAAGAACAAGTTTTATTTCCCTCCACGTCTCCATACTAGGGATCAATCAACCTACATACTCTCCGACAATGATCCATCAAATCACGTTACAGATATCCTCGTATATGTATAGCTAGGTATGTATTTTCTTCCTATTGCGATGATGGCGATGAGCGATCATTTCGCTAATGATTGGAGGGGTTTATCATTACCTTGGTGGTGGTTGAACCGGTGGTATGTTTCAGCAGGTGCGTTGGTAGGTAGTAATCAATACATACCCAGTAAATAAACGAGAAAATGCATAACACAACTCAGGTCCTTATTATTTATTTTCTCACGTACTTCAGCAAATACCTACCAAGTGATAAACACTTCACAAACTCTCCTCCTCTCTCCCTCCATCCCAGACTAAAATTCCCTCATTCATTTCCTCCCCATCCAAACCCTAATTGCCCATCCAACCCAATCCAAAATCCGCCCAAAAACAAACATCTCACACCACATCACCTCACACGACATCTCAGCCAATCCCCATAATTACCCCAGATCCTTCCCCCAACACCCGAAGCTAAGTGGATATCTTCTCCTAAATAAGTGGGTCTTTCCACTATATTCTGCATAAATCCCCAGATTACGCATTTGCGGCGTTATTAGCGATATTCAAACGGGGTTAGTGGCTTGGTGTTACCCCGCACGATGGACCAGTTAGATGCGAGGGCTTGAAACAGGAGGTTTGGGGTGGTATGATATGATATGGTGTGGGCTGAGAAGGGAGGAGGTACTTATGAGGAGGTATCTTCTCGTTGTTGAGCCGGATTTGTTTTCTCTTCTTCTTTTATTATCTCAAGTACAATCAATACATTGCGAGACATTACAATACAATCAATACACCGTTTATCAAATTCAATACGATAAATACCTCACCTACCTTACTACACAATCGATTTGATATCATTCATCAAGAGTAATATCAATATCAACATCAATATCAATATTAATATCAACGACAACTTCAAATTCATCACTTGAAGCCTCCAATACATCACAACACGATCAATCACAGAATCTACGAAATAACACATACTACAAACCATTCACCATGGTTGCTGTTACTGGAGTTGTGACTGCTGGTGGTAAGTTTCCATTTTATTGTCTAGATGTGATGGGTTGATATTATGGGTTAATGTGTGTTGTTGTGTCGCTTTGTTGTTCATGTTTATGGGTTTTATCGCATATATCGTGACAACGTATCATCATCACTATTATACAACATATCCTCTTCATTCTCATCTCCATCTTCCTTTCTTCCTCATCATTCCCCTCCCCATCCATACCCCTCACCCTCAAACATCAAAACTAATACTCCCCTCTAGCCTCAGCACTCGGTCTCGCCGCTGCCCTCGCCTCCATGCATCTCCCCGCCAAAACCTACCGCGTAGAACGCACCCGACGTCTCTCTCAACCTGCCGATCAAGATCAGGGTGAAATGGCACGCTTAGCTTTGCAAAAAACAAACTCTGCGGGTTCGATTACGGAGAAGACAAAGAGTGGCTTTCAACCGGGGAAGAAGGTTTTGGGGAGAGTCAAGGAATAGATGTTTGATGATGATGATGATGGTTATGATATGAATATGGGTTATGGATACGGTTATGGGATGGATATGGATACTGGTATGAACGGATGGATATGGATATGCTACTATGAAATCATGATACGAGCAGTGAGTTACCAGACTGACTTGACTTGATTTGAATGGGATCTTCATAATTGTCATGGAGTTGACATGACACATGGGATGGGATAGGATGGAGTTTTCTTTGCTTTGGGTTACATATTGTCACACATACATACACACATACATACACACATACATACTCACAACATAAATGAGAAATCGACACAAGTCTAGAAATAGATAGATTTTCCTTCGTCTCATGGTTTGATGGAGATGAAATGGGATGTAAATTAAATTTCGCTCGTTCTGGTATTAGGAAGTGGGAACAAATACAATGAATGATCAATGATTTTTGAAGATCTTGGGATTGGATGGCGTGTGATTGTGAATATGGAATATATACACACTTTAACTTTTCCATATTTAATATTAACATCAACATCAACATCTAAAGAGAGAAAGAGATAAATACCCTTTTCGAGTAACAGAGTAAACAAATGAATGATTCTTCAAAGCAGAGAAGAGAACGAGTTGAAATCAGCTGACATGACGTGTCTGAAACCGGAAAATTCGGGATCCCAATAAGAATCTGAGTTTGAGTTTGATTTTGAGTTTGATTTGAGGGGCTGGAATGTCGTGATGTATAGATTGGTAGACAGGTGGGTAGGTATGTATGTATGTATGTATTTATGTATAGGGTAGGGTTGATATCGATATTATTATTGAATCGGATTAATTAAGTATGTGTATATCTATGTATTGTTGTTATCTCTTATAAAGTAGACACATACTCACATACTAGGTAGAGATATTCAGGTGTATCTTTCAGGTGAAGATCTATTTTGTATATATATATATAATAAATATCATTATAATCATAATCGAGAATTACAATCCATTTCGATAAACTTCAACTAATGAATCATCTAAGCAAAACCAACCAACCAATGCAACACATCGCCACATTCGTTTAACCAACCATCTAGATCCCACCTACCGATACTTTCTTAAAATCGCCACTCCCTTTTCCTTCCCTTCACTTCCCTTCCCTTCCCTTCCTTTCATAATCACCCACTAAACCCTTACTGCAAAAATAACAATACCCCTTAAATCAACCCCCCAACCCATTCAACCACGCCCAATCATCTTCAAATCCCGCCGTAAGATTACTCGCCCAATCAAAATCAATCGATGTCCATTCCATCTGTATTTGTCTCTGTCCCTGTATATCTACCGGTACTTCTCTCGCTTCTCCAAGCGTACCGGTATCTTCATATCGCGTGTTTGTATTGTGATGATTTGATTCATCTCCGTTTCGCAAGTCCTCATGATTTGGATTGGGATTGGGATTGGGATTGGGATTGGGATTAGTCTCTAGCGAAAATGCAAATGGGCCACTCTGACTCTGCGTTTGCATTTTCGCAACAGCATCAACCGTAGCTTCAACAGAATTATAATACTCCCCCGGCGAAATCGTAATCACACCTACATACGGCACCACGATTTTCGCATACGGATTCCCCGCTGAGAATATCTCACCATCACCTCTCCCTCCCTCCTGTTTCCTCGGGCAATTTTCCCTCCCCATCTGCATCAAACTTTCTAATCCCTGCACCGCTTGTTTCGCGACTAAGTTCCCGAGTGAATTTCCCGCTTGCGTGAGCGTTGCGATCGTGCGCGCGATTAACTCTCTATCATTATGTTCATCTCTTCCTCCATTCTCGCAACTTCCGTAGCCGAGCATGCTGAGGATTAAGAGGGTCGAACAGACGAATGCTTGGTAGTCGATTAATTTTACCATTTCAAATGCGCTGTGCATATCAGAGCGCATGATGTGCCAAATTCGTAGGAGGTTTCGTGCGGCGGTGAGACATTGTGTGCGATGGGTTTCGACGGTGGGATCGAGGATGGATTGAAGCATGAGGGGCATGTGGAGGAGGACTAGGAGGTGGTAGTACCAACATTGGGCGGTGATTTGTTCGAGGTATTCTGGACGAGAGATTTTGTTTTTGGAGAGGGAGGTCTGGGGGTCCCAGAATGAGGGGGGAAGGGTTTGGGTTATGGTGAGGAGGAGGGTTTGGATTTTTTGGGTGTGGGGGATGGAGAGCTGTAGACCGCGTTGGTTTCGATCGATTACTTTGGAGGAAAGGATTATGAGATTGTGGTGGAATTGTGCGGTGGGGTTATTTTGATTGTGGGTGGTAGGAATGGTACGACCATCTGCAGCATAAGGAAGACCGAGAAGAAGTGAGAGATATACATCTCCTGCGCACAATGAGAGCCAAGATTGTATTCTTTGATTTCTTTCGAGGGTATTCTTGTCGGTGGAAAGATTTGGACGGTGGAGATTAAGAAGTTGGCTATAGGATATTGCTTGGTGGGTCAGAATCCAGCATTTTCTGTTTAGTCCTAGATTCACTGACGAAGTCAGTATTTTTGGATTTGAAGGGTATTTAAGTTAGAAATGCTTAGAAGATAATATGGGTTTTGGAAGTCCATTCCTATAATATAGTATGGAAGAAATTCGAACTACGATTTCATCTTCTATATCCTAGTCTGCCTCCACGGCAGTGGCCGCCGGAGGGCCAGCGGAGCGTCATTTTCAATTGGGTTTTATTTATGGGGGCAAGCCCCCAAACCCCCTCTAGCTCGCTGCGCTCGAAAAGCTTAGATCGCAGATACATTTTGGGGGGGTTGAAGTCAAAACCTGGAGTCAATGAACTCTCATTGAGTCAGTTATCGGCTCAGGCTTGAATTCTTCCAAGATCAAAACTTATCGAATCTGATCTGAGATTTCCTTCGGTAGGGAAATACGGATGATTACCAAAAGTAGCAATCTAGAAGATTATGCTTCCCCACCAACAAAAAAAAAGAAATCAAAATTACATACTATAAATCTTAGCCGCAAAAACAATCGTCTCAATACCCTCCTTTGTACTAGCATAATCCCATCGTTCACAATGAGTCTCTCTACTTTTTCAAAGTATTCCTGGAAAAGTGTACCAGGTAAGGAAGGAAGTTGACGAATAATATACTGATGGATTCTAGTATCTAATTGTTGAAGACAAACTGCGATACAAAGTATTGCTATACCGATAATTGACGGATCAGGTGATTCAAGGGCCCGGAGAATAAAATCGGGAAGTGTTGAATTTGCGTTGCCGGTTGATGATAGGAGTGAAGAACCAAGTGGTCGCCTGTTGGGATTTTAGTAATTAGAATCAAGTAATGATTGGGACTCAAAAATGCTTTTACCATGTATACCACCAGGAACATGTTGCGTTGACTACTATTTCACGGAGTGCTGGGGAGATAAGACCAGAAAGTAGTGATTCACGAGTACGAATATGTTTCTTTGCAGTTGCTGGATTTCCAGCTTTGTCAAGCTTAGAAATGCGTTCAGGAATCAAATCAGAGCCATGGCTTCTCCACTATTTGACATCTTAGTAGCTGAAAGTTTGAGAAAAGTAGGAAAAGCAAGGCTCACAATAGCGTTATCGAAAAGTGTAATGATGGGATCGATATCCTGAGAGGAAGTTTTATCGACTGAAGCTGAAGTCTCAAGTGATGATGGAGTAGACACTGGCGTTCGTTTCGCCCCCAACTCTGACGAAGGGGATTCCGGACTGAGCTTATTCTCCCGTACATCTCCCAAGTCAATATTAAAATTCCTATTCACCTGATCAGGAGCAGTACTACCACTCTTCCTACCATATTCTTCAATAACCGCTTCAAGTCTCTTAATCTTCTCTCTAAGACTCTCTCGCGTATCAACGTTTCCCGCTTGAATCAATTCTCTTCTTTGCTCCGTACATCTTCGACCCTTCAATTCACAATTTCCACATATGATAGATTCTTTCGTGAAATTACATCGAACTTTTCGTTTACGACATTCGAAACAACTATGTGTTCCTTTTCGCATACCTTTTTGAAGGGTGGGGTGAGATTGAGGTGGCATTTTCACGTGAATTCCTTTGAGAGGAGGGGTCCGGATGATTTTTCGTCCATGATAGATGAAAGCGATCGGTTTGATTATAAACAACAACGATAGTTCTACCGTTTAATATTGGACGATTGATCAGGAGGTGTATGAGTATTTACTAACCTCGTCGGGACTAGATCATAAGCACAAAAGTGACCTCGTCCGAACTTTCGTCCGAAGCATTGTTCAATTGGTTCAGACTCTTACATAAGCGTCCGAGCTGAAGACTCAATGTACTTCTCAGACATATCCTCCGTATTTTCGTCCGCTTTTGATTGTTAATTTGTAATTTGTGTGGTTGCAGGAGTGCTAGTTGCATGAAAATAAATATAATGACGCAGATGATACCATTGTGTTCCTGCCTGTTACTGGTACATATATATATGTGTGTACCTAACGATATACCTCTCTCAGTTCTCGTTGTATTCTCCTTCATCAACCTTTTATAGGCTTCTATACCTGTTCGTAGAGACGAGCATTGAATTTCGTGCGTGAATATATTGTTTTTTTCTCTTATATTTTTGCTCCAATCAACATCATGGGCTGGTTCACCTCCTTCCTATATTCCCAATTATTCGTCGCTCTCCCTATCCCCACCCGCGACTTCACAGATGAAACCATAATCATAACCGGATCCAACACCGGACTCGGTCTCGAAGCCGCTCGTCATGTTTCCCGTCTCAATGCCCACCTCCTAATCCTCGCCGTGCGTTCTCAGTCCAAAGGCCAAGCCGCAAAAGCATCCATCCTAGCCAGTACCGGTCGTCCGGAATCCAGTATCGAAGCCTGGTCTCTGGATATGCAATCTCCATCGTCTATTCAAGCTTTCTGCGCAAAAGTCAATAAACTTCCCAGAGTTGATGCCGTGCTTGCTAATGCGGGGATCATGACGAAATATTTCAAGCTGGTGGAAGGATATGAAAGTACGGTTATGACGAATGTAATTGGGACTTTTCAGTTAGTCTTGGGGATTTTGCCGAAATTGAGAGAGTCAGCAAAGGAATTCAATATCCAGCCTAGAATTTCGATTGTCGCTTCGGATTTGCATTATATTGCCAAATTCAAAGAAAGGAAAGAGAAGGATATTTTCAAGGCGTTGAACAATGAGAAGACATCAGAACTAGATTTGGAAAGGTTAGCCATCCTTCATCTCTACCCTCACTCAAAAACACCCTTTCTAAAAACTCCATACTAACAACAATCAGATACTCCACCACGAAACTTCTCCAAGTCTTCGGAGTCCGCGAGCTAGCTCAAAAACTTACTCGTGACCCGGAATCCGTATCTCCATCTGTCATTGTCAATTGCATGACGCCCGGAGCTTGCAAATCCGATTTCTTTCGCGAAGATAGAGGATTTGATAGATTCAAAAATTGGCTCTTGAGTACTCTGCTTTCACGTAGCACGGAAGTAGGAAGTCGAGCTTTGGTGGCGGGAATTGCGGCGGGGGAAGAAAGTCATGGAGAATATATGGCTGATTGTTTGATTGCCGAGTATGTATCTCATTTTTACTGTCTGTTTTGTTTCCTCGGAATGAACGGGGGATAATGGATTGTTCTCAAAGCGAAAATTGCTAATGCTAAGTATAGGACGGGCCCACTTGTGAGAGGACCGGAGGGTATGAAGTTGCAGAAGAAGGTATGGGAACAATTAGGGAGGGAACTGGAGAGAATTCAACCTGGTGTTTCCTCAATCATCTAGTGGTAGAAATCTCGAGGCAAGGCAACACGAAGGTGGAGAATGGGAAGGAACAATTTGTTTATAGAAAGAAGCTTGTGGTTTTGTTGCTGCGTCGAGTGGCGTGGATAGATCTGTTGTTAGATCGAGAATATGTATAGTATGATTATTACCTACTCGTTTGGTTCGGTATATCTCCTTTGAAGCAACCCAGAATCGAACAAACAAATGAGACATCGAGAAAAGTCCGCCAAGTGGCAAACGAGGAGATGTATGAACCGAACTTGTCATTACCCAACACCTAGGTACTTATAAAAACGAGAAGGTCGCTCTACTTCAAATTACTACATTCCAAGATCATCCATCAGCGAATCCCACCCATCAAACCGGTCTCACAAAATCCAATCATACTACTCGAAATCCAACATCAAACCTTTTCTCTTTACCATAAAAATACATCCATTCTTTCAAATAAACCCAAAATTATTGCACACCCATTAATTTTCAAACAACAAAGTACTCATGCGAAATATTCAGTTTAGAATATGTATCTCGCACTATTACCCAGCCAAACGCCCTGTACTTTGTATTTTGTCTATTTCAGCCCGTCCCATCCAATTGTATCTTTTCATGCTGTTTTCCTGAAAAGCCGTAAAAACTCATCATTCTCGTTGATTTTTTGAGGAAATTATTGGGATCCCATGTTTCGGATCTTGTTGAAGCTCATGTATCGAGTGAATGTGCAAGAGCATCTGCTGTTCTCGCGCAGTATATTCCGGGACTCTTTCATCTCTGACAGTGAGCGGTCACATCTTTTCCCTCTACTTCCTTTCATGTTCACCAGTGACCGATTGAATCACTTTCCATTTCACCCTCCCATCACAGTCTATCACTTCCATCCACATTCACGCGCCTAATCATTCTTTCCATACTCTCCGTTTCATCTTCCCTCTCCCTCTCTTTTCCTGAACACTCATCACTAGTTCCCTCGCCACCACTCCTCTCAACACTCACCTCATACTCCCGTGTTATCCCCGGTTGTTTATCCATTGTATCCATTTGATGATCCATCGTTGTAAGAGTTAACGAATTCTTCTTCCTCAATTTTCCAATTTTTCGCTTTCTAGATTCGAGATTTGCTTCCGCATCAGGTGTTTGACGAGGATCGTCAGATATGAGGTGTGATGAGAAGAGACCTGGAAAGTATTGACGGATGAAAGGACGGAGAACGACAAGAGTATTGCAGAAAATGCCGATGTTTATTTCTACGGATCTAGTGGTGCACTCTGGGTTAGTCTTTGAAGTTTTGAGTGCGGGAAGTCAAAGATTAGACGCATGAAGGTCAAGTAAAGATAGCAAAAGAAAGAGGGAGACGAACGACCATACTGCTGCTCTGCCTTGAGTGTATAGTACATCTGGATTATCCTGAAGCGCCATGATGTATGTTATACGGACTATACAGATGATTATCACACTATCAATAATCATGTCAGCAAAGCCTTCTAAGTGCAAGTAAAAGAGTTTTCTCAAACAGTGTTTGAAGAGTATGGAGAGGGGTTGAACACACAAAATACCCGTCGAAAAAATCGATGCAACCGCCAATTTCTGTCTTAACGGCAACTTCAAGAGATATAGCATATGTGATGGAAGTATAAGAATAGCTGCATCTGTAAGAATGTTGAAGATTGCTTGCCAGAGCCCACATTGGTTGAGACATGCACCATTTGCGGGGTCCGTGGGAACGCATGGAATAGCTATTATTAGAGATATGGCAAGAGTGTAGATTATGATTATCCCGGCGATGAGACAACAACCTGTACGGAAGTAGATGCTTGGATTGAGTCGATAAAGGCTAGGGAGTACTTAGTTCATCAATTTGTTCCGACATTGTCTAGGGAAGAAACATACAGGATGAGAATGGATAATTTGGTGAATGCGGGGGCCCAAGCGTAGGTAGCTACCATAGGGCTGAGTTTCTAGGTCGGTAAGTAAAAGATGGGGTATGAATTGAGAAGCGTCGACTGACTGTAAGATAAAGCGCCATCTGTTGGCCGGTAACTTCCCATAGATGTCTGCCGAATCCATATCTCATGCCTAGCCATCAATCAGCATGGCTATTCTATTCTTCGTAAACTGATCTATCACCTACAATCGACAGTAATAGCAAAATATGCAATTGAACATGCATATGAAAGAATAATCGCAACTATATTCCAGATCAGCATCCTCGTCGACCGCCATAGACAAAAGACCTACCATCATCCAGACCAAAAGAGTTCATGATACTAATCCTTGTGTACAATCGGATACCAAGAGTACTACTAGCCAGACCAAGTGTAATGGTGTATGCAATAATGTAAGCTACCTGGGTACTTGACAGAGCAGATGGATTTAAATCTGGTGTTATACCGGGGGGCGCTGGAAGAAGTCCGGTTGACATATTTACTCTTCGTTCTTCGAATCTTGCTTGGAAAGATGTTCATACTCGATGAGAAGTAGATTCAAGGGAGGATACATTCTTGACTATATGTCAGAACAAGAAACGACTCCGATTCTTGATCATCATTGTCGGCATCCCGAATTCGGCCAACATTTTCCAATAGATGATAGTCTAATGGTCGAATACAGAGTATACTGCTTTTTCCAAAAAAGAATTTGAGAGTTTGTGAGACCCGGGACTCGGCAGGCGAATAACGACATGGATTGTAGCTGAAATCGTATGCATGATTGGCCCGATGTGGAGCTCATATTTCTCTCCTGCATAATCTAAGTTATCGGGAAATGAATTCACGACTTTTACCATATCAATAGTCACTGATACTAGTTGAAGGAAAACGAGCTGAATTGCAAGAAGAAAAAGAACAATGAATTCTAGACTATGCAACGGCCAGAGAGATCATGATCAAAAATAGTCAAACCCCACTCGCTCGTCGTCATGTAAAGAAACGAAATGGTCACGGCTCACCATGCTCTTCCATACGGAAGAGATCCTGCTGTCAACGTGCATGCTTACGTGCATACTTTCTCCACCTTCCTTTTTCGGTCGACATATTTCGAGGTCCAAGTTATCGCTGCATGATTGATTTTTCCCTCTTTTTTGCTTTTCTTCGTTGCAAAATACCAACGAGGTTGTTCGTTGGACAAAACCGTCACCACTAGCAACAATGTCGACCTTGTACATCACAGCCATTGCAGCAGGTGCATTCTTCCACAATATCGTAAGGAACAGGGAATTCGATCGTTATCCGTTCTCCATTCTTTTTGCGGTCATAGCATCCCACATTATCCTCTCGATACTACTTCAATATGAGTACATTGCCGATGTCCTAACATTCTGGCAAGCTCAAAGACTTTCCTTTGGCCTTATCACGACGACCATTCTTTCGCTATGGACAAATATCCTTGTTTATCGAGCCTTTTTCCATCCGCTACGAAATTTCCCCGGTCCTTTTGGTGCTAGACTCTCCAAATTCTGGAGTTTGGGAAAAGTTATCGAGTCGAAAGTTAGGTGGTACCAAGTTGCTGGAAAATTGAAGGAGGAGTATGGGGATTATGTCAGGACAGGTAATGACATCCAGAAGAAGCAACTTTTCTGATACATCCAAACTTAATTCATGTCAAGGACCTCGCGAACTCATCATTTTCGATCCTGCAGCCATTAGTGTAATTCTTGGCGCTTCATCTAAGTTGCATAAAGGACCGTTCTATGGCTCGACATCCCCAGAATCTTTGCATACGACGAGAGACTCGGACTTCCACAGAAAAAGAAGAAAGATCTGGGACTTGGCCTTTAAGCAATGTATTTGGATTCTCCACTTTTATTATTCGAATGTCAGGTGACTGATGACTAAACTCCAGCTCTCACTGATTATGGACCACGCATTGCAGAGTTCACCACATCGTTTCTTGCTCGTCTGTCAAAAGGTGGTGAAGATCCATTAGTAATTAATAAGTTATGTGTTCAATACAGTTACGATGTGATGAGTGCATTGGCATTTGGTATTCACACTGAATTCTTGAATGGGAAAGAAACAGCTGCAGCCAAGAAAGTTCTCGATAATATTCAATCTGGTATTTCTGCCCTTGGAGCGGTAGTTCATATTCCATGGATGTTTACAGTGATTGACGTGCTGAGTTTTCTTGGGGGGCCAATGAAGGAATTTAATGATTGGTCGGCTTCTCAGGTGGAGGCACGAAGAGATGTTTGATTTCCAGATCCTCCCTATCAAATATAGATGTGCTAATAATTCAACAGATGAAGAACCCCAAGCCAGATATAGTTGGTCATCTCATACAGCATACGGAAAATACCCCTGCTGGGCGCGCTCTTCTCAACGGCGATTCTCGTGTAATCATTGGAGCAGGCAGTGACACTACTGCATCAGCCCTTACCGTAATCTTCATTCACCTTGCCCACTACCCAGAGTATCAAGCTCGACTTTTTGAAGAGCTGAGACCAATGTTTGAAGATGGTACGTATAGTACAGGAACATCATCTCCATTACTTGATGGTATCATTCATGAAGTACTAAGATTGTACGCTCCTGTTACATTCAACTCTCAAAGAGTCACTCCCAAGGGAGGACTGACTATTGGAACGGTATATATACCTGGCGATACAATTGTTAGTATCGCAACCTGGCAACTTCACCGTGGTAATTATTCCTTTCAATAATCCGCGTTTACTTTTTGCTCTCTCGATGCTGAACTTCTAACTCTTAATTCTAGATCCTCGCAACTTCAAACATCCAGACAAATTTATTCCGGAGCGTTGGACGATGCGCTCGGATCTCATCATTAATAAGTCAGCATACCTACCATTCTCTATGGGTGTATATAATTGCATCGGAAAAGGTCTCGCAATGATGGAACTGCGTTCTGTGATTGGAAGATCGGTAGCTGAGTACGAGGTAATGTTCCCGAAGAATGTAAAGTTTGATGAGGAGGAGTTTTTTGGCAATGTTAAGGATCATTTTACTAGCGGAATTCCTAGGTGTGAGTTGGTTTTCAAGAAAAGATAAGAGTGGAATGAGTGGATGGACCGACTGCTTTACTAATGGAAGATAACGAGGTGGGTGGAGGGGTAAGGATGAGGAAAGGATTTGTACATTCTTTACGTATTCAAGATCACTGACACCTGTGCTCTTCTTATATATAACCAGGTGGAAACCTCAAAAAACTACCAAAATTACCTGATGAGAACTGAATTTGCCTGGTCCCAATTGAATTGAATGTGATCCCATACTGGTCGAGTCTATTTTATTTACAAAGTTCAAAAGCTTTTTATATACACTGTCCACCCCGAAAACATACATCGAAAGAATTCAAGATCCTGAAACTCGCGAACTTTCAAGCTTTTCCTTCCATCGCCGTGGATTTCGGACTGTTGCTTTTAGCTGGATTCTCTACCCTTTCCTGATCTCCTTCCTGCTTATTCTTCTTCTTCACCGTTCCCCATCCTAGACCAAAACTGCACAGAAACGCTGCACTTGATCCCCCAGCTGCGAGATACTGATTTATGATTAATTAGCCACCCATCCACATCCATCATTTATATCGAAACAGCCCTATCACATTCCCTAGGATGAGACATGCTAACGGACTAAGAGAAGAAACGACTCACAAAACATCTGATCAAGCTTTCATTGTAAGCTATTAGCACCCTCTCTAACTCCGTGCCCGTCACCAAATCCCTCAATCCTGTAGCACCACTTGCTATGGTGGCTTCTGCATTGATATTTGGTACATAAATAGCAAGTTCCTTCATCAAAGAATTCGTAAAAATTGTCGAGGCGAAGGATAGAAATATTGCGCTACCAAAGTATCCGGAAAAAGTAGCGAGAGATGAGCCAATTGCAATATCTGTGGGGGGAAGAGAGTTTTGGATTGCTGTTATGGGCTAATGGAATATTAGTAAATTCACAAAGAATCACGTAGGAAGAGAGAACGGGATCTAGGGTGTATGTATGAGATACCAGTGACAGAAGTCTGTGCATACCATTTGTGAAACCATTCCACGCCCAGCACCAACCAAGATCTGAAAGCCAATCCATTCACCAGCCCCAGTATTGACGTTAAACAAACTCATACATCCAGATCCGATAGCTGAACATACACAGCCCACAATCGCCCAGGGGGTGAAATATCCAAGTCGAGAAACTTTCGCACATCAGTCATATCTCTCACAACTAACTCAAACAACACAACAGAGAAAATAACATACCCAAACTCCCCGCTATAATCGAACACCCAATAGTCGCCAAGAAAGTCGGCAGCGTTCTCACCCCGCTTTCTGTAGGCGAAACTCCTTTGATAGTCTGGAACCAAACCGGTAGATAATACGAGATTACTATTAAGCCCCCTGATTGAGCATTCCCGTCAAACATCCACTGTACACTATTCTCTTTTTCAACATATCAAGTGGTATCATTGCGTTTTCTCCCAGTCGGTATTCCCAGTATAAGAATAGTAGAAAGAGGATAAAAGAAGTGCAAAAGAGACCGATAATAGTAGCTGATGACCAGGGATATGAAGAGCCGCCCCATTCGAGAGCGAGAAGAAATGATATGATGGTGGGTGTGAAGAGGATGAAACCACATGGATCAAGGTGTAAGAATTTCTGTTTTGAAGACCACGAAGTGCGAACAGGGTTGTGGATGCTGGGGATGTGGATTAGGAAGATTACGAGAGCAGTTAGGAAACCAGTAGGTAGATTGAGAAAGAAGCCTAGAGATGTTAGGGCTGTCTTGAATGATTAAGGGTATTCTTACACCACTAGAAATCCGTTAGTAAGGAATAATTGGAAGAGCACTAAATCTACTCACTCTCCAAGAAGCATGTTGAGTCAATGCACCACCAATGAGAGGTCCAATAACCTGCCCGAAGGATGCAGTAGACATTATTATACCAATAAGAACTCGTATTCTGGTTAGAAAAAACTGTAAATACTAAGGAGAGGATATTTGAATATATACTTGGTCTTTTTGAGATAGGAGCAGCAGCAGCAAGAATCGTAAGAGCACCATTAAGAATACCAGATCCACCACAACCTTGAATTGCTCTTCCTACAATCAACATATCTGAATCTTTTGATAGACCACAGATTAATGCACCCAATTCGAATATTGCAAGGAAACAGAGAAATGTGTACTAGACTATCAGTTAGTCTTGAATATAGTGAGGGGTTGCAAGTCTTACTTTGAGTGAGAAATAGGTATAAAGTTTGCCACTTAGTGGTTGCACGGCGCAGCTAGGCGCAAGAATCAGTACCGTGTTTCTCTTCCATGAAGACGCAAACTCACTTTGAAAGTAAATAAGCACTTCCATACCATCCTATGAATGTTTAGTCAAGAGAATGAAGGACGTGAGCATTGCAGCTTACCTATGTCTTCCACAGAACGAAAATCACTTGTAATGCGTGGTATAGCCTAGTATGAAGTTAAGTAAAGAGAAAAGATGGAATACAAAGACTGTTTCACAAACCGTTGCCAGAACCGATGAACTCAATGTCATGAGGAAACAAGCCATAGTCAAAGAAAATACAATCAAATGGAGCTTCGTTCCCGTGACATATTGCTGCTCGGTCGTATCCGAATTGTCTTCATCAATTCTAATACCAATAGAATCAGTAGCAATTGCTTCAGGGGCACTTCCTTTCTCAATTGACTCGCGACGTGAGATCCCTCGATTTGGCGATTCTTGAGTATACATATTAGCGTAGAAAAGAAGAACTACCAATATCACGGAAGTTCATACTGTGCTACAGGATGCATTTAATTTAAGTGATTTGGTACATAAAACATTTTGGGTTGAACGGGAGCGGAGCGATTACATTGCGCCGTCGCCTTGCGACGGAATTGACCACCTATATCCCGTATCGCACCGGGTCTTCAGACAAAATACTACCCGCTCCCCACCGGTGCGTCTTTTGTTCTGATTGATCTTAAAATAAGTGGAAAGATTTTTTAATGTAAATCCGACTCAGTGGGCGGCCGTTTGTGCTGTGATATGGGGAAAGGTAGTATGTTGATGACTATTGAAAATACGATGAAGATAGCTCAATTGCATAAACTAGATCACCATAAATATGAACCAAGTCAAATCAACAATATATCACTTACCTAACAAATATACTTCTGAAAAGGTTCTGGGATGATGATGTTATTGGTACATGACATAATTTATCAGGCACGAAAATAATCATCACCTCACTCTATCTAATGTCAAAGAATTTCATTTGGTTATGAGAATTCAATTGCACGAAGTAACGAAACTCATTTATCAGCAATTTGAGTATTTCAAATTTGCCAATAATAGGTTGAGCAACGTGTGCATGGTTGAAAATTGTAAAAAAAGTTCTATATAATTTTGGTCAATCATTCATGCTTTGTCACAGGGACAGGCGGGCTGAGAGATCAATCTGTTTCCAACACACAATTGATATCAGCCAACAAATCGATGAGTCTATCTTCTAACATTACTTTGTGATTTAGTGCTGTACAAGAAATACAAACTTCCTGTCAATATCAAAATCTCAAAGGGATCCCCCAAAGCCAAAAGCGTCCAATATCACAATCACATTTAAATTTTGACACGCTCAACTAATCTCCCTTTCATTTTCAATGTCGTTTGAAAGAATCGGCACCTCGCTTATCCAAATGCGGAATGAATGCTATAATTTTTCTTTATATACAGTACTAACAAACGAAGCGCTCGCGAAATAAAGGGGTGCCCGGGAGCTCAACAAAGAGCTGGTATGAATACAAAATCTTGATTCTTAACTTCTTATGAAAAATATGCTTTGTATTATGACAAATTGATATTGACTCAGTGAAAACTGCTTATTTACGAGAAAAATCTATTTTAACTACGAATTGGAGAATAATCCACACACAAAATGGGGGCAAAAAAACCACCAAAGCCACCAGGAGTACCAAATTCATTCTTCGGTAAGGCAGGGCCCACAGTTCCATCGGCGCCAGGGCTATCAGCCGCAGATCAAGCAGCCGCAGATCTACTAGCTCAACAGCTACTGGAGGAAGATATGGAAAAGGAAGATAAAGCAGTGGCAGCTGCATTGGCGGCAGCCAAAGCAGCGGCAGATCTAGCAGCGGGCAAGAAGCCTCCTGAACCAGCATCCTCACCACCAGCACCACCAGCACCACCAGCACCATCAGCACCATCAGCACCATCAGCACCATCAGCACCATCAGCACCACCAGCACCACTAGCACCACCATTCGAACCTGCACCAGATATTAAAGATGATCCAGTTGCATTGGCTGCTAGATTAGCTCCTCCACGCGTTGAAATTTCGGATGTAGGAAGATGGAACTTATTACCCACACTGGGCGCCGGGCTCCACCCAGTATCAACGTCTGGTGCAGGCCTTATGTGTGCCATTTATGCTATGACTCTCAGTTACAGCGCTGCGCGAGATCTTGCGGCCCCCGCGGGCACACCAGTTCCACTAAGAGACAACCCAACAGCTAATGAGTTGAAAGAATTTGTGGGAACTGATGAATTCTGGACGGAGGCGATAGGGTACATGAGAGAGGCTAATATGCTCACTTTCTTTAATGCTGCTACAGGAGTACCGTTTTCCCGTGAGGAGTTACTGGAACAAACTAAGTTGTATATATCAGACGAGCCAAACAATTACAACATAACTACACTCTATCCGATCCTCAGATTGCTGAATAGGAGATACGGAACGCATTACGTTATAGGGAGTTTCGTTCACGGATTTAATGTTAGATGGGATATCAAAAATAAGTTATGGGAGGTAGATCACCAGGATCCAACGCAGGATCGAGATATGGGAAGAGGGGTAAACCCATATTTGTGGCTTTGGAACGACAATGCAGAAACTGAAACAAGATCGCTTCATAATGGTGACGAGTCTATAAGCCACTGGATGGGATTTTCAAGTACGTTACCGGCCTATTTTTTTCACACTCCTTCCGTACCAGATGGCATTTCCTCGTCTAGGTTCTATATTTGTTCTTTCTCGAACGCACTTTTCATTTTCAAATCCAGCCTTGAATCCCCAATGGCCCTAAAGTTATCCCTTGAAATGGAGTTACTAATTTTCATGCTTCATAACAGCATTGCACAGAAATCTAGATCAATATTTAATTGACGAATCTGAAGCATGGTTTGGAGATGAGGTTGACGCCTATCTGGAGGAAGGCGTGTGGATAGTTACGGCCGACATTGAAGGATATCAAGTGGACCTTGAAGATCACCAAGATCCTAGAGAGCTTCAATTGTTTACTGGTCATTTTGTTAGAGAGCCGACGATAGCTCCAATTGAAGATGCCCCGGATGGTTACATGTGGGTACAAGGAGGCCCATTTTGGGATGGAGTTCTGAACGAAGGACGCGTTGGAATCGTTCCAATGAACAGTATAAAGAGGATCACGAAAGACATTCTCAGAGTCGCACATGATGCTGCTGGTGCAACTGTTGCCAATATAATCAAGAATGCTAGCGTTAATAAAACCGATAAGGGTCTATGGCAGGATTTCTTGATTCACCGTACTATTGAGCCGACCACAAAGATCGGTGCAAAATACGCCAATCCAAACGACCCAGCAAAGAAGTTTGTTGGAAGTTTCGAATTCGAGGATGGCGAATTTCTAGTTGACACACAAGAACCACTCAGATTCCTATGCCCTCGCATGATAAAATTGGACGGAACGAGAGGAAGAGTCAAACCTCGTAACCTTCAATACTTGGAAAAGGCATGGAGGCTCCCTGAGTTGCTGCCCATTCCAGCATCAGGTACTAAAAAGCAACCACCCACTTCAACGCCGCCTGGTAAACAAAACCTCTTAGGTACATCCGATAAAACAGATCCCAAATACAAGTATAGACCTACCATGAAAGTAGAAGATTTCAAGATAGTGAACCTAAGAAATCACTGCAAAGCTCGAGGCATGGTCCCCAAAGATTATGGGAGAACGAAGGTCTCGATGTTGGCTAAGCTTGTCGAGCACGATGAAAAGAACAATAGTGCTGTCCAACCTGCGGTGAATCAACCGGCTAAACCAGCTGAGTCTGGCCATTTCCTACCTATGAGACGTGTCATGGTAGATATCGCCAAAAAAGCCGGCCCACCTAAAATGCCACCATTCTTCGCAACAGAAATTGTGGTAGAGTTGGGTAAAGGTGACATTAACAATCCTGCGACTTGGATAATCGATTATGAAGGTCGTGTTGGCAGGATTGATGATGATAATCTTGAGCCAATAGATAGAGCTTGGGGGATTGAACTTGATCTAATCAGGTGGAATCAGGCTTTAGATGTGATGAAAAAGGATGTGGGTTATGATAAGCCCCCCAAGCCTACAGCCAACCCTACAGCCAACCCTGCTGCCAACCCTGCCGCCAACCCTACTGCCAACCCTACTGCCAACCCTACTGCCAACCCTGCTGCCAACCCTGCCGCCAACCCTACTGCCAACCCTACAGCCAACCCTACTGCCAACCCTACTGCCAACCCTGCCGCCAACTCTACAGCCAAACCTGTAGCAAAGCCTACAACCAAGCCCGCCGGTAAGAAAATGGCTCTTGAAAATCCTCCACCTCCTGCCTCCGCAGCTCCAGTTGTTCCGGTTCCAAATTCCCCAGCTGGAAAGACGGTAGCAAAAAGACCTGCCTCTTCAACTGCGGAGCCTGCCAACAAAAAGACGAAGAAGAAGAGGAAGTGAGTGGCAGCGGTAGCTGTAGCCAATACAACCAAGAACTATCTGTGGCTTCCGCTATTGGTGCCAACTCCGTTTCTAGATCCCCTTCACAAATACACTCCGTTGAAATGACCCAAAAAAATTAGATCAATAAATCACGGGGTAGCTTTGAAAAGCAAATATGGGCTTGCCTTCATGGGAGGTAATCTGAAAATTATGTTAGTCGTGTATTGATATAGTGAGAAATTCTGAAATGCTAAAGTTTTATCTCTCATAGTCATATCTGATATTTGGCCTGCAACTATGCATGTGATTTCATGATTAGAAAGGAATTAGGTGACATTGAGAACGCGTACGGTGGACAATGAGATGGAAGTCGATCGATTGAACTGCTGAAAAGACTTTTGTTTCTGAACTTTCATTTATGTTCATTGGTCATGAGATACAGATACGCAGACCTGTGTACCTAGATATCAACTCTTTTAGCAAAACAATAAGCTCGTTGAGTAATGTAACAAAACAATGTGAAGCAGTGAATGGCAAGTTCAAGAGGTGAGGAGACGAGGAGATACCTGGATTAGCACTTGGACCATCAACAAACAAAATCCAAGATCACCTGATATTTTATTTAACTTCTCGACTTGACATCCCTTCCTCCCTCTTCCTATCTCTTGTAATCATTCTTTTCAATAAATTTCATGTCTTTGATACAAGCAAAAACGATCCAATTCAAGCACACTTTACACAGAAGGTAGACCTGTCTGTTTTCTTCTATCTACAGAGACAACGAAAGTTACGTATCAAGATCCCAATATCGACGAAGTTGATAATCGAGATCATCGATGTAGAGTATATGGCTTTGGTAACAATCTATTCTTCGTGGTCAACAAAACAAGAATAGACCAATACCCACTGGAAGAAGTGTACATATATCGATACAAGCTAGAGATTCTGCAAACCAATTGCGAATATCAAGTTCGGGATGTTTGAACATCCCGGCACGTGCTCTCATCAAAGATTGCCAGCCTTGCCTCAGGATATTTTGATGTTTAATCATCAATATCGAAAGAGTAATCGAACACACAACTCTTCGATTAATATACATAACGAGGTGCCTCGGTACCTACCATCAAGGGTCTAGCTGCATAGAGACCCCACTTAATTTTGTAGAGTATATCTTTGACTCTAGATATCTTACATCAAGTCACAATGTTCAAAGTAGCAGAATTCGAACCATGTCTTCCAGATCTACTCACATCTTCAAAAGTATCGATGACCTCGACCTAAAAGTCGACATCATTTACCCATCTTCTCTTACTTCAGTCTTAACCACAGTACTTTACCTTCACGGTGGGGGACTTACAGGTTTCGATCGAGAACATCTTCCTCCTCATATCGTTCAATCCTGTCTACTTCGAAATTGGCCTATTATTAGCGCAGATTATCGTCTCATGCCGCAAGCTAGTGCTCAAGACATGTTGGAGGATGTGATATCCGCATACGACTTTGTACACAAAAGGCTCCGGAAGCTTCTTAATTTCAAGGAACTCGAAGCTGAGAAAATCAATATTATTCTCATGGGTTCAAGCGCTGGTTTGTACTTCTGGGTTATTGACCGGTATGACTTGAAACTCTGGACTGAAGTTTCCTAGGTGCTTATCTATCATACATTGCCAAACCCCATCTTTCACCTCCACCAGTTGCAGTCTTTATATACTACGGCTGTCCAACCGTCCACGATCCTAAAAACTATTTCTCCAGCAGCAAAACACTTTTTAACGAAACGCCCTATCCCGAATCTCGATTTGCGCATTTCCTCGCAAGCTCCCCAATCATTAACCCAACACCTTCTTTCTTCCCAATATTCAACTCATCCTCTCTTCTTCCGAACTTTTCTCGTGATCCTGCATACAAACCTTTGCCTAAGGAAGAATTCGAAGATCGTTCTTCACTACTCTTGTGGTTAGTCCAAGAGAACAAATTACCTGAGTTGTGGAAAGGCGTTGATCAAGGATTGGAAAGTGAGGTTTGGAAAGGGTTTGGCAAGACGATTATCGTGCATGGAGATCAGGATGAATTGATTCCATACTATATGGCAAAACAAGGTGTTGATGTTATTGGTATAATACCTTTGAAAAACGAAAGTGGATCTGTGCTGATAGTATTTAGGACCAACTGATGCTCAATTGTTTACTGCAATCGGCAGGAAGCATGGTTGGGATATGCCCTTGTTTCTTGGAGATCCAGGATTAAAAGAAGTTGAGGAGGCTTGGGAAGCTTTGGATAGAATCGTTGTAGAAGCTCAAGGAGAGCCTTCATCTTAAGAACAACTTCAATATTTCATATACGTCAAAATAAAACGGAGAGCAGTGTTTTTGTATGGGGTAACTGGTAAAACACCAGTGAGGACATGATGTAAACTAAATCCTTGACGCTCAAATGATCACTCATTAGTCTGAGCCATACAAGGCCTCTATGGCACAAAACTCGTTTGAAACACGAAATATCACTTTGATGGGTAATGTAGCAACACGCAAGGAAATTACCAAGTACTTTTCAAATTCATCTACTCCAGCTAAGCTATCAAAGACACCTCTTCGCGCAAGATAGATCAACATAACCGGACGAAGTGGCTCCCAACCAACAATATCTACTATTGAAGCTTAAGTTGGATCCGGTCATGAATGCAGAAGCACCTAAAGCAAGGAATGCAGCAGGTTCGCAGGTAGAATTATCAGGCAAATCTAGTCTTTCCAGTAAGCAGCACAGTCAAGCCGCAAGATTACAGCAATCAGGACGTCAAATTGCAACGAGCTCGGCATTGAGTTCCTTGATTCTTGAGTCTTCCTTCTTGATGGGACTAGAGCGGGCTTAGTGTGTTCTGGTGTCGTTTTGGGAATTTTTAGCCTCCAACAGAGCAAGAACTGAAAGAGAGTAACAAATTAGTGGATTGGGATTGAGATCTTTGTCGAAGGCTGCGTGCTCTTTTTTAGTTCTTGCTCTGTTGGGGCTTTATCGGTTGTGGGGCCTTCATCGCTAGCAGTCGTAGGAAGAGTCGGATTGAGATGCTCAGTGCGCCTTATTTAGAGAAGGAGTGCGGAGTTCTCTTTGGAAAACGAAGTTGAGGAAATCGTCTCCCTCGAAATTCGTACTGCTTCCTTTGACGTCCTGGGGGGCAAGGCACGTGAAATTCTGCAGTATCCCCACTTGTTTGCGCTTTGCGTAAACGGAGTGACAACATCTCCAAGCCTCTGAATGGAAGCTGTTCCTGATCTCAAATGGGGCGATGGCCCGTCAATGATGGGTTGATAAAACATTTTAGCGGTCCGTCGTTTTATTGTAATTTGCATACATTTGACCAGCTTCTTGACGATAGCTGGTAGTGCTCTCGCGACGACCGTTGCCTCAACGACATTGTTGCTCGGTCAAGGTCAGGTGGTGGAGGAAGCTGTTGTCCGGTCGCAATGTGTACACTTTTCATCGCTGATAGTCGTAGAAGCAGCGCCGAAGTATCTTTGAACTCAACGGACTCAAGGGAGGCTCTTCTGTTTTGTTTGAAACTCGTAGGGCCTTTAAGCCAGAAAATTCTCTTTCCGTTAAGTTGATTTTCTTTCAAATTTAGCTTCCAATGTGTGGCGCTTGATCAATATTATGCCGTCCTACAATGTGTGCGGCATCTTACTAGGATGACTGAGATTAGTCGTTGCACCGTTTCCAAGAAGGAATCAAGAATAATAGCCACTTACAATGCTTGTTGTCTCGCTGTTTAAGTTGTTGCGCAAGCTTGAGTGGGGAGGGTGCCACATATTATCGTTGCCAGCTGCCCCCAGGGTATTTGCTATCACCAGTGGCGTCGTAAGCAAAGTCGTGTAGCTTCTTGGTCGTAGACTTGACCAATTAGATACAAATGACTATTATCCGTAATTAGTACCCTCGAAAATAGTTACGCTGTTCCGAACCTACAGTAAAAGAATGAGCAGAGAAACGTGCATCTACTGTGATCATTTGCGGGCTTCCGTTGGGCTTGATTTACTCGGGAGCAGAGGAGCCAAAAGTATAAGCGGTGGAATATAGTCCTGGAATCTGCTTCCATTAACCTGGTCTTCTCAAAAGAACACTGCGAAAGACTTAGCCAATCTACCACGAAAATGGTCTGAGCTTTTTGAGAGTGTACCTACCAATACAGCGAAAATACAAACACAATCACAAGAAATCACCAAAACCACCACCATCACTGTGCACGCCGAGGCGGCTAAAGTGAACAAAATAGATTACTATCTAATGAACTAATATACAAAACTATGACAACAAAATAGAATATGCCAAATTACAATATGACTTGGTGACAGCCCCTTACACGACGGATTTGTTGTTGAATTAAGTCACATTGTAACTTGACATACTCCTTGCATCGGTATTACAAGTTAAATACCGCAATGGCTTGCTGGTGTTAATCGTGGCACCTCAAGAGCCTTGAAATATTCTGGCTGATCCGCAAGAGATAGCTCTCGATATATGTGCGAACACCAGGCAAGATGCAATCGGTGATGTACATGTTTGCACCGCCTTCTCCAACATTGCTGATGCTGATTGTGGAAGAAGCCTAAGTTCTTGGTTCCGGGCTCTTGCATACCTTCTGAGATCTTCGAGGCTTTAAGCCATGACTTTGGAAGTCTTGGGGTCGCGCCCAAGTTTCCCATTGTATGCTCTTGCATACTATTTGCCTCCCTGGAAGAGGTTGCATGCTGGTGTTGATTGTGGTAAAGCTTCAACTCGTGGTTCCAGGCTCTTGCATACCATCTGAGATCCTCGAGGCGTTAAGCCATGACTTTGGCAGTCTTGGGGTCAAGCTCAAGAAGTCTACAATGAGATTTCATGCTGGTGTTGGTCGTGGTAAAATCCCAAATTCGCGTCTAGGCTCTCGCATATCATCATCAGCTTCGGATTCCAACACCGTCTAAGATTTGAGAGAAGCTCTCTCATTCCTGAGACGTGAGCGTGTATTGGTCGGCACCCCTGAGAGTATCTCAAGGAACTGTTAATCATCAAGATTCATACACAAAAGTGTTCATGCCAATGGGATAGACAGTCGCGAAACTTGAATTTGCGAACGATGAGCTGGATCATGTCAGGTTGGTGATTTGGAAAGCTTGCAATTTGATAAAAAAACCATTCCATGGCTTGCGAGCTACTGCAACTACCGTGCTAACCTCGCCAACTGACTTGTATGGTGCGGACTTCATTTCAAGGTTGAGCCAATTCACTCCCGTGGATTAACCACTGGAGTAATTTCATCTCGCAGTGTTGGCACTCAGCTTTTTACACAAGACTTTGGGCCGCTACTAGGAGAGTCAGAGATTGTTTTCTCATGACACCAAATGACTGACTTACAGTCCGAGGAACTTGGATCGCGAGGACCTCAAAGACGGCACCAACTGTGATCTTTCTAGGATTGTTGAAACAGCATTGCACAGTTTAATCTTGATCGTGGTCCATCCTCCCAAAATTTGAGACGAGAAACTCGGAAGATTGAAGATTGATCTGCAGAAAAGTGCCGTTAGCAAAGGTTGAAAAGAATGATGGAAGATCTCGACATACCTGAAGCATACTGACTTTGAGACCAGCACCTTGAATTAATTCCACCTCATAATCATAGCTCAGAGGATTCACATCGATAGAGGCACGTCCGGAGACGGCTAGAGAGAAAGGATTTTATTGTTACATAACGCTTATAACTACTACACAGTCCATCACCACCAATATTCATCCAAAGAAATCCACCATCTTGATTTCCCCCATGCTCTTTTGATTATTGTAACATCTGATGGTGAGGTTAGCCTTTACTCGAATTGTGATGCTTATGGAAGGATAACTTGCTTATTCAGGATGGGTGCAAGAACCATAGCCGGTGGTACTTGAATGCTGCTGCTGCTGCTGAGGTTGTAGCGGTCTAGGTGGTGCTATCAAGTTGTTCCGGAATTGACGTCGAAAAGTCATTAGCAGAAGGTGGCTGTTGTCTTGCGGTACAGTCAAGACTGAGTGTTGAGGGTTCAGCTTGTAGTTTGGATTCGGCTGGATCTTTGTTCTTCGATCACGGGTGTAGTCGTTATTATAAGAGCAAGCCGGACCCCCAACACTCAGTTCATGCACGGCGAATTGCCAGAGCACCATGGTTTTATAGGCTCTGTGTTCTTTCTCTGTTCTCGCCCGGTTGAGTTTACATCGTGCAATTGCGGCCTCATTTTCTGCTGAAAGGAAGCTCGAACAGAGAAAGAACACAGAGCCTAGAAATCTACACAAGAAGGCGTTTTCGAATAGGCCCTTAAATCTTGAAGTACTAACTTCGTCAGCTAGTTCTTTTGAAATGTGGGAGATGGATGTCACTTACGCCTGACTAGACCACGCAGGCCACAACCTGGGTGAGGAGTGAATGATTGTTGATTGCCAATATTTGATTTTCTGCTATTTTATCACGTTAGCAAAAATCGTACGCGAGCATGGAGTTCTATTAACCTGAACTTAGAAGTGAAGTTCTAGCCTTTTGAGGTGGCTCGATTTCAGGATCGCTGGTGTCGGGATCCTCCATTATCTGCTGCTTGAATGTGTTAGTCTTGTCACGAACATCAAGGTGAATCAAGTGGATCGAAAGAAAGAAGAAGGAAGAAGGACGGACGGACGAGAGAAAAACTTACTTCAGGTGTCCCCCACGACACCACCACCATATTTCCCCGCAGAACCCTTCTCCCAATCAATTCTTTATCTACCAAATGTGGAGTCAGCAAGCGTCGGCTTGGTTTGAGCAGAAAGAGGAAACGTACCTGAAGCTCGCACAGCACGCACCACCACTAAATCTCCCAGCAGACCTCCTCTTTCTCTAAGCACTGTTCTCACTCTGAGTAACATGCTGCAACTCGATTCTGCCAAGGCCTTAGGTCAAAGTTGACATCTCGGACTCGGAGAGCCGCATCTGGTGACTGATGATTTTCGTCAATACGCTCAAATCCTGTGGATTAAGCTAGGCAGGAGTAGGAGCTGGCTCCCTCGAGATCTGTGATTGTTGCTGGGTTCTGGCAACTGCAGAGAACCAGCTCCCACTCCGCCATGGCTTGTCATATAATTGCGTCATCGATGAAGAAAGCTAGGCAGGAGCAGGAGCCAGTTCTCCATTTGGCGAGAATTTGCTTCTCTTCCAATTATAGAGAACCAGCTCCCGCTCCTCCATGGCTTGTCATATAATGGCGTCATTTCAGTCATCTGATTACCTGTGAATTCGCATGGTTAGTAAAAATCTCAGCATGAATCGGGAGAAATTGGATGAACATACTTGCCGATAATCTCGGCACCACCTGCGGTTGGTAAGACCGAGGCGGGCCGCTCCAGTCGCCTCCTCTCATCTGCTCAAATCTCTGGAGAGAATTGAGTGTTAGCGCATGACCACTTTCAGGTTGACCCAGTGGTCAAAGATGATGATGGCAAAAAAACAACTGTAAGTGGGTAAGATTTTAATTTCACATACCTTATTGTATTTGTTTCACTTTGAGAGGACGGAGCACAGCACACCATGGAAATGGGTGTGGATCTTTCTCTTGTGACTGAAAGATAGGTTTCCTGTGCTCCGTCCTCTCCGATTTTGTGAAAAATATCGTGAAGAGGCTGAGAGTTCTAAAATGAACACCACCCTCAGTAGATGACTCTTAACAGGTATATATATCCAGTGGATAATAGATCATATTGATGAAGGACGATGATGGTGAATTGAAATGGAAAACAACAAGCTTGGGGAAGCGTTCAATCTCACATACCTTTTTGTATTTGTTTCACTTTGAGAGGTCAGGGACTTATGGGTGCCCTGCCTCTCCATATTCTTTTTGAATGATGAGATGATCGTCGCTGAAGCAGAATTGATCGTTAGTAAGTTATCCTTTCGATCTCCGTCAAGCATCCAATAGATGTATGATGATAAGTGGATGCCGGTGATGAAATAAATTTTGGAGTCTTCGATCTCACATACCTGTGTGAACTGGTTTCGCGTTGAGAGGACGGAGCACATATGGAAGTCGAGTTAATTGGCGCTGTGCTCCGTCGTCTCCATCATGTTTTGCATGGTAAGAGTCGAGAAGGCATCTCTGCTAGAAAGATAGGAGAAGGAAAAGGAGAAGTAGGAAGAGGAGGAAGTTTTTGTTTGTTGATATATCTTGTGGGAAACCTGAAATCACCAGAAGTGCGGCAGATCAAATAGGATTCAAAAGCGGCAGAATTCCCAATCTTCCCTAGCGTGGAAAAAGCAGATAAAAATCAAACCACTACCCTTGCTAAGCCTCTTATCCTCTTGATTTATCATTGGATAGATCTGTTTTCGTACTAGTCTCTCAGATCCAAATTCCCTCGCTCAAGTACTTCCCTCCTCCTCTCCTCTCTTCCTTTCTTTTTCTTTCCTCTACCATCAAGTACCATGGATCCTCACAGTAATATCCCCATTATTACTTCCCGAGCTTCACTACATGGTGCTTAATGCAGATCAAACTTGGATATCAAAACACCCATAGCAAAGTTATTGCGAATGGGAAGCAAAGCTGTTCAAACATAGCGGGGAAGCCACAGCTTCAAGTACCATCGATTCTTACAGTTGACTATCTTCGATATCTCTCTGTCTGAATCATCAGGTGTTGCTTGTTGCAGATTAAAGTGAACTTCAAAGTGCTCAAGGCAGAGTCTATCTGTGAGGGGGTGTAACCACGTTCATACACACAATACAATAGATTTCTTATAGATTGATTTGGAAAGGTTTGGCTGCTGGGAGACCTTAGAGTATTGAAGCGCTTTTGTTTTATCATTTGTATCTAAGTATAATCATCAATAACTCTCTTGATTTGTATTGTTTATTGCATCAATCCCATATGTGATACTCGAAATAATTAAATTATTATTTCGTGCTTGCGCTATTCCCCAGTCCATACATGTACCACCCTCCCACCCTCAGCTTATCTCATTATTCCACAGTCACAGCCTCACACTTCCCAGATTTTATCTCACTCTCAGCCTCATGCACTGACAAACACCACTTCTGTCATAAAAAAAATCAAAAGGAATAATCTTTATCATTACCCACAAGACAATTCGAAGTGTCTAGATACTCATTTTTGCATAAAAAATCAAACTCAAGGCGGTCACTCGAACCGAGAATCCCCTAACCAGCCAGTCCCGAAGTTTTCCCATGCCTTCACATTGTTGTTTATTCAACGTCCACATTAATACCCACACACAAACATCCATTCTGCCAGAAAAAAATCATTTGCTTTCACTAAGTATTATTCTTGTTCGCTATTACTTCAACTAATTCTAATTACACAGAAACCCGCTGATATGCTCATGTGCCCATGTGATTTTACCTTGAACCCTGCGCAAAATGAACAAAAAGCAAGGCAGCGCTGTCTCATTCACTTCTAATCAATCCGCCATGTACTCTAAACTGCCTTTCCCTATCAATTGCATACATGAAACGCTAAACGAAAATCATTGTAGACTCACAAAAACACGACACGCCCAGCTAGAATCAATCGAGTCCCTCATCTACAGACTTTATGCTCTCCTCATCTATCCATCGAGTATTGAATAAGTCCATCGACTCTCTTACGAAGCACTTTCTCCAAATAATCTGTCGAATCCATAATCGGCATGTCTGATAAGCTGCACATGACTGCCCGGAATTCCTAGTCGTCTTCATCAAAAGGTAGAGTCGTGTAATGCATCCACTTCATGGCAAATGCCTGAAGTAAAATCATTCCCATTGGCCTGGTTTGTTCGCCGAAGCACCTTTTGGTGATGAAATTTAGATAGAGACGAGAAATCACATAAAAGGGAGTTTTTGTTTTGCCCTCCTGTATATTTTTGGCGTAGTTATTGTAGTGTTTATGATGTTTCAATCTGTCTGCTCTGATATTTTTGGCGCTGATATCACAGACGAATTCTTCTAGCCATGTATGAACTCCTAACTTGCATTGGCATCGGTTTGAGAGTCCAACGTACCATTCTGTATTCTCTCTTTGCATTCGAAGAGGCTAGAAATTGATTGAGCCAACAGAAAGTATATGGTGTGACGCCGCTTTCGAATCAAGGTATTTGGAGATAAAGTATTTGAGCGCAGCCACAAAGACGTAAATTTGAGAGACCTTTATATCTATCTGCAGCATTGGAGGGAGGGCTGCCACTGTTGGACAGCCTAGGCGGTTGCTCCAAGGGTTCTTAGCTGCCTCGATAGAAATTGAAGATCCTGACTTCTTCAGTCTCTCATTAATCATCGGACACACTGATAGTTTGACTGTCTCAACGTCAATCGGGCGCTTATTTGTCTCGCAGAAAGAGAATGTCTCTAGATTGAGGTATTTCGAAATTTCCCACTCGATAGGATAGTCATCAGCCCTGAAATATACGAGTTTTTTGAGTCCTTCAATGGTGTATGATATCACACCTTTTGGTGTGAGGGAGTGAAGGTAATTCAAAGGAGTACTTTTGAACATTTCATCATCGTCCCCCCAATATTTACATAACATCTCGGATAGCTTTATAGTCTCGGAATATTCATTTTCCTTTTTCCTGTTAGCAAATGAAGCTTTTTAGATATTTCAACGAGGTGTATTATCATACCAATTGTATCCACAGGGAGTCAGGTAAGGACCATGCAGCATATTCAGCAATATTGACTTCCATATTATACATATTCCGAAGTACTATCATATTTTCTTCAATCTGATCATCCCAAGAGAGATCAAATGCGTCTTTATAAACCTTAGTACCTTGGTCAATATTTTCCCGGAAAATTCCTTCCCTGAGGTCTCTCAACCTGGAATGACTTCCTTTGAAGTACTTTTTTCTATTGACTTTTCCTTGGGTAACTTTTCTGCCAAGATCTCTTCTTCTGGGAGACATTTCTCTGGGTTCCCTTTCCTCGGTATCTTGGAAGGCCTTTGTCTCTTCACCCTCACCCTAGATAAATCATAAAAAAACCCAGTATCTTCTTGGGTTTGGAGTTCCGAGCAGCAATCAACTGGCGTCGTCTTAACCTTTTTATCAGATTCGTCTAGTTGTATACCACAAAAAAGTGCTGAGCATGCCTTGTCAAACTCTGCCATTATCTGGTCTGTATCTAAAAAATTGAGGTATTAAAATTCCAGGTTTATGAGCACTACAGTTCCTATCTGTCGTATGTGTATATTCGTTGTTGGAGTTGTTGTTTCTGATACTGGAATCGAAGACTTGACAGATGGAGGACGTTTCTTGGTGAGAATTTGGACTATGGTTAAAATATAAATAAATGACAAACATTAAATACCAAATGATAAGTGAAATCACACAATGGGCAACTAGAGATACGCGTGTGTAAAGATGATATATTATTGATGGTCGTTGAATGTGAGGAGGAGCAGCAGAAGCTGCACACGCTGATAAAAATCATCATTTCTGGTGCATCTCAGAACAGGAAGGTTGTGTCAAATATTAATAATCATTCTTGCTGTATTTGACAAATTCATCGTTCATGAAAAGCTCCGTACCTGCTGTTTGAGGAAGTCGCCTGTAAAATCTCAGACTGGAAAGAGAAAGAACATCCAACGCCGACATGATTGTGATCCTTGCAATATTAACAAGTTTTTCTAACCTTTTCAGAGCCTTCCAAATATTACTTCATGCAAAAAGAAAGTCTATTTAAATTCTACCTCGGGTTCTAGCACTCTAGGAACCGCTCGTATACCCAAAGCATGTGTTATCATTCTTGAGGCGACAGTAATTGTTGTTTTAGGTCTTCTCGTTATGGATTGGTTGGTTTCTGGCAAGACTGAGGTAGTAAGGCGTGCCTTCGAATTTTGTGTATTGAAGATGGGAGAGTACACCTCCCTAAGACTGTTCGAACTCACAGATACGCCACTTCGAAATGATTTTATGATTTCGGCAGGATGTGGTCTCCTCGCTGATGTTGACGTGAGTGATGAAGTTCGTGACTGAGGATTGCTGAGTCGTCTTTTTGGGCTTAAAGTTGACCGTGTGGCTCTTGGCTCCTGATTGCTCTGCATTCTCAAACGTAAATCTCTACTCTCCCTTTCGAGCTCTCTATCTTCTCTTCCGGACACACTAGGCAAGTTAAGAGGCGCCACCGAACTCGTGTAATTTTGAGGCTTGAAGAGTTCTATTGTCGTGGGTGGAGCCTTGCCGTCGCTTGTGCCTTCCAATAGTATCGATTTTCGTCCATTTGCTGAAACAGTCATTCTCTTTTCAGACTCCTCATGATTCTCAGAAGTCTCTCCAGACTTCATTACTTCGCAATTGTGCCCAGATTTATTCTTGTTCTCGAGGATGATTACTTCTCTGATGGCAACCTTCATGGTAATTGCTCCCGTTTTTTCCACCTTATCTTTTCCCATCTCTCTTGAACCTCCATTTCTAGTAAGCAGATCTAGTACACCGTTTTCGATTGTTCTTGGTAGCTCGATTGGGACCGCGGAAACAATAAGACCTGCAGAATCCTTCTTGTTTCTCCCTGCGAGAATCTCTCTGGCGTCAACCTGTGCGTCAACCTTCTTCTCGATGACTAATGGCGCACCAAAACCAACTATAACCCAATCGACTCGACCCCCAGGAAGTATATTTTTTTTCCACACTACTTTATTTCGTGTGGTATTTTCGGCCCGCTGTCGAGTTAGAAGACCGACATTGCACTGCTCTTGCTTTCCGTCCCGAGAAACTACGTTCTTTATGCTGGCTGCAGCGCATTAGTGAACGTCTCCCAGACTGAAGCTATTCTTACCTTGCGACATGTCTTCGATTAATATCTATATTCGTGGTTTTTCTAATTTTTTGCGTGATTGAGATGACTTCTTTGGATCGCGAATTTATAGTTGAGTTCTCGATCGACAGTATGAATGTTGTATCGGAAATGCGCAACTTCGTAAGAGGGATGAAAACTGAATTGTGAATGATGATCACAGTCCCTTCACTGGATATGTATGGTACCTGAGAGGGGATGATCTCTCTTGTTTCCTACGAGAAAAGTTGTAGACAGGTGAATTTGAGACACATGCTTTGGATTCCGGATTCTGAGAGAATGTGAAGCCTACGACTGGATCGAAATGGAAGGTGCTCTCAAACAAGAATTATCCGTTCCTTCTCGTGAATCTATATGATAAGACAATTGACAGAGGGTATCCCGGTAAGGAAAAATGTATTTGATTTGATTCCAAGTTGTAGTTTGCGAAGTTGCAGATGATGAATGAGGAAATGGTGTTTGGGAAGTCAGAAAAAGAAGCGACGGAGGAACTTCACCTAAAATAAAATATACTTGAAACGCATCACAAAGCTTTCTAGTTTACTATATTATCTTAGATAAGAACCACATATGCATTCAAAGAGTAGTTTGATGTCTTAATGATGATTCAATCGTAGATTGAATTCATCATGTGACTCATTCTTGGTCATGTGATAATCAAACGCACAAAATTAATATCTTGAGCTCTTACGTTGCTGCATCAGTATGAACATTCAAAATCCTCCAAGTAATAAACCACAAGAGGTATCGAAACAAATAAATATGATATCTTCAACATCCTGCAACTTCTCAGTGCCATATATGCTGTTGAAGCTCAACTGCAGAATCCCCCATGCATATAGGTGAGCTTTAAGAAAAGAATCTATTTTCAGAAGCCCCGCGGTCCTCATAATATAGAAAGGAAAGAACTCACTTGACTTGAATTCCAGACTTTTCCACTGGGGGTATCACAACGAGTCGCTGCAAAGACGCTCAGCAACCAAAGTTGCGAAATATTGTGTGGATCTGGAGTGCTTTGCCATTCTTCGTTAATACGAAAAGTGTGCTTTTGGGTGAAAAGAGGCATAGAGTAGGCGCATTGAAGGATGTTTCTGAATCTTGTGAAGTCCGACTAGTAGTTGTGGGCATGGGATGAGGGGCAACTCAAGCTCTGTCACCGAGCAGATCTGATACTGAAATGATTTTATTGTTAATGTTGGCATCTTCGCGAATAGTTTTTCGGATTCTGGAAGATTGTGTTGCTCTCAAGTAAGAACGAGGCGAGGGATGATGGTTTACTCGTTCACCCTTGTTGAAAATGATGTTCTTACCGTATTATTTTGCAGCGGTGTCTAAAAGATGTGATTGGGCTTACCTTATTCGGCCCCAACCATCAACTCATGACTGGTACTCTCATTGTTTTCCTGGCTTTTCTTAGACATCAAGATGATTTTTGAGCTCGAGATATGATACTACACCCACGGGTAGAGTTGGGAGCGCGACTGACTCAAGCACATCACATATTCAACGGATGATCGTGTATCTTACAAGCTTTAATTGGTATTCCGGATCCTTGAAAACGTAAGCCTTCTGGTTTTAAAGCATGAATCATCTCGCTGCGTTATAGTTAGCCAGATGAGAGTATGAGATTCTGAAAGGAAAACCGTCATTCGACAGCATATATCATTGCCACCTGCCTTTACACAGAGATTATCCTGTCAGTGCGAATCCTTAATCTCGGTGCACTTGCGTCCGCGTTTTTTCTTTCTGATACGCGTCATATTATTCAGTGTCTTCCGCTCATATTGAGAATGCGCTTGCTCATTTGCTGACCTCTGTCAACGACTCGCGTACAGAGGCTACATCTGGTATCTTTGCAATCATCTGTTACTGAAATGAGAAGCTCGAGGACATGGCCTTGAAGTATGCTCATCTTCCGAAACATCAAATCTATGGTTGACCTAACTAAGCCCATGTTGCCGAAGTTTCAGCCAGCGGTTGCTTGCCACCTTCCGTTCTCAACCGCCAACGGCTTTTCCCCAGTCTACCGGTACCGATCGCCACCCCGATATCTTTGTTCCTTTGCCACTGATAGGCATGATGTAATTACTCTCCTGCCAATCTCGCCGCGTTTCCCTACACACAAAATGAAAAAGTCCTGGTAATACTCTATCCCGGCGCTTCATTGTTGAACTTTCAAGTAGGGTATCGCTCGTAAACTACTTGAGACCTATGTACCGAAGGAAAATGCTCTGAGCTACAGTACTGGACATCAGACGAAGGACCAATCACTCCTCAATTACCGACGGAATTACCGCCACAAACTAAACCCCGCGGCTCCGCCTCTTCCCTCTCCTCAAAATTCGACGTCTTGTGACTAAACAAACTTTCGTTACATTCTCTGATGCACCTAATTGACAACAAGAGCCTCGATAAAAGCTACCAAGGTAGACACCTGCATCCCCCACCTCGGATACCCCCAATCTTGCAGTGCCAAGCCCGAGGCCCGAGTACCTCATCACAGCGAACCCTACATCAAGTAGGTACGCACATTCCCAGCGCTAACCATCACGTGTATGGTCATGCCACCAGAGTACATCGAAGAAACCCCCGCCCCCAAGCAAAAACTAGCAAGGAAAAATTAGATAGTAAGGAAGAAAGAGGGCAAGTCGTCCGGATAAAGTTCTCAGGCTATTTATGTGTAGCCTTAACCTTAACATTCCACTCCACTCTCCGCACACCCCCGTTATCCCCTGGAGCATTTCCGTCGCGTACCCACACCACGCATCGAAAAAAACTTAGGTACAACCCCGGCCGGCAATCACCGCCATGGGGATGAAGAAACCAGGGTGAGACTAGGGTGCAGATGAACGCAACCTTGTTACTTACACATTACCACGTTCAAATCGAGGGCTTGCAGACGAGAATTCCAGCAAAGTAACAGCATGGTATCACAAAATATGTACCCCAGAAGTGCCTCGTTTTTATATCGTACTTGTGTCACTTGCGGATGTACGCTGGTTGTACAAAATACAGAGAAAATGTGTTCCTGGGGAAATGCGGGGTACATATACACCACGTTACTAGCGTTTACTGGGACTGTACGTTGTTCAATTTATTTTTCCGTCCGTCCTTCTTATCATTCATTTCTTGATCAAGACAGACTATTCTGGGGAGTCATTGGATTGCTGTTACGATTCCACCTCTTCTTTCGACAGCCAATCAATAGCCTGACAAATTCCCCATAAATAACCTTACTTTAACCTTAAGCTCCGAAGTTCGCTTTCATGATTAACCTGCTCGTTGCCTGCTTGGTTTTTTCAAGGTTTATTTATACAAGCATTTCAACCTGTCAAATTTCTTTTGTTAAATTGTCCCCTCCACCTAAAATGCGACAGAATGCAATGCACGATCTTAGTACTCCCTCGAACATCCATTACATGTCTGACAATTCACGCCCCCATTCTTGCAGGAAATTCTCAATTTTGCGAGTCATTGGGTGCTAAAAGTGGCAGTTTATGATCGGCTTTGTCATATCATAGGATTTTTTTAACCAATAAGGACTGTTACCAAAGTTTGGATATGGGTTTTATGTGATAGAGATTACAGGCGTGACAACGCGTTACTTGGTGCTATATGCCTTGTGATTCCTCTGATGACATACAATGTATCATGTTACTATTTGTTATGCTGGATGAAGAAAGCGATGCTATGTTATGATGAAAACCATGCTTGCTAGTTTCCATCGATATATCTCATTCTTCCGGGTACCAATTAGGGAGTTTGTTGTCTCGCAAAGAGCTCCCGGGAAGGAAATTCACAAATGTGCCCTTTGATCTCTCCAAAATACATGATATCATCGAGCTTGCTTGCATTCTCACTTTCTTTGTGGATCGACAGGGCGTAGGACTTATATCGTCTAAAGTTTGTACCTTTATTTTGGCCCTAAGAGATTTCCTGACATGGGCTGGTAGTAAAAATTCCTATTCATTATAGTTGTATTATCTGCGGTGACTTCTTTATTAGTCGTCGGTTGACGATTGCAACAAATTGAAACATTCCCGTGACATCCTAATCTCATATTGGCACTCAGCGTTCCTCTGGCATGTTTACATGAAGACCAGAGCTAAGCAGGTGCAAGCTCTTCTCGACGCGTCTCGTATGGCCTAGATGGGACCAGTGGAGATTAGTATGATTCGTTCCAGGCTCTCCTGCTATTAATTGTAGGAAATATCCCAGTCTTATGTGCTCTATATTATTACTACTATCACTGCCGAAACCTGGGGATCTGCTAGTAACAAACGTGGTACAAAGAGATCGTACTTATATCCACCATGCCGATTCGCCAATGATATTCCCGCGCGTTTCGGATGTCAAGCCACAATATGTGTTGCGCCTCTTTTCGTCTTTGTAGAAGCCATACCGACGCGCGTTATGCTTGGCCTGAAGATCTACTATTTTCGCGAGTATCAATTTTTTTTAGATTGCTGTAGGATGGGAGCAGAGGAGTAGGGAATGATAGTGCCAGCTTGTGTGTAACGTCCTCATTCTCCCAGATCTTCGAGATCTACAGGATGACCCCGACACCGACTGTTCTTGCTGGCTCGGCAAGATAGTGCCTCGTGATAAGGTATAGTTCAGGCTCACTAATGGCCCGGGCATCCCACGAAAGATTCTCCCCGGCCATTATTGCTAGAATTACGCGGGTTTGGTGATACGCCACCCCCTCATTCTGTTAGGACGTTCGCATAATGCACGGCTGCTTTTTCTAGCTCGGCGTTCCACTAGATTTTAAGTTTGGTTAGCTAAAGGATTGTCCGATATTTGAAGGACCTAATGGAATGACTTCAGTGCAGAATATGCAAGGCTAGTGCCCTGGAATTCAAAATCAAATTAACTCACAGTTAGGGGAGGCCAGTATGCACCTAGAGCATACTGACGTACTATAAAATAGGTCAGTGCTGGTAGCAAACGATGTTGTTGAAAGACCCTAGCGTCGCTGTTCTTTTTGAGAAGATGTCGAACCAGTTGATCAGATATATTAAATTTTATTGTGTAATATGGAAGGTTTACGACACGAATACTACCGAAAATGATGTGAATTACTGCAATAGGAAAGGACTTTCTGAATGAGAATTGAATGATTCAGCAACAGCGTATTTCACTCCACTAGAAGCGTACCTCATGTTGAGCCAACCAATGTGATTCATCTGATAGCAGATCGTCTCACTCGACCTAGACAAATTCCCCCCAAGTGGCAAATACTACCGTCGTCCTTGGAAGTAATATCACTCCCATCCCATACACTACCCTTTCATGCACATGAGTATTTGAAAATTCGAATTCAAATCATAACCAATACTTGATCAAGACTAGAGGCCTACCAATTCATATCACTCTCGTCCGTAATTTCAAGCTTCTCGAGTCGGTGCCTGACGACTCAAGCAACAAATATCAGGCCCGCTGTTACTCATAAGGGTCTTCGCATCGTACTTGAATAGATCTCAAAGTTTGCGATTAGATCGAATTCCAGGGACAGCTTACAATGGCGCCATGCTGACTGTATTTCCGCATTAGATTGGCCATACGTACAAAGACTCGGTCAAATGGCAGATTAGTATTGCGAAGATCCCGTATGCTCCAAGGAGAAAGATCTCTGCTCTGGTGATAGGGTTCCCAAAATTTAAGGTGGCGGGGTTGACGACTACAAATTTTACCACACTTGATGGTATGTCCCCCAAGCTGTCAGATTGATGTTTGCATAGATTGCCTTCTGGTTTGGTCTCGGAGGGCGATCGTGTCTATCAATGCCAATACATTCCTGCACGGATAGAGTCGTATGTATCTTGGTACCGAACAATTCCGAGAGCGTCCCATGTATATATTGATATCCGAAATCCAATGATACATCGGGACAACCGACCACATGTTCTTTGACAGACCCATGAATCATCTTGTGGCAAGCGCCACTAAGTATATTGGGGACTTCGAGGGGTGTATCGCATATCTCGGCACTATGCAAGCGGGTATACTTTGTTCAATGATGGGTGGGTCTCCATGTGAGATTGTGGTGATACGAAGATACTTGTGCAAGATTCAAAGCTTTAATATATTCATTATTGCAATCCAGTTGGGTGCTTGGGCAAATTGTGCGCTTCATTGGAACTTTGCATATTGTGATAAGATGCTTACCGGATGAAATTAATTTAGCATGCTAAGATGACATCCACAAGATAGCTAAGGAAATTTTGGTTTTGTTTGATAGTACTCACTTGAACCAATTGACGAGTCAAGTGTTGTACCCGAGGTAACTGAAGACTTGAATCCTAGTAGCAATATCTTTCCGGCAAGTAGCTTGGTGGAGACTTTGTGCATCGGATTGTGGCCCCCTTAAGATCGAGCTACCTTTGTATCTCTTGCCGACCGATTCTTCAATTTTAGTATCGCCAAGTAGGGACTGGTTAAATCTCGTATGCATGTATGCCATGTCTCGTCTCAAGAGATAGCTCGATATAGTTCATTCGTCAGGGGATATCGCATATCGAATATGGTTATCGCGGTGATGAAGATATTCCCACAGTGGACTTTCTGTAAAAGGTTGTGCGGCGGTTTAACCCCGCTTCGCGTCATGATTTCCCCAGACTTCGGGAATGATTGTGAAAATAGGCTGAATATAAAGAAGGGATTAAACTGCATGTTTGCAAGATTGGCGATATACTTTCATTCCCTTAATTTTGTGTGTGTGAAAAGATAGATTGGCGCTGCATCAATAAAATTTATTTTCACTTTATCTCAAGCACTCAATGGATTAAGATTAAACTTTGCTTACATAAGGACCCGAGTGACCCTTGACTGTTTGAGTCAGGTACAATTAAGAGATCCCCTTGTCATTCTCGCTTATGCACGTCGTCTTGCAAATCCAATCAAGACCTTCATTTTCCCCCTGCTTTTGGCTTACGGAGTCTCGGTCTCCGTAACACGTTACCCACATATACGATTGTTTTTCTTGACTACAACACCCTTATGTGGTGATATCAAACCAATCCATTATGCATAATACAACCAACATATGGAATTAAAGCCACCATCGATTATTGGAACACACTTTGGGCATCCCATCCTACGCTCCTTTCATACCCTTTCTGCCTTGACCAGATCTTGTACAACTTTGGTCATTTCCCCATATTTTTGTATGCAAAGTAGAAGCACTCTGCAATGTGATCCATCTTACAAGGAATCCTACCTCTTCAACACCCCGCCAGGTCCATTTTCTCCTTTACTATGCAGTAGCCAGCCTTAATATATTCGTCGACAATTCTGGGATCAATTCCTTCTCCATTCGGCCGGTTGCTTTTTACCGAACCCCAGATTTTTATATTCTGATTCTGAACCTGCATAAACATTCACAGGGGCCAAGTCGATGGAAAGCTGTGATATTTGCAGACACCCTTAAGCATATCGTCTGATATGCCAATCCATGCCGCGAATCATCCTCTACCGGCCATTGCAGGACGCCGCTCACGCCTCTTGTTGTACACCCATAAGCGTGTTCACGCGGCACGTAATCAATAATGCTTTCGTAAGGAGATAGTATAAGCCAAATCAACAAAAGCCTTAACATTCGCACTCTAAGAGCCGAGCTGGGGTTGCACATAAAATATTTTTTGAACTCTGATTTTCTATGAAAACCCTTACCTTCAAAACCCCTTCGTCTTATCTAACATCATCCATGCCAAGACACACTTCATGAAGCCACACCTACATGCCTTACATCAACGCAATGTCAATCTCATCTCAAGGAAACTCTCCCAACTCTACCTCCGGAAGCGTTAGACATTTCTCAATGTCTCGGGACAAATTCGACATCGATATTGCCTCACCTCAACTTTCTATCGTAACCAATAGCGATTTGACATCTCCAACCTCTCTAAAATCACCAAATGGCCGTCGCATCGCGAATTTTTCCCGAGAAGGTATCTTGGGATCCGCACAAAAAGCTAGAAATTTATCACAATCTTCCGCAGATAGAGAATCTATCACAAATGGACTACAAAGCAGACAAAATCATAATCAAAACCAAAATAGAAATGGAAATGGAAACGGAAACGGAAATGGAAATCAGAATGGGAACAGTGATGATGGAATCAATCCGTTGAAAAGAAGGAGTACTGATGCTGGCATCGACTACCCCAGACGAAGAGCTACTATAGCTGTGAGTATTCTGTTTTGGACCACAACACCAACTCTAATAAAAATCTAGTGCGAGATATGTCGATCTCGAAAATCACGATGTGATGGCACCAAGCCCAAATGCAAACTTTGCACAGAATTAGGTGCAGAATGTATTTATCGTGAACCAGGAATCAAACTCGATGCCGGAGATAAACTGATATTAGAGCATCTTACTCGGATTGAAGGATTACTTCAATCCACCTTAATCGGACAAACATCCAATCTTGCTCTTTCAACCGGATCGCCGTCTATCAATGGAGGAACCACAACCAGTGGTGAGGATCTATTAATGGCAACTAGTGGTGGCTTTGTTTCTATGATACCTGCCACAGGTCTTGGCACGTGGGCTATCCCCACCAATATCTCCACGATGCCAAAAATTCACACAAACGCTGCACTACACTTACTCCAATGGCCTTTAATTCGCGATTTAGTATCACGACCTTACGACCCTCAGATTCTTCTTCAGCTCGAAATGGCCAGAGAGCCACTTGCTTTGTCCAAAGCGCCATGCTTAGATCTATCAAACACCTCTGCATATATCGAAGCATTCTTCGCCAAAGTAAACGTCTGGTATGCATGCGTCAATCCATTCAATTGGACAAATCACTACCGCGTCGCTTTATCCAACGGTTTTCGCGAGGGCCCGGAAAGCTGTATTGTCCTTTTAGTGTTGGCATTGGGCCAAGCCAGTTGCAGTGGGAGCATCTCCAGAGCAGTTAGTTCTGAAGATCCTCCCGGGCTTCCATATTTTGCAGCGGCTTGGGCACTTCTTCCAAGTTTGATGACGAGAAACACGGTATTATCAGCTCAGTGCACGGTTCTTGCTTCTGCATATTTATTTTATCTTGTAAGGCCATTGGAAGCATGGACCTTATTGAGTAGTACGAGTACAAAGCTCCAGCTTCTCTTGAGTGCGCCTGGAAGGATACCAGCAAGCCAAAGAGAATTATGCGAGCGAGTGTATTGGAATTCCTTGTTATTCGAGAGTGATTTGTTAGCCGAGTTGGATTTACCACATTCTGGGATAGTCCAATATGAAGAAGTAGTAGGACTTCCAGGAGGTTTCGAGCAAGAAGACGAGGATGGAGTGGGTCGCGATGAGCTTTGGTACTTTTTGGCCGAGATTGCTTTACGTCGATTATTGAACCGCGTCAGTCAACTCATTTACTCGAAGGATTCGATGGCATCGACATCGAGCTTGGAGCCTGTTGTGGCCGAGCTTGATTTTCAATTATCACAGTGGTATGAAAGTCTACCTTTACCATTACAGTTTTCTTATACCCGAACCCCTCTTGCGGATCCGGTTCAAACCGTATTAAGACTGCGGTACTTTGCTTGCCGGACAATCATTTTCAGGCCCTATATTCTTGCGGTGTTGGATAATGAACAAGCAGCCATGGATCCGTCAGTTCGAGAGAATTGTCGGAAATGCCTTGAAGCTTCCATTAGACAACTAGAGCATATCAGCGCACAGTAAGTTTTGTCTCTTCATTGTCTCGCCGCGATAGTCTAGCTAACCTCATTTTCAGCCATGCAGGTCACATGCCATATCTCTGGCAAGGTGCGCTTAGTATTGTCTCGCAAACGCTTCTCGTAATGGGTGCCACTATTTCCCCCTCCCTTTCCGCGATCATCAACTCACTCGTCATCCACGATACAATCGACGGTATAATCAATGACGTCGTCATGGAAATCGAAAGATATGCCCATTTAGCGCCCAGTCTAAGTCTCTCTGCCGAGATAATCAGAGAAGCCGAAATGCGAAGACGCAGCTACCTAGGCGGTTGAATGTAGATCCTTCCAAATCATACATTATTTTTAAAAACGATACCACAAATAATGACGACAATCAGCACAATGACGATTATCCCCAAGCACTACGAGTGACAAGGGGCAAAAAAAGGGCCGAATCTTCAGTGGTCTCAGTAGTTATCATACATACTATTTTCGGGAAGATAAAGACTGGGTAAAGCCACGATATATATGAAATTGGGGCTGTGGTCTCAGTCCAAGAGACTGCAAGATGAGGAGATCGAATTCTTTTTGGAGTTCCTCGAAATCTCTACGTGGCAGCTAGGCTTTTCGGGCCTGGATGCCTAAACAGCCAATTTGAGTGGTTGAGAGCCACCCCGCACTTTCCAGGGTTATGATGACTTTGGAGGTTATGTTGGATGGGTCTTACATGTACACTGCCACATGTTGTATATAGTTCTATTTCTTGGAGTGGCTGGTAACTAGTGGTAGTCATGCAGTGTAATGCTTGCTACTTCTGTTTATTGCTGTTCTATATTGTACTCCCTGTGTATATCATGCATTGCGTGGGATCATGGAATGTTTTTATTTCGGAAGTCACTTGACCAGGGCATTCTATCAGAAAAGCATGAGATATTAAGAAAAGAATCAACTCATAGTTGAAATTGGAATAAAAAGCACAGACCTTAATTTGCACTTACTCCTGGTTCCAACGATGTTTTGATATGCAATATAATTAGTGACCTGTGTTGAAGCAGTATGATGATTGAAAGAGACCTGTCTACTACTACTCAATTCACATTTGCACATTATTCTTCTAACTATCAGATACTATCGAATTCTAGATCACAGGGGGGTTGTCAGTAGATAAATCTGACACAAAACTTGGCTTGATATTCTTGCCATCGCCCTGCTTGTCTTGTCATGTGACGGTCATGTGATTATGAACGTTGTTCTTCTATGAAACTAATTGTTATTTACTGCTATGTTTTTAAGATTCTTGAGATAGCGTTCGGACTTGTAAGTACTGCCTATGCTATTGAAGCCATGAACAACAGCCAAGAGGTTGGGATTGACCTCAATCTTTCAACGAATGGCTTCCATGTGATAGCGATACTGTCTCTATTGAGAATTTCAAAAGCAGATCCATGATTTCAGGAAATCAGCCAATTTCTCGGAAGTCTAGGTATTGCAGTTAATACACAACTTTTCCAAATCCTCTAGATTCCCAGACTCCCAATTCGAAACCCAACAGCTGATCATTTCCAAGGCTTCGTCAATCCGCAAGAACCATGATTCGTCGATTCTCAAGAAAAGTATATGTGTTCAGAAAGAAGATTGATTTTCCATACTGCATTAGCGAGGTTCCAATCCAGTTTGTATCGACTAGATTCTAATCCCCACTTTGTGTTCTTTTTCAATTTAGTACTCGACTAGAAAATGGAGATTTGCAAGGCATAATCCAAACGATGAGATTCTGAATTTCATTCATGAGAGTGTGGATCAGTAACGTGTGATCGAAAGGAGACTTCACTGATCACACGTCTCTTACGTAGAGGAATAGTGCCTCGAAGATGTTCAAAATCACAAGATCACGTCTCCTTTGAACTCTCGACTAGTACTCCTAGCCCTTCCGATTTTATCTCCCTCGCCCGTTATCGAAACTATTTTTGATTCATTGCAAGTCCTTTATCCGAAATAGTTCTCCTGGATTTGTGAATTGACGTCTAGGGGCTTCTACGTAGTGAAGAGAAGGCATTGTGTATTTACCTGGTCAATATACTTCGGGATTGTTGGCACGATCAATAGCAAGTATATGGTGAGAGATTGTTGATGACAGTATGTCAGTTTCATTGCTATTATCTCCGGGTACTTTCCCATTTGTGGGCATAAGCTACATTAGTAAGTCATATAGACTCAAAATACCAAAATATCAAACCCTATCATTCCCACATTTCCCAACTCCCAAGATATGAGAACCTCTACTGCATTTGCATAGTTGATAAAAGGCCTCTCGTCTTAAATCATCTCCAGCAAGAAGTCATGCAAACCCCGTGCACCAAACTTGAAATCCTCTGATAACTCCTATTTAGCAGTCATTAATTTCCAATCATCTTTCCCACCATCCTACCAACTCCACCCCTCGCCGTACTCTGTACCTTGGAAAACCTCATGACACCACAACTCTCACTCTCGACATGTTGTACCAACCCACTTAACGCAATAAACTCCTTTCCGCATCTTGCGCCTGGGCATTTATACATTTTCTGCTGATGAACGGGGCTTTTCAGATGGCTATTCAATCCTTGTAGAGTATTGAATCCCCGATAACATAAAGCACATTCAAATTGAGAACCGTTCCAAGAGCGGCTGGTAGCAATGTTGGTGGAGGAGGATGAAGGATACTCGATTAGACGGGTAGTGATGACGTGATCGCGATCTAGACGTCGAATCTCGGCATTGATTTTCTGACGATTCGAACCAGAAGGACAGCGACCGGATTCTAGGTGGATGATGAGTGCTGAGGCGGTTGGATATTGGGTGGGGCAGAATGGGCATTTCATGGACGCTCCTTGGTGGATTCTGGAATGCAAGTGCTGATAGAATCAGATTTCTTGTCTCCATGACAAATTTTATTAGAGTTCTAATTGATAGCTTACCTGCATCAAGTTGTTTTCATTACGAAACATGCGGTTGCATGGCTGGCAATAACGATCGCCATGTTCATGGACGTGATGCTCTTCACGAGCCATGTTGGTCCAATACCAATTGTCGCAACCAAGACATTCAAATTCAGGCTCTTCATCACTGGATTCGTGTTGATCTTCACGATGAACATTGCTGTTCTCAACGTGTTGATTGTAGCTACGATCACTGCCGAACCAGCGGTCGCAAGGATGACACCACGGCATATTGAGTAGGTTTGAGGTGAAATGAATGGAGAAACTCGGGAGATGTTAACTTTCTGATCCTCCGTCAATTTCAAAAAATCAGAGTTGGTGAGTGGTGGGAGAAGTTTCAGAAGCTTAAATGAGAGAAAGATCATAAAAGGTGTTAAGATTCACTAGGTGAAAGCATTACCAGATTGAAACCCGAAAGTAAACAATCGAATGCTTTCACAATCTTTCCTATGAAAAGAGAAATGTTCACACCATTAAGAACAAAGAATGATGGGACTCAATTCACCTGTTAAATATTCATTCGCATGGAAATGATGTTGAGGGTGGGGTAACTACTGTGACGGCATCTTGTGGCCGAAGTTATCCCAGAGGCTCTTTTATCAAATACCATATCAAGGTGTAAGATCTCAAATCAACTACTTGAAAAACACTGGAATTTATGGATATCTCGTTCGATACTATTCATTGCTGAAAGTTTCAGCCGTTCTGCAATGCAAGTCCACCCTGCACATCATCATAATGCAGGCGTCCAATCTGCAGTAGGTAATGTCAGCCTCAAACTAGTTTACAGCCAACAAGGAAATATTCTTCTGAATTATCTCGACGAGCTAGAATGCTACAGAGACTCCTGTTGAACAAACCATGACCACAGCCCGAGATCCTAATCGATATCCCCTGCATAAAATCTACATGGCCGCATTTCAACCGATATATGATCTGAGTTGAACGAATATCATCCCCCCCTTCAAGTGTCAAAAGCCCCATTTTTTGATACTGATATAACAAATGGACCATGTCACCATATAATCTATCCTAGTACAGACCCCTTCTGCAAAAACCTCTACACACTGCTTCCCGCAGACTCTAAAACCTTCATCATCAAACGCTGACCTCACCCAGAAAACAATACTATAACCAGCAACACATGGAATCAAGAACAGTAAAATGGTAACGCCAAAATCCTTATACAATATCTATACTATAGAGTTACAGTTTACTTGAACCTCTTCCCCTTCCCATTTCCCTTCCACCCAGCCCTTTCCCAATTCCGTCCAGTCCCGTCCATCCATCCAGCCATTCCTCCTCCTGAATCACGTTCTCAGAACGCAATTTTTAAAATTCAACATCTTTTCAGATCTAAACCATGCACGCTCACGCCCACACCCACGCTATCAAATATATCCCCACGTATGACGATCACTGCTCATTTCACTCCCCACCCACTCGCGCCCCGAACCAAACAGATGTAAAAGAAAATGGAATCACACGCATCAGCAATAAAAATCTCAAATAGGTAATTAAAGAGCTTGCATGCAATTTTAAGCATTCTAGGTAATAGAAAGAAGAATAGGGAAATAGGAACACTATAGAAAAAAAATCTACTCGATTCTCTTTTTTCCTTCCTCAGCATTCGCGTAACGAGCTGTGCTTAATCCACGTTCGTGCTTAGTTGCTACTAGCCCACCGACTAATTTGTCTTTGCGTGCGTTACTTATTGCTTCATTATAGCCTTCTGTTGCCCAGGGGCGAGGATTGAGCTTGGGCCAGTTGACCTGTAGAGAAAGTGTTAGTAGAAATGCTTGAAGGAAAGAAGGAGATGATGAAGTACAGTATCAGGGGTATGAGAGAAGGGAAAATAAAGAGCGAGAGAGGAACATACATATAGCATTCCGTTGCCGTAAACGAAATTAGCACACCATGCTCCTACTACCAACCAAACCATAACCCAAATTCTCAACGGTAATACAGCGGCATTAGGTAGACGAGGGGTGAAGAGGCCAACAAAGACGAAAAAGATACTGAAGGCGAGAATATAAGGGATGCTTTGAATGAGTAATGGTCTCCTATCAGCAGTAATAAGATGAGAGCCAATATTTGCATTACTAGGAAGATAATAGCCTAGGAATAGATCAAATGAATCCTGCTTAGGCCCATCTAGGAAGTTATTTCTCACGTAACGCGTGATAGAATTTTGGAGATCTTGAAGAGCACCAGCTTTGGTCCTCACACCTGTCCTTGTGAAATCTGTTTTGAGGGCGCCTGTTCCAGAATAGGATTTGGAGACGACATCAGCGTTGTCGGCCCAAAGTTTACGGAAAAGAACTTCAAACTCGGGGTCGGCTGTTGTGAAGGTCTCGCCACGAGTGAGAACACCAAGATCCGTTAATTGCCGATTAAGGGTCCATCGGCCAAGCATGCTTTGAACAACATTTGTTCTATCTAGGCAGTCCATGCAGTTTGTGCGGACAACACTAGTCTGGTGATTGCGAACTTCGAGACGGCCATCGATATCAGCTGGCATATCAATTCCACGGAAATACTGTTGCGCTTCAAGGGCAGAATTGAGTTGGTCGAGTAATAGTTGTGCTCGGTGCCATTTTAATCCTTTGGTTTCGTTGTGGAAATCGAAGTATACGTAGTGCAGTCTATCCATCTCTTGTCTCTTTCCATTAGGCTCAACCACCCGGAATTTCTCATCTGTAATTTGATCACTTTGTCTGCTTTCAGTTGGCGCCGAAACCAAAATCTTAACCATCTGTTCATATGCTTCTTTTACCCGCTGCTCACGTCCCTTTTGGTTTACCAAATTTACCAGATAGTTGTCTCCATACATTCGGATTTGCTCGTCGAAATGCGCTTTAGCGGCAGGGACGGCGCTTTCCACTCCTCGAATCTGAAGTTTTGGTGTATAATGTAAAGTGTTGACTTCTGCCCAAAATACCGGGACACTTCCTCTGGTTTGTACATATGACAATATCTGTATCTCCTTGTCGCCTGATCCTCCAACTTTGCCATTTTGCATTCCAGCTCCTCCGGCAAATCCACCAAGCCCACTGCTATTGTCATTCAGAATGATAATTTGTTCCGTCTCATTAAAGTTAGAAACGTGCCCGTCCTCGTCCACACCTCGAGAAAAGTATCTAGTTCCAGCTCGGTATCTGGATCTTCGAGTAACCAAGATAAATGTCAATGGAGTGGACTTGACTTGAGTGTGAACAATCTCAAACATTCCAAACATAACTGGCAAGATATATGGATCCGCCGCTGGTTGTTGTCCATGTTGATGTCGAGACCCAGATGTTCGGAAATCTATTAAATCTGATTGTATAAATTTATTCCAAAAGAATCGGTCGTCTGCTCGCTTCCATAGAGGAGCTGATGTGTCGAGTTGCGATTGTCTCTGAAAAGTATTGGTAATGTCGGAAGAATATGAAAAGTACATCGGTGCAGACTTGATGAAGACCTTAAGGAGGTTTAGGTAGGTATCTTCGTCTTGGTCTCGAAGCGCTCGTTCTCGGAGAGGTAGGAACTCGGTTGTGATGATCTTAAATACCATATGCCCCTTCAGTCTTCCAATAGGTTGTGCCTTTGTAATTACAATAATGTACTTATCTAGGAAGAAATCAGTTCCAACTCTGGTATAATGTGGCATTGTAAATACCCAGTCGTAGTTTGATCATGCCCAAGATGCCGGCAATACTGGATACACGCTTCCCTCCCAAGAGTGCTCCATCATTAAGTCGTATATCTCCTGTTGGTCGATCAACTACAAGTGTTGGTGCCGAGGGTGAAGATGGTGATGTGAATGCGTAATGCGATGTTGAGGCATGGACGTTGATATCCCTGAAGGGCAAAGAACTGGCCATTTTGACTGATCTATCCTGCAGATAGTGTGTATCGTAGTTCCTCTATTGTCTGGTTCTCACAAACAAATTCCTCTGCGGGCGCGTACGATCTGATCTATAATTCAGTCAAGCTTGATATAGCTGTTCTCTAATTCGAAGCTCGGAGCCTCGCAATATCTAAAATTAACACTTGGTGGATACGCCCTAGAAGCACCCCCTTGTTATTACTAATCTCGTCCCTTTCTGTCTGTTCCAGATCAATATCTGAAGTTTCAAAGTACGGGGGACAAAACTCTTCTTGATATTCATAATCACTTGAAATGGTTGACAAATATAAAAGGAGTAAGACAGATTCATTAGAATTACTATATTTGTTAATATAATTCTACAGTACCCAGGTAGCATTGAAGAATTAGCTCCAGTTTTGACAAGTACTGATTCAGATACAAGTGTGGATTTAGCATTTAATGATGAACTTTTGATAGGCTGACGTTCAAAGAGCATCTGAACAATGCTCCACGTGATCATGATTGTCCCAGTAATCGAAGCGATTTAGGATCGTCGTCACTTTCCAGGTTGCGCTGTTTCTCAAGATCAAGCAAGATAGCATTTAACTTTACCTCCACCACTTCCGCCTTCCTCCTACGAATTAGAGCCGCCCAAGTACTACACGAGCATATACAACTTGCCCAGCGATATATCCCACTCCATTAAATCCCATTCACAATCACAACCACAACCACAACCACATTCACATTCACATTCACATTTCAACATGGCTGCTCGAGGTCCACCAGGCTCCCGTGCTGGAAACTCACGATTTGCGCAGTTTAAATTGGTGTTACTTGGTACGCTATTTCCATAAGTTTCTGACGTCTTCATTAAATCGGTTGCTAATCTTTCATGATAGGGGAATCTGCCGTCGGAAAGGTATGAGCTACCGTTTGCCAGTTGGATTTATTCTAAATGCTAATGTTCGGCATAGAGCTCGTTGGTTTTACGATTTGTCAAGGTATTTCTGATTATTTCCAAGCAATGAAATTATTTCAAGCTGACTTTTTAAACCAGGATCAATTCGATGATTGTGAGTAGCCATCCAACAAATCTCGTTCTTATATCAAAAGCCTAGATACGATTCAAACAGGGGATATTGGATAAACAAAGACCACACCGCTGACCATACGGCAGACCGCGAGAGTACTATTGGCGCTGCATTCTTAACTCAAACCATCTCCCTCGACGAGAACACCACAGTCAAATTCGAAATATGGGATACCGCAGGACAAGAGAGATACAAGTCGCTAGCGCCTATGTATTATCGAAATGCCAACTGTGCTGTTGTTGTTTATGACATCACACAGGCTGTACGCTTCTCCGACTCTAAATTGGAAAGTAATTCGCTAACATCTGTGATAGGCCTCATTGGATAAGGCCAAATCTTGGGTGAAAGAGCTTCAACGACAAGCAAATGAGAATATCATCATTGCTTTAGCCGGAAACAAGCTCGATTTAGTCACGGAACAACCGGATAAACGTGCTATTACTACTGAAGACGCTTCGAATTACGCTAGAGAAGCCGGTTTACTATTCTTCGAAACTTCTGCTAAGACATCTGAGAACGTAAGGGAATTGTTCACAGCAATTGCAAAGAAATTACCATTGGATCAAGCCGGTCCAAGAAATCCAAGAGCTGGTGGTCCAAGGGGAACTGGTGTTGATCTCAGGCCCGAAGCGCCAGGAACACAAGCAGGCCCAGGATGTGCTTGCTAGAGAAACTTTGTGATGAATATGCGGTGGAGTATGGGACATATTGGGTGGAATGAACCTTTGATACCAAGAATGAGCTATTGTCGGGACTTTCCACAAATAGTGTTCCTTTTCGAACAAGATTGCTTGGTTGAGGGCAGCATACATGTGGCCACTTCAACATTTACGAGAGCAATCGTTTTTTAATACCTTGATGTCTCTAAATTCTCGTAGGAAGGGGTTTGATATGCAGCAGATTTCTGCTTGCTAGGCGTGAGGGTTTTCCTTGTTTTTTTCCTTTTTGATGAATTAGTTCTTCGGCATTTGGGATGTACGATATGCAATAGAACCATGCATTTAAAACAATATTTTTTATTGCACAAGAATCTGTGCTTAGAGAACGATCACTATAGGAATTCTTTCAATACATATAAATCAAAATTTTGACAATATTTCGTAGCCTTGCACATTTGGCTAATGTCAATTCCGACCCTGGGATTTTCTACATCATCAACCAAAAACTGGTGTGGTCCGAGCTTCTGTAAACTTGAAAGTGTTTTTATCTTGAATTGTATAATTGGCAGAAGAAGACGCGCAGTTTTAACATCACCAACCTCAAAAATAACTCATCGCTCCACGCAGCCCGTCATGCTGCGAGTTGGTCTTCGATCTTCGAGGACGTTGGGTCTCAGATCCAACGTCGTCAGTCCTGGACGTCAATGGAGAGCACAAAATAGCCGGGTGATTTCGGATACTATGGTATGAAGCTTCAAGATATTCCACCTCGAGCAATTAAGTAGCGATATGAATGCTGATAGTTCTTTGTAACTCCAGAGAAGTTATGCCGATAAGCCAAGTATAACAGACTCGAGACCTCCAGTACTTCCAGGATCTGCCAGTGCGGCTACATCTGAACCATTACCACCTGGAGCAATAGTAACACCAAACACTGCCCCAACACCAGCAACTCCAACCTCCACCACAATTCCTGCGGAAAATGTTCCTCTTACTCCTCCTCCTCCAGGAGTTAAGTCACCAGGGCCTCCCCCTCCATCTTCCATCCCACCACCTCCCGCACCCAAGCCAAAGAGACGCTTCTTCCGCAAGTTCTTCACAACATTATTTTTATTAACAACATTGGGCTTCGGCGGAGGAGTTTACTATTCCCGAATCAATGATAATTTCCATGACTTCTTTACCGAATATGTACCTTTCGGAGAGGAAGCGGTCCTTTATTTCGAGGAACAGGAATTCCGAAAACGTTTCCCTTTGATCGCAAATCGAGCTCCAAGGCCTCCAAGAGATACTGGCGAACAGGTCAAAATCCCAAGCCAAAGTGGCGTGTCATGGAGGGTTGCCAATGAGAACAAGGAATCTACTGGACGACACACTAGCTCAGCGAAGGACAAGGCGAAGCCATCGGAAGCTGTTCAAACACCACACGACTCAAAACCAGCCGATAGAGTCAAGGCCGTTGAGCAAGTTAAGAGTGGAAATGCACCAGTAAAGAACTCTCCAGCTCCAGCTGCTGCGCCTGCCACTTCAGAAGCCAAGTCAAGTAATGCTCAAAGGGACCCAGAAGTCAATGAGCCATCTAGAGCATATAAGAAAATTGAGCGAATTGACCCAATCAATATCCCTAATGGAAACGAGCCTGTAGTTCAAGAACTGGTTAAGATTATGAATGATATCATTGCAGTCGTTAATGCCGACAATGCAAATGCTAGATTTACATCTACTATGGACAAGGCCAAGTCGGAATTGAACAGAGTTGGAGGCAAGATCTTGGCTATGAAGGAGGCAGCATTGAAGGAAGCTGACGAGAAGATTAAGTCTCACGATGGAGAATTCGATCGTGCTGCTATGCAACTCATGCAAAACTTCAAGAACCAACAAGCAGAGCAGGAAATTCAATACAGGGCCGAGTACGAAGCCGAGCGCAAGAGAATTCACGAGAACTACGAGAAAAAGCTTAAATCTGAGCTTGATCGCGCAAACGAGGTCAATGAGCAAAAGCTCAAGAATCTTTTGACAGAACAAGCAGTTGAACTTAAGCGTGCATTCTTGGCTGATGTCAGAAGTCGCGTGGAGGAAGAACGTGAAGGCCGCCTCGGCAAGCTTTCCGAGTTGACTAACACCGTCAATGATCTCGAGAAGCTTACTGGTGACTTCAATTCTGTTGTCGACGCAAACCTCAAGACTCAACATCTTCATGTTGCAGTTGAGGCCGTTCGTGCTAACCTCGAAAAGTCTCAAATTCCACGTCCTTTCACCAGAGAACTTGCTGCCCTTAAGGAAATTGCATCTGATGATCCAGTTGTCAACGCAGCGATTGCATCCATCAACCCAGTCGCTTATCAAAAGGGTGTTCCAAGCTCAGCTGCCCTCATTGACCGTTTCCGTCGTGTTGCATCTGAAGTCCGCAAAGCTTCGTTGTTACCTGAAGAGGCTGGTGTCGCTAGCCATGCTTCAAGTTACGTACTAAGCAAGCTTCTGTTCAAGAAGAAGGGTTTGGCTACTGGTGATGATGTTGAAAGCATCTTGACTAGAACGGAGACATTCCTTGAGGAGGGTGATTTGGATGGTGCAGCTAGAGAGATGAACGGATTAAAGGGGTGGGCAAAGACTTTGAGTAAGGATTGGTTGGGTGAGGTTAGAAAGGTCCTCGAGGTTCAGCAGGCCCTTGACGTAAGTTATACTTCCAATTTACCCTTAACACTCACTTGATACTTCAATTACTCACAATTTCTAGGTAATTGCAACCGAAGCAAGATTACAAAGTTTGAGAGTCGAATAGAGAAATAACAAAATTCTTTGCTATAATTGATTTGTACATGAAGTTCAATGGTGGTGAGAAGAGACGATAGCCACATGTTGGTGGAGAGATCGGTCAGTCATTAATTTTGACTGTTTGTAGAAGTACGGATAGTAAAATTAGAATACATGTACTTTATTACTGCTGATATCATAATGGCGGAATGATTTGGTGCCTCTGTGGTGAAGTATGAATTCGAAAACCATGCAATAGCATCAAATCGAGGCTATCAAGTTGGAAGTGGCAGCGAGTGCTGGTGTGACTAGGCGTTCAAATATGGATATCAAATTTTTCGGATATATTCGAGTAGAGTTCGGATGATGTTCGCTTTCGAGCTACTGTCAGCCGTCAGGACATTAATCATCCTTTCCTTAAGCATACATTACGATGTCTATTCCAATATCTACCTCGCACCCGTATCCCCATCCTATCAATCAGACTCCTAATTCACTAGTCATTATAACCATGCATCTATACTACATGATTTCCGTCGAATAATCCTCGCTGTCTACTCCCTCCCCCATTCAAAGCATCCTGTTAAGATACCGTTCTTTCGTACAACTCTCACACAGTCTCTTGTCATGTGGTTTAATTCTATTCTCTCTTTCGTACTCAGGATTCTCCATGTTTACCTACTTTCCATGCGGATAAAAAGAGCTCCGAGAGTGCTACTCTTCATCCGTGATCTAGTAAGTATCGATTACTACAAGAAATTCGGCGAGTGTTGTATTCTAATTGGTAGGATTTGTGACTGTGCTTCATATTTCATTATTCATATATTCTCTCAACTAAGTATACTCAATCTTTCAATCAAGCCCATACTCCGAACGACCAGATGACTTGAAAAAGCTAGTCCTACTTCCTATTGTTCCGTGATTCACCAAGTTTCGAAACCTTCATCTTGCATCATCTTCAAATATGCATCTTCATTTGCCGCTTCTTTCTCAAATCCCTCGCTTCTGAAGATTCTGTGATGACTATTAACATCTCTACAATCTTCACAATCTTCTCCACAAAAACTCGACCCCTGCTTCACCGATACCTTGATTCTCGAGCAGCGCTCCTTCGACGTTACCCCTGCAACTTTTTCCTTTCTCCAATCGAACATAAATTCATGATTATAAATAGGTCCATCCACACCCACGAATATACATGTATACATAGCCTGGTACATATAATCATACGCCACACCCATTCTGATCCCCTCCTTTTTCTCAACCTTTACGTCCCAGAAAAAAAGCCCCTGTTTATCAACCCTGGTGTAATCGATCAACATTTCTTCAAGTGGGGGCTGACGCAGTAGCATTTTGCGCCAGCTAGCATCAGATCTCCTATAAGCCATCGCAACGCCGGGTGAAGAACCCCATTCCAGCTCGTTGAAAGTTTTATGGCCGACTCGATTCCATGGTTCTTCTTCACTAGTATAAAACCAATCTGGGAATTTCTCGGCCAGTAAAGGATTAAGCGTAACCTCTATATTTCGGGGAACGGGTTTGAAGAAAAGACATTCTTGGAGATGGGGAGATGTTTGGATTATTTCGGCCCATTGTTTGGAAACACGCTGAGAGAGGAGCAGAGTTTTGACGTCGAGATGGGAGAGGATCTTGGCGAGGATTTCAGGGACGTAGAGGGGATTGGGGGTTTCGGTGGACATCTTGATGATTGGGAATTGGGTATTGGGAATTGGTTCAAGGGTACGGTTTTTCTGATCAGGAATCACCATGGTCAGTATTTCCATGTAAAGATATTGGATATGATGCGTTCGATGAGTTCGAGAAGTCAGGTGTGGAAGGGAATATCACGTGGATGTATGTGGAGCTCAGCCATAGAACTAGGAGTGGCGCAGTTGAAGTAACACTAGACTAGATGATAGACTAGATGATAAATTAACCGAAGCAGCTATTCTCTTTACTCATTCATCCATCTGCGCAAATCTATCAATGTGACGGCGCCGGGGATGTGACTCACTTATTACTATTAAATTTCTGAAGCTCTGATTTAATTTGGATGCACAATCTTACATGTTGTGTGTTGAAGTTACATGAGAAGTTTTCTGAACCCGAAACATGTGAGTCAGGCCGATGAGATCAACATCGGAAAGCGGCAACCGAAGCTTGAGAAGGTCTGTTGGGTCTTGGTATTTTCCATGTCAACTACTTCCATAACTTATCAGCTATTTAACAACAGCATCATCCTCGATTGAATTCAATGCCATTAAAATCAGGTTCAGTCCTTTGATAAATTTAATTGTCATTTTCGTTCCTTTCTTTCAATTCGAATTTCTTCTAATTTATTCTTTTAAAATCCGGGTTTTCATCCAAATTATTGAGGCAAGAAGGAAAAATGTTGTCTCAAGGAGAATCAGCAACCACCATCTTGTGTTCGTGTAAACAAACGAGATTCCATATTGAGAATCCAGTTTATCAGGAGGTAAATACGTCCATTTTCTTAGCGATGTTTAAAGATCATTCCAACTGAAGATAAATTCTGACCATATATATCGTAGCTCGATATTGAAGGTTTAAATATCACGGTTACATCTTCGGGTAAATCAGGTGTGAAATCAAAGGGAAAATCTAAAGCAGAAGGTCTTGAGATTCTATCCAATGCGAGTTTGAAACTCAAAGCTGGAATATGCTATGCATTGATTGGAAGAAATGGCACAGGAAAATCGAGTATGTCTCCCCTTTTTCATTTTGAGCCAAGAAAAATGAGATTTCTGATAGTTGGTGTCACATGAAGCTTTGTTGAAGGCCATTGCGGAGAAATTGATCCCTGGTATTCCTGTACAGACTAGGATATCTATCTTGCAGCAAACAGATGCAGATTCAAAAGATACCGGTGGCGAAGGGAGTAGTGAGTCTGAAGAAACGGGAGGAAGTAAGCTGTCAGTATTGGCAGAAGTTATCGACAAAGCTACTTCAAGAAGTGAAATTCAACATGAAGTTGATGGTATGTCTTGGCATCTCAATTGTTGTATTTGCATGATTTATATGGACATTGATGAAATCTCTTAGTATTGTCCAAGGCTGTGGATAGTCATGAAGATGCATTGTCACCTATACGGGCATTTCGGAAAGTACAGCATGAAAGGCTGAAGAAGGAATTATTCGAGAAAGATAAGGATGCCAGACTCAGAAGTGGAACACGTGGTATGGCAGCAAGAAAAGCATTGATTGCCTTTGAGAAGATTGTTGCGGATTCTGAGGAACGGTAAGTGGGCATGAACCAAATTGGCGCCCAACTTCTAATCTATTCTGTAGAATTAATCAAAAAGATGAAGAAATTGACGAAACCACAATCAAAGAAGAGACAGACCTAGCAGCAGAACTTCTTGCAGAGTTACAATTACAGCTAGAGCCCACCAGACTAGCCGACATCGAATCAAAAGCACGAAATATCCTCTCCGGTCTAGGATTTCCCAAAGCAAACCTGGACAAACCAGTCAATACCCTATCCGGAGGATGGAAAATGCGTACAAATCTCGCTTCGATCCTTCTCCAACCAACAGACATTTTAATCCTCGACGAGCCCACCAATTTCCTCGATCTCCTTGGAATCATCTGGCTACAAAAATATCTCGAAACTCTCAAGGAATCTACCCCCACTCCCCAAACCATTGTAATCGTCTCTCACGATCGCGATTTCATCACCGCCACATCTCAAGAACTTATCATTCTCCGCAGCCAAGCTCTGACTTATTTCCGTGGATCTTTGTCTACATACGAATCCACCATCCGCGAAAAAACTCTCTATCTAACCCGTATGCGCGACGCTCAAGAGAAGCAAAAATCGCACATCCAGCAAACCATTCAGCAAAACATCAAACAAGGAAAAGCAGCCGGCGATGAGAATAAACTCCGCCAAGCTAAATCTCGTCAAAAGAAATTAGATAATCGAATGGGCATGGAGGTGTCCGCTAAAGGAACTCGGTTCAAACTCAATCGCGACCTAGCTGGCTACCATTTGACAGCCAGAGAAGAAATCGAGATTCCACCCGAGGAAAGAGGTATCTCGATGATGATACCTCTAGCACCCGATTTACGATTTCCCGGCCCATTGCTCTCATTAGAAAACATCTCATTCCGCTACCCAACTTCCGGGTCTCCAAAAAGCACCACCACACCCGCACCATTCGTTTTAGAAAACGTAAACCTCACCATCCACATGGGCGACCGCATCGGAATCGTCGGCCTCAACGGCGCCGGAAAATCCACCCTTCTCTCTCTCCTCACCGAAACCGCTAAACCCACCAAGGGAACCCTCACCAAACATCCTCGTTTACGACTAGCATACTACTCTCAAAACTCGGTCGAAGATCTGCAAGTTCTCTCGCACAACACTCCAGAGCTAACGGCTCTCTCTCTTCTAACTTCCGATATCGCCGGTGTGCTCTCGGAGCAGGAAATCCGCGGGATCCTAAATGGTTTGGGTCTGCAGGGACGAATTGTCTCGGATGTTCCAACTGGTAAGTTATCTGGTGGTCAGCTTGTGCGGTTGGCGTTGGCGAGATTGGTGTGGAAGGAACCGCAATTGTTGGTTCTCGATGAGGTGACGACGCATTTGGATTTTTGGACGGTGAGAGCGGTGGGAGAGGTGATGAGGGGGTGGAATGGGGGGGTTGTGGTGGTTAGTCATGATCGGTGGTTGGTTAGGAAAGTAGTGGAGGGGTGGAAGGAGGGGAGGGAGAAGAGGAGGAAGATGAGGAGGATGAGGAGGATGAGGAACAGAGGAGGAGATTGGTTTATGTTGTTAAAGGTGGTGGGGTAAAGGTGTTAGAGGGAGGTGTGAGTGAGTTTGAAAGGAGTTTGGAGAAGAGAGTTGATAAGTTGATGAAGTGATTTTGTTACACTCCGTTTTTACGGTTGTGTTGGTTATAGTCATGTATTCAATCCTGCGAAAGGTGGTTGACATAAATAGTGTGGTAATTCGTTTCCTTTCGCAAATATCTCTAATTGAGCCAAAAACTTTCAACTACCATATCTTGGAGGCGGCAAGCTTTAACAACACTTTCCTGTCCCCCCGCACGCACAAATCACCACACACACCTCTATTACCCCCACCTGCTCGAACCATTAAACCAGATCTCATCAAAGGTTAGAGCTCTCTTCTCATCAACTATCAGACTACAGCCCATGGCTCAAATCCTCAGAAATATTACACAATTTAAGCATCCAATTTTCAAAAAGAAGTCCTCACATCCCACAGGTCTCCCCATCATCACAGATCACTCAAGATATCGGAGAAGCTCATCCCTCACGACTGGATTTCTTTTGCAAACGTCTTTTCTCTTGTCGTTTTTCTTTTTCGGGAGGTCACTAGGAAACCGCCTTCGAATTTTTGCACTGCCTCGATGGCTTTAGGGATTGTTTTCTCGACTTACTGATGAAGTTTTGAACTCCGCTAAAAGCGAGTTTTCTACAGAGACCAAGACTATGCATGGATGTTTTATGCTGGTGATATGGAAGAAACACTGTGGGGAGGGGTGAGGAAAGGAAGGTGTTGAGATTTGAGTTAAGAGATGGGAGATGGTGATTCCGTGGCCATTATAAAAGTAGTGGTGATGATTATGATAGGAGTATTAAGTACCTTGAATACTTGATCACTTCAGAATGGACGTGGGTTATATATCCACCCTCATCTTCATTTATTATTTGTTGACTGGTCAACTTTTGCGCTGTAACTTGAGTTGAAGAAAAGTCCATTCCAGTTCAGTGATGAGAAGGACTTGCGCGACTGCCGAAATAAATGACAGCGTTACATCTGAACTATTGCCTAGGACGATTCAAATATCTAAACGTGGGCAGCTTCAACTTCATTCACAACAAGTTGTTGGATCTCTTCAGTTCAACACACTTACATGATGGAGACACGCGCTTTTACTTTCGCTTTCGCTTTCACTTTCACTCTCTCTGTTTCAAGATCCACACATTTCTTCCGTAAAAATCATCTTTCAATACTACGCCATCATACCGTCCAATCAGACCATAAAATGGGTGGTTAGAAGGAAAAGAATAACAGAAAAGAGCTGCTCAGTTCTCATAGCTCGCAAGTCTGTTATCTGTTAATTTTGGATGGAAGGAGTTGAATGTACACCGTATGGAGAATGTACCAGGAAGCCCGGGCCCGGGACTTTATCTTACCAGATATGAGGATTGGATGTTTGAAGTTTGAGGTTTACCGTCGGATAAGATGGGGTGGGCGATTACCGTTGAATAAGGTGTTTGAGGAATGGATTGATGCCGTTGATGCCGTTGATGCCATTGAATAAGTGTTTGTCTATAAATCGATGTTAGCATATTGGAACCCCGAAGTGAATAATCAGACCGTCGAGCTATGAGAACTTTGAGTTTTTGACTTATTTTTCTTGAGGCGACAGCATCTTGGGTTTTGTTGGTGATAATACGTACGGCAGTGAGAAGATATGAGGGCAGAAGATGATAGAGACTTGGATGAAGATAAGCGGGTGTGTAGCCGCATGCTGGATTTGGTAGTTTGGGTCGGGTTTATACTTTCCTTTTTTCATGTGTAAAGGATGTACATTCAACTATCATTCGGTTACTGTCAATTATTACTGTATCGATTCTCGCAACTCTTCTGTGCACACATTGTTCTAATAGCTAATTATTGTTTATCCACTCATAGCCATTCGTCTAACCCCCTTTTTATCCGATAAATTAGCAGTACTTTCTTATTCACGTCTGGATACAAACCGTAAACATCTAAGATGATTACCAACACATACTCCTTTGTTTTCAATACGCCAAACCGTAATGCCCGTATTGTGTATCTAGCAATGTAGCACTTTTGGCTGGCTGTACATATTTTGAGTTATAACATCCCCAAGTTCCAGTCAGAGCAATAACTTTTGAACTTGTTCATCTCTAAAATCCAATCACAATAACAACCAGTCAACATTCTCCAACACTCAATTACTGAATAACAGTTTCCACTTATTATTCACACCTCGAACATACCTTACACATAAAAATACATCTCCACCTCTTGCAGAGACAAATCACCAATTTCCACAGCCCATCTCTTAACCACAGGATCTTTCACAAGATGTGCAACATCTGCCAGAAGATCGAAGCCATCCAATCAATCGACTCTATCCTTCTCAAACCTCTCAAAGTCATTCTCACCAAATTACACGAGCGCATCGAGCCCGAACTAGGAGACTCTTTCCTCCGCCGCGAAGCACGTATCCACTCTATCAAGAAGAATATCCAATGTCTTCAAATCGGTCCGTTGAAGCCTATCATCAAAATCATCATTTCTGATCTCGATTCCGAGCTCCGCAAACTCGCAGTCAGCAAGGTCGATCACCCTGCCTATCGAACTGTTGGAAAATATAATGATCTAACGACGAAGATCGGACCGGATGATAGCTCGAGTATTCGGAAATGGTTGGAGAATCGAGCTGAAGAAGCTAGAGAAACTAAAGAATTGAAGAAAATGGTGGCTCTTCAAGGAAAGTCAAAGACTCGGCGCAATTTGGGAGCTCGGAACAATGCGAGAAACCCGAATGATTCATTGACAGGACCAAATTGCATGGCGGGCCTGGGATCATCTACAGAGTCGGAGTATTTGTCAGGAACGGATGATTTGTCGGAAATCGATTACATGGAACTTGATGATCGGCTACCTGTTCCAGGAGCTGTGGAATGGTCAACTCATGTTGTGGATCAATGGTTTGAGAAGAATGGTGAGAATGCTTTGTTAAGCGAGGGGGTTGCGCAGGCTGAAGATGCACCTAGAAAGCATAGAAAGCATAGGAAACATAGGAAGCATTCAAAGCGGGAGTAGAGTACTTCTAGATTAATGCGGTGGTTTATGGATGGATGATAGAGTATAATTAATAACCAACACATATTGACCATTTTGAGAGAAATGAAAATAAGTGTCAATTAATGACGCATTGAATGGTGAGATGATCGCGTGTAGACAAAAACGTATTTCAGAGATATCATGGAAACTTCTGAGTATCACTAATTCTGCCTTGCGACTTTTACAGTATACCATCTGACAGTATGGTACTTGAACCGGGCGCTTCTCAGAACTCATACAATCTGAGACATATGTCACTTGATAAAACTATCTCTTAGTATTGCATTATTGATAAATAGACCGTATCAAAAGCACATCTCGTCTCAATTCCTATTTTCTACTTCCTCAAAACTCAAATAATACAGGATACAATAATATATCTCCAAAATTTCTCAACCTCATAATGTACACAAGACTCCCAAGATATGTCATTCAAATAAACAACTTAAGAGAAAATCCACCCATTGTCTAATTACCAACCGATTGAATTCCCCACAGCTCACAGCAGACACAAATTGTTTTCATTCCCATCCCAGCCAACTCATACCATACTTGAGTAGCTCAGAGAATATCAAAATGTTTGTTACCTAAATGATCTTCCATATGAAAAATAGCCCATCCTAATAAACTCCTCCCTCTACTTTCATCGTACCCCAATTTTCAAATTTTACATCTCAATATAGTTTGAATATGCATATTCGTTCTCACTTTGATCCTCCTACTCACTTACCCACTGTTCAACCTAGACCCTAGACCCTCCTTCCTCTTTTCCTTCATCCCATCTCAACCACCCCCGAACCTAGCACCCTTTCTTGCTCTCCTGTTCTCCATCCCCCATCTACATCATCTCAACCCCATCTTTTCCAAACTCAAATCAATCTAAAACTCTCCTTCATTTCCCTTTGAAGTAATTTAATAATCTGGAAATATACTCCAGCAACTCCAAGATTTCTCTACCCCGTCCATTCTCCACATCCATTCAACTTTCCAGATGTTATCCAGCACACAGATCAATACAATATGGTAATTTCTTCACAGACCCCCTTCCACTCATTGTAAACTCCATCAAAATGAAGCAATACTTTTCTCTTTTATTTATCACGAAGTGATATGTTATCGAGAACAAGATATCATGTACTGAAAATTCACAACATAAAAATGCAAGAAACTTGGAGTCAATGTTCAAGAAATACAGATGACAAAACAATCCATCATTTATCATAATCAACACTTCAAAAATAAAACTACATACAAAAGAATAATAGAGAAATTGAATTTTTTCATCATAACTACGTCCGCTCCCTCTCCAAGAAAATAGGCCTATCTTACATACACACGTACATACATACACACATAAACCCCCTCATCATCATAAACCATCTAAACCCTAGATAAAAAGAAGCAAACCCATCATACCCACAGCAACCCACACACCTAGTCCCTTGACCAATTTCTCCGCACCCCCCTCAAAAGTAACCGCGCTCGGACTCGCCACGGACGTCTGCGTCGTCGCACTTCCACTCTTCACACTAGTACTCTCGCCCTCTGCCTTAACCACATACGAACTTGGTTTTGGCACTCTCGTGATTGACGATGCGGTACCAGTGGCGACCAAGGTACCGTTTCCAGCACCATATGGTGGCGCCACGCTATATGGTGGTGCGATGCTGGTGGCTGGAGATGGGGATGCGATTGCGACGGGAACAACGGTGATGATTGAGGGAGCGATGATGGCGGAGATGGTGGTGGTTTGAGAATTGATAAGGGTAGAGATTAGGGTTGTGTAGAGGCTTGTTGGTGATGCGGCTTCGGGAGTAGCGGCGGGTGAGGATGCTCCGATGACTGGGACTGAGGTCACGATGCCAGCGGCGGAAGAAGCTCCCTTGGTTGGAATTGCCGACGATACACCGGCAATGGATGAAGCTCCAACTGAAGGGGCTGAGGTGAAAACGGCAGCGGTGGAGGAAACCTTGACAGTTGGTACTGAAGTTTCGATTCCGGCAGCAGAAGAAGCTCCGGAGGTAGGTACATTTATAGGAGCGCTAGAAACAGTGATTGGATACACGGAAGTGTATGATGAGATAGTCTCAGTTGTGACTTGACCGGATCTAGCTGGACAATCCGTTACACTTGGAGCACATGAAGTGATGGTATAAACAGATGTTTGGTAGACCGTTGAAGTTCCATACGAAGTAATTGCTGTGGTTGAAACGGGTACTCCAGCGGAGGAAGATGTCGAGCTAACAATGCCACTATTTCCACTGGTTTCTGTTACGGGGCAAACGGTAGTGTAAGAGGAAATTGTCTCGGTGGTTACAGAACCAATTCTTCCTGGGCAATCGGTTACGGTTGCTGCGCAAGATGTGATGGTATAAACAGAGGTCACATAAGCTGTAGAGGTGGTGTATTGAACAACTGAAGTACTTGGTGATGTAGCACTTCCTTGAGCTGAAGATGAGGATATTGGAGATGTGGTAAGTCCTTGAGCGGAAGAAGATGCTGTTTGTGATGCAGTGACTCCTGGGGCCGAAGATGACTTTGAAGATACGGAAATCCCTTCAGCAGAAGAGGTTGAGGTGGCGGTTGCGGTGACCGGGCAGACAGTGGTGTAGGAGGAGATAGTTTCAGTGGTTACAGAACCAATTCTTCCCGGGCAATCAGTAACTGTTGCGGCACAGGAGGTAATTGTATAGACTGTAGTAACATAGGCCGTCGAAGTAGTGTATTGAATGGCCGAAGTTATTGAACCAACTCCGGATGAAATAGATCCACTAGCGGAGACAGAACCAGTTTCTGATGTTACAGATCCGCTGTTGGTAGTAGATCCAGTTGGGAGCTCACTGGTACCAATTGTCGAAGATCCCACCACGGTTGAGTCGGTTGCACTAAATCCAGGTCCAGTTTCAGTGGCAGTACCTGAAGATACAGTAATTCCCTCGACTGAAGATGTGGCGGTGGAAGCTGGAATAGTTTCTGAGTGACTGTAGGTACTGTTTCCGTATGGCGCAGTAGATGAGATAACGATGGAAGAGGTAGATCCCGGGTATCCAGATGGGCCTGCAGATGATGTCTTAGTCTTGGTCTTGGTCCTAGTCTTGGATCTGCTCTTGCAAGACTTAACACCAGTTCCAAGGGATTTGGTAGGGCGTGGTTTGCTAGATTGACCGGTACCAACGACGGAAGACTTGGTAGGGTATGGCTTGGTGGATGCTCCAGTACCAACTACAGAAGACTTGGTATGATATGGCTTGCTTGAAACCCCAGTGCCGGCAACAGAAGACTTAGTTGGGTATGGCTTGGTAGATACTCCAGTACCTGTGACAACAGACTTGGTGGAATATGGTTTGGACGAGTGGGCAACTCCACTGGTAGTAGAATTAAAGGAGTATACTGAAGTGTAACCAGAAGATGCTTTAGACGATGGCTTAGCGGAGTGAGACTTCGAGGTGTAGCCTGTTGCGATGCTTGTAGATTTGGAAGAATGTCCGGTGAAAGTGTAGCTAGCAGTGGGCTTTGAAGAATGAACTGGCAATGTGCCACTTCCAGCTGGCTTCGAGGAATGAACTTGCGAATGGGTCAAAGAAGATGTCGCATTGTGAGAGTATCCTGGAATGGTGTAGCCAGATGATGCTTGAGTTGGCAAAACTTCAGAGGAAGTCGAAGATTCTGCAGCGGAAGTTTCCAATGATGAAGAGGATATGGCGGTCGAGGTCTCCGAAGCTGATGTAGAAGTAAGCGATGGAGTAGTTGAAGTCTCTGACAAACTCGAAGATGTAGCAGTTGAAGTCTCTGACAAACTCGAAGATGTAGCAGTTGAAGTCTCTGACAAACTCGAAGATGTAGCAGTAGAAGATTCCGAGGAAATCAAAGTTGGTGTGGCAGAAGATTCCGAAACCGAGGTCGAAGTAGTTGAGATCGAGACCACAGTGCTACTAGCAGCAGCAGATGATTCAGTCGATGTTGGGACACTGGAAGTAATGGAAACTTCTGAAGTGGAGCTAGAACTACTAATAGTAGTACTGTGAACAATCGAGGATGTCGAAGTGGGAGGAGGTGGTGCGTAGGAATCCAAGCAAGACTTAATAAATCCGTGGTAAGAATCTCCCTTAAGTTCTGCATCTGTATTTTCTTGAGAATATGTAGCTTCCCAAATCATGACACCTCCAAATTGAGGTTTGTCGTGATAAGATTCAATCAAACTTTGAGCCTCGAGTGGAGAAATGTAGTCAGATGCGGTTCCTGCCAAGGTAGAACCGAGAAGACCAAGATAGATTGAGGCACCAGCACTCGCACCACTGTTAATGGTTGACACCCATTTATCATAGGTAAATCCTACAGAGTCGTCTTGTCCAGTTAAAGCATAGTTGTCGGCCCATTGACGAGCGGTGCATTGAGATGGGGCATTGTTATAAAATTGAATCCATAAAAGATCAAATTGGGCACCAGCAATCATGGTTCCCATATTTGGCTCTGGCAATGGACATTGTGGAGCTCCTGAAATGAAGTATTTCTTCGATGGGTTCTCGGCAAAATGTTCTCGGAGTCTGTTGATCATTGCAATGTAACCTTCGGAGTAGTCTGATAAGTGTCAGTCGTGCTATCATACGAGTTATTTTGACGGTCTATCTTACCAGTAGAACCAAATTCGATATCGAAATCAAATCCATCAATATCAATATGAACACTAGGGTCAGTTCCATAGTAACCACCATCCATTGGTCTAATTCCACCAGCATCCAACCAAGATTGCTTGAAAGGTCCATAACTTCCCCATAAGAAATCGGCGAAGTATTCTCCATCAGCTGCACCGGTGAGTTGATAAGTGTTGGAGGCTCCTCCAAGAGAAAGTAATATCTTCTTTCCCAATGATTGACAGTAAGGAATTCCCTCTTGAATGCCTGGACATTGAACGTAAAGCTGATCTTTCGAAGTGTCTACATCCCCCAATGGATAACCTGGACCTGGTGTGAAGATTGGTTGACCATAACAAGCATTACCAAAGTTCTCGGCTGGATAGCCATCACCTTGTGCTGGGAAAACATTCATAAAAGCCAATGGAATAATGTCTACTGTAGATTGCTCGCAGTAATACGAAAGATTGGTTTGAGATGGCCCGGAACCCTATCGTCATAATCAGCAATAGTACTTTGAATCTAGTTGTAAGCCATACCCAATACAAAGCCAAATTTGCAGGTGACGATGCATCATAGAGAGCGGCAGCAGGAGCAATGAATGCAAAAGTAGCCGCAGCCACGGCAAAAAGCCTCGATGGAGACATTATTAGAAGGATATTAAGTATATACGCAAAAATGAAAGTTTCAAGAGGCCGAAGCCAAGTAAAGAATGTGATTGAACTGGTTTGGTTGTCAAAGACAGGACGCAAACAAATGTCTGCACGGTACGAAGGTCACCGGTTGATGAGAAGCTTGATGTCTAGAATTCAAGAAGGAGGGAGAGAAGAGAGGAAGAAAAGGGAAAAGGAATTGTATAGAACAGGGATATGTAACATTTCTCCCGATCCCGTCATTTTCGAGACCAAAATCGAACGGTTCATCACGAACCAGGGGTTACACAACGACTTCTGGCTAAATGATGCTCAGATATTGCCGAATCGCATGTGAGGTATCCAATGATAGCCATGATACAACTCGCTAAATATGCAAAGAACGAAAGGGAAGACCGTCCAAGGCACTCTTGGCAGGTAATTTCCCGAAAGGTAAATAAATCAAGGTAGCGCGGAGACTTTGGGGTTCGAACAGCCAATGAGGAGGATGAATTGAGTTCATTTGTAGGAATAAGCCCGTCCTAGGGTGATCATGCAGGAACGGAGTAGCTTTTTCGGCTGATTTACCCGAGGGGCAATTGTGCTTAAAGCGTTAATTCGACCGGTCCCTCAATCCACTTTGCGCGCAATGGTTGCTTCATAAGGATAAACAATTGGTTGTGGGAGTGGGGATTGAACACTGTGATAATTTCCCCAATATTGACAAAAAGTAAGATCGGTATAACGTTCTCCCATAAAATTGGTCCGAATCATCGGGTCCTATTCAAATGTGTCATGTATACTACTAACAATGTAGTCTAGAGTCCTGTCCTTCCCTCTTCACTTCAAAACGTCAAAATGATTCGACTTTTGCTTCAAGATCTTATTAGTTCAAGGGGTACATAATAGATGTGTACTTTATCTAGACGCTCATTCGATTTCATCCAAAAAAACCCTTCTTTAGATCCCGAAATCCCGTCTCTTGAGTCTTGATAGATGACTAGTCAGGAACAGAATCCAAAACTAAGCGATCCGACCGCTATCACCGACTCGTGGGCCGTGTCTATTCATCCTTACGATAGGTCCACTAATCATGAAAAAGCTTGTCTTTTCTAAAAAGGATCCACTAACACAATCAAAATCCAATGTTGGCTCATGGTTGGGTAATCTTAAGAAACTAAAAGATGTCAGCAAATAACCGAATGAAGAGATTACTTCCCATTAGCATCAATTGATGTAACACCCAGCCTGAACTAGGAGCAACCGTTGCCTAAAAAATAGATGGGGTGAAGGATTCTTGAGAGGGTAAAATTTCTACACGGCTAGACAAAGTCCAATAACTGTACTGCGCCGCTGAGGGCCCCCTTGACAGGTAAGCACTTATAATAATACCTGCACAATATTCGATCATGCCGAGGTGTGATGATTTAATATCAATATCCTGGAGAAGAGATAAATAAGAGGCCATCACCCTAAATGCGAAAGCACTATACGTACTCAGATTTACACAGTATCTTAACGTTGACTGTGTTGATCCCCCAACATTTCACGCTGTCGAATCAAGCTTAAAATTGATCAACAGGATCGTCCATTCAACATCTATCATCCCTATCAAACTTTATCAAAGCATTGATACTCTTGGGAGTTCACCAAACCCACATGGCCACCACACCCACTTCTCTTTTTTTCCCTCTTGCCGTCCGAGCCATCCCAGATTACGTGAATGATGCCTGTTGATCATCTTGAACCCAAACCCATTGGATAAAAATACTTGCACAACTTTAATGGAAGAACCGGTGCAATTCTTGAGAGTATTCGAAATTGCTTCGTATTGATTGATTTGGGCCAAGAAAGAGTGCATATACTTCTAGACTTGGATACAATGATAGGGTTGTAGTGCAGTTTCTTTTTTCATATTGGACAACTTTGTAGGGTAACTTAACAACACTAACAAGTCTTAAAAATTGATAGCAAATCGAATAAATAATCATGTGTGGAAGTTGTGCTGCTATCTCATTGACTAATACATTAAGGCTGAATTCGGATGTAACAACAGTTATATATTGAATGTATTGACATGATCATGTACGAACATAGTATGTAGAAAGGTAGTAATATTGAAGGCAATGCAACATGTTCATTTTCTTTTTTCAACTTTCAGCTAATGCTTGGAATATTGATATCAACAGTATTAACCGCACGCCAACGTTGTGATTAGATGCAGTACCAAGAAGCCAAAATTATATGCAACCTCTAGTTGTGCTGTTACCAAAAAAAAAAATGGTCATTTCTTCGAATATTCCATTACCAATTTGACCATTATTATATCATGTCACTAGTCAATGATTCTCTAGCGATGCCCCCTTAACCACAGGTTACACACGAGAGAAACGGGAGATGTGCTATTAAGGCTTTCAAGACAACAATCCGAGCTGTAAACTCTATAAGCTGTTGACATCAAAGGGTATGGTTTGATTAACTAACACCACATTTAAGATAGTAGCTTTAAAGAATTTATCAATTCTTTCGTCTGTGAGGTTGATTCTGGCGATAGAGTCACACCCTCAATCGATTGACGTAACTCCACGTCTGACTCCATAGCTTTCCTTATCATTTCAGCAATATAAGTCTGTCTCGGGCCGAAGAACCATTCCACAGTACTCAGTGACTCCAGTAATTCCAAAAAGAAAATAGTTAGCGTCATGTGCATAAGCAGGTCTTCTTTATCCACCATTTCCATTGCCGCGAAGTAAAGTAGCCCGAGTTTCCCATCGTCCTGTGGCGATATGTACTCCTTGTCGACTTGGCTCAACGTTGGGCGGGTGAGGTAATCAAAACCCACAGTTACCAAATGAGGAAGAATTCTCAACAAACGAGCTTGAGCAAGTGTCTTTTGTTTCTCATCCAATTGGCCATCACCTTTTCCAATAGTCTTCAAGCTGCAGAGCGAGAAAAGTATTCCGTATATTTCGACGTCTTGAAATATTCTTCGCCAAAGTGCTCCTTGTCCAGGCGGTCGCTGAGCAGCAATGTCCATATTTCCTACTCCATTTGTAATATGAGTCAATTCTCGAACAGAGTCGACATCCAAAAGTTCTCCTAGCACTTGCGTAGCTTTCTCTCCAACTCCGACATGAGGGCTGCTAAGCCATGTTCGGATATAATTCTCGACCACTCCTCTCATACCCGATAGATTTGCTACATCTGCGGAACTTTTGGTGGCCTTCTGAATGATTGTTAAGGCAAGTATATTGGCAGCAGGTATGGGAGATCGAAGTGCGAGAATCAAAGCGTCTTCGGAAGCCAACTGGAGAGCTTGGGGAAATGTGATTGGCTGTAATAACTTTACGGATAGACTGGCGAGTACTGTGGGGTCTTGTTGTGTGGTAAGGAGGATCTGAGTAATGGTAGGAAGTAGCTTCGGGATCAGAGGGGAGATGTTGTATTCTAAAAGGAGATTAGAAGCTGTGAAGATTGTGAAACACGACAGCTTGCTTTAGAGCTCTTCTTGCATGCAGGGAGAAAACCAGCACATACCTGTAAGTTGCAGCTCTACAGCATCAAAGAGTTTTGTATCGACTGGGGTGTCTGGAGATTTTACCAAATCCTGGAGATGAGCTTCAAGCTCCTCCAATTTGAATATGGGGGTATCGTCTATATCCATCTTGGACAATGTGTTTCTGAGCCGTTGTATTATTCAATGATTGTATATTGCACAGTGATGTAAGAACTTGAGACAGATCTCGCCAGGATTTTGATATCTGTTGATTATTCGAAATTAGAAGATTAACGTAGAAAAGTAAAGAGTGTTATCGATGATTATCAGTGGTGTAGCGTTCAAGTGTATTTAGGTAAATACAGCTTACACCCCGCCATTTTAGTTAGTTTCACCGCTTTTTAAGAATGGCAGAAAATCTTGGGGAATAATATCTAGCTAAGATCAAATTCCCATCGTCCCCCAATTTTTAATTTTTTACAAAAAGTGACGCGCCAAAGTTATTCAAGCAACTATCAATCTTCGAGTTCTGATTTGGTTCGCATATATCTTGAATGTCACTTATCGCAAACATCACAAGCCAATTGAAGCACAGTATATCACCACAAAACCAGGTGCTACTCGAAACACATCCTGCCCTGTTGCGAAACACCGAAAATCGACCATCGTCAATCGTTACAAGCATCTAAGAATCTGGCATAGGATGGCATTTCGTGGAGGTAGAGGAGGTGCCAGAGGCGGCGGTATAAAAGGCGCAACATGGGAGCATGATGCTACCTTGAAATTAGACTTCACACCCAGTGAAGACTATCCAGTACGTTCCGTCACACCTTCTGCAACTCCTTGGAGCCTTACTCTATATCTTTTCTATCCTCGAATTTCAACACACTCATACAAAAAACATCTGCTGACATATATCTCAGCGGCATCCCAATCTCAAACGACCATCCCCTCTCACCCCCCAAGAACGCACACAAGTAAAATACTACCGCACGCTCCGCGACAAAATCCACCGCGGACCCCTCTACACGCACTCCACCAAACGCGACACCGATGCGCCTGTGCGAACCTTTGGAGAAAAGCAATTCAACGAACAATACGGCCGACAAACCAAAGCGGATTTTGATCCTTTCCTCGGCGTCGAAACATACAGTATGAAGTATCAGCGAAAAAAGCGGGCGATACCTCTAGTGAGCGGGATGAATTTTAACAAGGAATTCTATCCGCAGGAGTTATGGTCCGTGTTGAGTGGAGAGGAGGAAGCGAAGACTGCGAAGGATAATGCTGCGTTGGCGGCGATGGGAGAGGAAGATCCTTCGGAGAAGACTCGAGCGCTGCTGGCGAAGATTCAACAGGCGACGGGGGTAGAGGGGGCAGAGGGAGAAGAGGAATTGGGAGAGGAAGAAATTGAGGAGGAGCAGGATAATGATTATGAGGATGATGAGGAGGATATGGGTGGAGATTATGATGCGGAGCAGTACTTTGAGAATGGTGAGGATGATGATGATGATGGAGGGGATGGAGGTGGTGGAGATGATTATTAATTTTAGGGAAGATATTCGTGCATTACATTTCAATTTGAGGCGAGGAGTTTGGGGGAACTGGTACTTTTATGGAAAATGGTTTTGCAGAGGGGTCATGGAAATCACATCTGCTATATTGCATAGGTGTAACGATCTTCGGATGAAGGAAGAAGCATTAAAGAAAGATTCAGGAAAGATACAACAGCTGGACTTCTATTGAAAGAACACACTCCGCTGGAGAAAAACGTGCACCTCTTATTCCTACCGCTATTCTGGTAAACCAAAAAGAAAAGAGGAAAGCGAGAAAGAAGACAGACGGGCTTATACCAACAGCAAGAGAGAAGTTCAACTACTTCTCCTGTCTACTTGAGATATCATGGATACACACGAAATCAACTCCAACATCCAACTAACCACAACCACAACCACAAACCAAACCCCATTCCTCCTTACAAAACTTCCCTCATCCCCCCACTCCCCTCCTTTCTCACACTGTTCTTTTCCCATACTGTTCTTTTGTCACACAAGATAACTGACATCTTTCCACACGAATCGTCATTTAAATAAATCATCCGTTCATTTCATTTCATTCTCCTCCTCTCCTCTCCTATCCTATTTATTATATACCAACCTCCCCTCCCCTGAATTCCGCAATGCAATTCAAAAATTCAAAAATTCAAAATAACCAAATAAATGCACTACCCCTCTCCCTTTCCTTGCGGTTCCTCCTCCGAAGCGGACTGCATCCATCCATCCATCCATCCCATTCCATTCCATTCCATTCTATTCTATTCCCGAGCAAATCAATATGAAGGGGATATCCTATTCGTTTGAAATGCTTAGATGCAATGCGGCGCGATACAATTTAATTCAATTCAATGCAACAGAACGGAACGGAACGAAACAATGTCTCAATATCACAACACAAATCCAAATCCTCAATCTCCAACCAAAGTCAAAATTCACACAAGCGCAAACACAAACACGTACACGAACACAAACACAAATGCAACAAATAAACAAACAGACGTTCCCCTCCCCTCCTACTCAATGCTCATTCATACCCATCCATGCCAATACCAATACCTATGCAATTTTTATTCCGCTCCTATTCATTTCCATTCCTTTCCGCAAAAACGACTTCGTGAAGATTTTTACCTCCAAGATGCAAGTACCAACCCGAGGTGGTTCTGATGATATGATGTGCTATGCTATGCCATGCTATGCGATGCGATGTGATGCGATGCGATGCGATGTGATGTGAATATATACCATACCAACCCATAGAAGGAAGGAAGGAAGGAAGGAAGGAAAGTACCTAGTAAGCGAAAACGAAGCGAAGCGAGGTGGGTTTACTTGGGATATCCATGATTTTACCTGGATTCATGATCCAGTGTGGATCTGGGGATTGGGGTTAGTTGGGGTTGTGAGTTTGAGGGTATATAATGTGCTTTATGGTAGATTTGGAGAAGAATTGAGGTGAGGTGAAGGGTAAAAGATTACTCACCTAATGCCGATTTGATAGATTTCATGACTCCCAAAGTATCATGCCCTAGTTCCAAGAGGAGAGATTCTTTCTTTCCGATTCCTATTCCATGTTCACCCTATACGTCTGTTAGTTTTTGATCCAAGCGTCATTCAAAAGGAAGAAAGTCAAGTGTACCGTAACCGTCCCCTCCATCTCCAAAGCTCTAACCACCATATTCTTCACACACCTCTCCACCTTCTCCATCTCCCCCGGCACCGTCCGATCATACATGATACTCTCGTGAAAATTTCCATCTCCCACATGTCCCAAGATACTCGCAAAGAGTCCCAAGTCATCCATTTCCTTCTTGCTCAACTCGATGATATCCGCCAATCGCGAGAATGGCACCGCCACATCCGTACTCCAGACTTCACTTCCATTTTTTCTCAATGCTAGCATACTCCACAACGATTCCTTCCTCGCCGACCACAAGAGCTTTTGCTCTCGCGCGTCTTTGGCGAATTCAAAGGAGCTGCCGCGATGGGATTTGGCGATGGAGGAAACCATTGCTATGTTTTCCTTAACTGATGCTTTGGTGCCGGAGAATTTGAAGAAGAGCGTTGGGAGTTCTTTCCATTGACGAGGAGCGGTGGATTTGGATAGATTGACGACTTTCATTTGCACTTCATCCATGATTTCCATAGCTGCGACTTGGATGCCCGCGCGCATGACACCAGCTGCTGCCGCTGCCGCATCACGAATCGTAGGGAAAGTGACTACAGCGACTGAATATTCTGGTGGTACGACAGCGAGCTTGAGTGTGATCTCAGTTACAAGACCGAGGGTTCCTTCGGAGCCTACGAAGAGACTGTTAAGATTGTAACCTGCAGAAGATTTACGAGGTCGTCGCTTGGTTTTGATGATTGTTCCATCGGAGAGCACGACGGTTAGATTGATGACCCAATCTTTCATGGAACCGTAACGAACGCAGTTGGTACCGGAACAGTTTGTTCCTACCATACCTCCAATCTTGGCACTTGGACCTGGATCCACGGGGAAGAAGAGTCCGGATTGACGTTTCGCAAGTTCATCATTGAGATCCATCCACTAGAAGAAGATTAGAATTTACACAGGCTGAAAGAGGTAGACGGAAATTAAGACTGATTCAGGACTCTTACGGAAACGGATGGTTGAACAACAATATCCATATCCTCTTGATGAAATGTGATAATTTGATCCATGAAAGCAAAATCCACGCTAACACCTCCATAAGGACATGATACATTCCCTTCCAAACTCGATCCTCCTGAATAAGGAACAATTGGTACCCGATATTTGTGACATATCGACGCAATTTTCGAGACCTCCTGAGTAGATTTTGGGTAGGCCACTGCTACTGGTAAACCATCGACATTGGTAGATGACCATTCTGAGCTGTGGGTTTAGATTAGTTGAGTATTTTGTGAATTTGGCATAGGTCTTTGAGAAGCTGTGTGACTAGCCAAGACATTTCCGCTTCTCGTGTGAGACGAGCGACAATTCGAAATCATGAAGATTACTTATGCTGATGAAAACACAATAAACTTACTATCCATGAGCCAACAAATCTTCCGGGTCCGTAGAGATAGTATCCTCATTCGTAGCTTCTTGAATTTCCTTCAAGGCCTATATATTCACAATCTGATCAGCTTTTATTTCTCCCTCGCATTTCCATCTTTCATTTCCACTCCACGATATCAATTCCACAACCAACAAACTCACCATTTCCATCTCCTTCAGATTTGCATATCGAGGTACCGTGAACTTTCCTGGATCCGCATAATCCCTACCCTCACCCCTCCTACTCTTCTCCCGTCCCATGGCAAGCGTGTAAGCTAAGCCGGCGGTGGCCGCGGCCAACAAAAGAGCATTTTGTGTTGACCATCCATTTTTGTCTTTGGAATTGGGTTGCGGTCTCGAGGTTGATACTTGTGAAGTTGTACGTGGATTTAATTTCGCATTGCTACTTTGAAATCTCCATTGTCTTATTTGAGATATTCCAGATACTCTCGCTGTAGAAATGCGAAAATATGGTGTGCATTTCCCCGTGATAATGGTCGGTTGATGTCTCACCGAGAACATGGCTACGGCTTAAGAGAAACGAAATGGGAATTGATGGATGGATGGACGTATGGATGTGACATACACACCAACGAGACGACCTTGATGCGAACCAGGATAAGAATGAAGATTTCGGTGATCACCTTTTCCCTTGTAAATATATATGTACTCTAGAAATGTATGTGTGTGTGTGTATATATATATATATATATTCCAGATGGATTATGGTGAAGATTTCAGTTGAGAGAGAAGGTAAATGACTCCGAGTAGATTCAAAAGATCATGAGGTGGATAAGATTTAGTTATCAAATGATCAAGGTAAGAGAAAGAAATCCAAAATCATTACTAACTATTGATCTGACGTCTGACTTGATAACTTTATATATAAATCAGAGAATCCGGATCTCTTCAGACTTACCTCCCTCCCTCCCTCCCTACCTCCCTACCCAGGTACTCACCTAGACACTTACTTACTTCTTCTCCTTCTTCGTACAGAAGTGGGCCGTGTTCATTTCCTTTTCTCATCTGCAATTGACCCAGATGAGGAGGTAAAGTAGAGTTTACAAGTACCAGGTCGTCATCACAGAAGTACTTGCTAGTGTTTGTTTGTGGATCATGAGTTATACCAATTCTCGTGGTGGTATGATGTGATGTGGAGGTCTAGATTGTGGATGAAGTTCTCTATTTATCTCCAACTGATATCTCGTTCGACTGGCTGTCTCTCAACTACCAGATGCTCTGTATTCCTCAATTCACAATTATCTTCCTCATTCTGAGTGAAATTCCCATTCCCATTCCCATTCCCATTCCCATTCCCATCCCCATTCTACATCGGGCTCTTCATTCCTCGACTCGGATTACTTAGCTAGGTAGTTGTATACGGGACACTCAGCGCACGCAGATCAAACACGATCCCCATCATTCTCCACTCAACCTCATCTCGTAGACTCGTGCCCACCCATCCCAATACCCAAGTAGCTATACATACGTAGATACATACCTACCGAGGACTCAACACACCGATATGCATTCCCTCTCTGCCCTCTACTTTCTATCTCTGTGTCTGTCTCTCCTTCCACTCCTACACATTCACATTACACAAGAAAACACGATCCATTGAATACGATCGAACCACCAGTTACTTCCCAGCACCCCTACCCCTCCCATCACCCATCACCCATCAATCATTACACAAAAATTCTCACCACCAGCTGACCACTCTCACCAGCCTCACCCCTCTCGGTACTCCCCAATCCTCACACAAATCCCCATCCCCATCCAAAAACTTCCCCCAAGCCAATATAAATCAATGTGAATATATAAACAGAATCCACATCCACCCAATCCCATCCCATCTCATCCCACCCCCACACTAAAACCTCACCAACAACAATCCAACTAATACTCATCATCACCATCATCATCATCATCACCAATCCACTCTCCATCTATCCACTCTCCATCCAAGACTCCCAACCCAATACTGAGATATCTACCTGGTATCTATAAACCCTCTCTCTCTCATCTCCATTTCGGAATGCCATTATCCACCTGTCGTCTTACCCCACGTTTACCTTCAATGCCCTTGAATGTTATATTGACAGCTCAGATGCCTGTCTGCTTGTCTGTTTGTCTTGCGTGGGTTGTGTACTGCTACACCTATGATCGATATACCTATTGCCTATGTACCTACCTACCTACCTACGCATGTATGTATGTATGTATATGTGTATGTGTATGTATGACATTAAATACACCGACCGGTATCTATACATGATACATATGTAGGTACCTAGGTACCTAGTACTCTTGACCGATGTGAACATGTCATGTCATGCAATGTGTTGCTTTTGATCCATGTAATTCTATCCTCGAGATTCTTCTATCCTCGAGATTCTAAGGGTCCCAACACAACAATATCCCTACATTCCCTTCCTTTCCCTTTCCTTCTCAATTCCTTTCTCCACACACATACTCCAGCCTGCAGACTCCAAAGTATTTCGATACAATACGATCCTCACCCCAAGAGTACACATCTCACTCCTTCCATTCCCAAGTCCCAACATCGTCACCATCAGCACCAAGTCCCCAATTACAAAGTATCTTACACACCCCCTTGTCATACCATACCATACAAACCACACCATGCCTTACCAGATACATACCCAATTACCCAAATACCTACTCAATACATCCAACAATCCCTCTTACCTAACAGAAATCACACATCACATCACATCATATCACACCGGCTCTTTACTTCCTTGACTGCTCTAAATCGCTAAACCCCCAACCCGAATTCTCGGTCCTTCCGAACGTCTGCATCGTTGCATGTGATAATAATATAAACACAGATGGAATACGAAGCACACCGGTGTGATTGGGTTGAAGGGGGAAAAAAATGCTGAATGATACTGTACTACACACTCATGCAAGAGATGTGATGAGTACAGTATCCAAGAGTACAGAGGTTTCACCAAATACGATAGTCCCTAACAATTTGTTGATGTGCAAAGATATTAAATGGAGGTTTCAATTTAGATATTTTCATGTGAGCAAGATTAGGTTTTCGATATTAATTGGATTTAGAATCTTCACGGCTTAGGTACATATTTACATTCCACTCGTCACTTCACAATCAAAATTCAAAAACCATCCGTTTGAAGTTGGATTTGGAGGGTTATATCATTGTGGTAAAAATTCGACTCATACTAAAATGTGTCGTCATATTTCTCATAAACTTTTGCTTATTGCAAAAGGAGATTTTTAATATCCCATTCCATGACTCCCCCTGGCCCAAATACAAAGCAAAACGTACTACATTTATTGACCAGCGATGGCATGAGCACGTCTGCGGTCTCTCTCCTCAGCAATGGTGAGCTTAACACCCTTACCCTTTGGAAGGGAGATCCATGGCTTCTCAGCTCCGATGACGAAAACGTTGCTCTCACGGGTAGCGAAAGAGTTGTCTATGGCATCCTTGATGTGGACAATGTTGAAACCTCCATCGTGACGTTCACGGTGAGTGATGACACCAACACGTCCCATGTTGCGACCACCAGTAGCCATGGCGATAACACCAGTGTCGAACTTGATGAAGTCGGTGATCTTTCCGGTAGCAAGGTCAATCTTGACGGTGTCGTTGACCTTGATGGATGGATCTGGGTAACGGATACTAAAAAAATTTATTAGCATCTCTGGGGGGAATAAAAAAATTCAAACCGTTGATCTAGCAGAATTTGTGTCGGAGGGGATCGACCAAAGCTTGGACCAACGGCTGAATGATGTCTGACAGAACTTACGTTCTAGCATCGTGCGTGACCAAGAATGGGATTCCGCCCTTGCCCAATTGCACTCTCTTGACTTTTCCGAGCTTGTATTCGGCCTCCTCAGCTTGGATACGGTGAACGGTGAAACGTCCCTTGGTGTCGTAAACCAAACGGAAGTTCTCGCTGGTCTTCTCAATACCGATGACATCCATGAAACCGGCTGGGTAGGTGGCGTCGGTGCGAACCTTGCCATCGACCTTGATCAAACGTTGCATAACGATTGCCTTGGTCTCACGGGAGTTGAGAGCATACTTGAGACGGTTACGGATGAAGACGATAAGGGGCATGCAGTCTCTAAGCTTGTGTGGACCGGCGGAAGGACGGGGAGCATAGGCACCGGACAATTTGTCCAAGAGCCAGTGGTTTGGCGCGCTCAAGCGCTTTTGGTGCTTCTTTCTATGTGCGACAAAAAATATTAGTAAATGATGTTTGAGATGTGTTGAACAGTATCTTGTTGCGAAAAGTGGACATGAGGTGATTGAACAAAGCGATCGTAGAGGATTTCATCGTTGGCAATTGCAGCTTTCGAATGATCGACGAGTCCTAATGTCCAAAAAAATCCCCATCTCTCCCAATGTCATTGCCAATACCAATCGTCTGAACATTCAAATCGATTGAGAAAGTCGACAAAGTCTTTTCGTAATTCGATAAAATAATAACAGAAGAAAAGGCTATGCTTACGGTCCTCTACCCATGGTTGCGTCTCTGTGTGTATGGAGAAACGAGTATTGGGGTGGTTGTTGTCGTCGAAGTTGTCGAAAAGAAAAAGTTCGAAAATCAAAATTGAAGACTTTCTCAAAAGTTCCTTCCAAATTTGTGCGCTATCTTAAGCGAGGCTGTGGATTAATTGCCTGAAATACAAGGCTTGACATCGACCATACATCCATTTATCCTCATCACGGGCTCACGCATTCCTTCTACCCCACCATTCAATGGGTACCTATCTTGTCGCAATCATTCACGATTCTTTTACGTGTAGAACTCCTCTTGCACGGTCTCTATATCAATATCAATATCATATAAATGCAGCAAACGAAAGAAAAGAAACAGTGCATCGAAGCCAAAAAGGTATTTGAATATGGTTTGAATTGATGGTGAATGGTCATTTCCTAATGATTTGAATCTTTACATGTATAGCCTCAATCCATTGATAGAGAAGAACAGCGCAGAACAGAGGGAAGGGAAATAGCTCGATCACATTTCACATTTCAATACAATGTCAAAGTCTGGCTACAATACTTTTATGCATCAGGCATGCATGTGATCTTCTCAGATTTCAAATCTCCCTTTTTGGAATTCTTCGGCCATTTGAGTATTCGAAAAGATCTTTGTTTCTTCTCAATGCTTGCTTTTTTGCACCTCCGCCTTGTGTTTGCAAGTGCTAGGGGCTGCAGTTCTTGAAATTGGGTTGAAGACAAGACAAACGACAAACGCATTGAAAACATTATACAGAGGATGAAACGTTCTTTCCGTCCGCTTTTTTTACTCTTTCTTTCTGTCTCTCATGTTCACTTTTTTGAAGCTAGCGTTGATCATTCACTTCTACCCTCACCTCCACCACCTCCTCCTCCTCCTCCACAAAACCAATCACAACCTCTTCTCTTCCTTTTTCCATCACTCAAACTTTCAATCTCCAACAGCCTTCAACTTCTCACGTCCTTTCTCGTTCAACTAGAATCAGTGCCTACGTTTGTAATACTGATTTGTCTTCTATCTCGTCATTAGTTACCAAGTAACGAAAGCATCAATTTCTCTGAAGCTATCGTTTCTCGACTTGACTGCATCTCACCATTCGATTCTTCTACCATTTGGTAGACCAAACCTTGAAATTACACATCACCTCATTTTTCAGCCAAGTAGCTTCTTTTCTATTGAAGGGAGAGGGCTTTCAGCCGGTACCCAAGACAAAGGTTCGTAAAGTTTGAACCTTCATCTCCCGCAAAGTTTTCAGCAGAGCTACAAAGCTAATATCGTTTTTTAGACTCCAAAATCATCTGCATATTGAAGATTGATCTCCTCATTTCACATTAGCACACACAACCTCATAATCGCAACAATGGCGACCATGACTCCCAGGCTCCCAGCTATTCAGCTCAGACCTGAAGTCAATGAGTCGGAGCAAATCGTACTGCTCATTGACAACATACAGCCCGGTACTACAACATACGATATGATCAGTAATCTGGAAAGGCAAGGTAGCATTGTGTTTATTGAGATATTTGGAGACAAAAGTCAAAGAGGAAAAGTGACATTTTCACCTGCTCCGAGCCCTTTCTGGCGAAGTGGTCAATATCCAATCACCACTGCGGTTGGTAATACTTATGATGTCAAGCTCCGGCTCGATACTACCCGGAGAAAAGAAAGAACCGTGAAAAGCCCCTTCAGGAATGTTTTTTACCCTGAAAAGACGAAACTTGTTTCTTCTGCTCTTCAGTTCGGAGTCATGATTGAGCCGGAATGTATGATGCCTATGGAGACCCTGGAATGCCAGGAGCCTGGCGATCTTACGGTTACTGTGAATCTGAGGCGTAAAGAACTTGAAGCTCGTTTCACGGTGCATTTTGTGGACCCACGAATTCAAGGCGACATTGATTTCCCTAGTACATCTGTGATTGGGGAGTATAATCGCCGTGAGAAATACATGTTCACCATACCTTTTGGTCAGTTGAAGTCAATCCAGAAAGTCGATCTTAGAAGAGGAAATTTTTCACTCTTGATATCTTTGGACAGTCCGCCTAGATTCTTCCGCTGGCGCAATGATGGCCAAGTACCTCAATCAGGAGCGCTATCATGGAACCAATGGGATGGCTGGTTTCGGCAAACCGATATTGAATTTGACCCTTTCATCATTGAAAGTCGCCCAATCGCTCTGCACAAGAAGAGGCCAGTCATCGATATTGGTAATTTATACTTAAGATACTTCTATTTCATGAATTAAACTGACTTATGCAGGTCGCTGGACTACCTATCGTTGGACTTTCAATAGTAGTCAATGTTCTCCAGATCAATTTCAAATGGTTCAGGCGGCTCTCCAAGATTTCAATATCGATATGGTCCCTCTGGATAGCTTCAATTTGACTCCAATGCGCAAAGCTGAGCTATGGTCTCTCATAGACCCCTGTGAAGATAAAACTACACAAGCTGGCCTTCGTTCTCTTGATCCAGACAGTATCAAAGTGCATCTAACATTCGAAGTGAGATATCAACTGGAAGTGTGCATTTCTAGGGGGATTGTCAACGAATATAATATTGACGAAAATTTCATAAATTCCTTAGCCAACTTATCTGCACAAGACTCAGCTAAGGCGAGGAATGTACTGGAGTACGTTGCCGAGCATTACGGTTCCAAACGCCTATACGACCCTTCGTCTATTTTTACCAACAATGAAGCTTTGTCATTTTCCTCCTTGACTGATATTCCCCATTATTGCGCATTTTCACGAAAAGCTACAGTAACACCTACTTCAATCTTATTCAGTTCGCCTACTGTTGAAACTACCAACAGAGTCTTGCGACATTACTCGAAGGAGAACAAAGAAGGTCGATTTCTCCGTGTTCAGTTTACTGATGAAAAGTTCGAGGTAGGTTTCCTCCACTGTTCCTGTCTGTGCTTCCCTTATTGATAGATGTAGGGCCGGATCAATTCATGTGCCGATAAGATCCGTAACGATGCAATATTCACAAGAGTTTTTAGAGTGATCAGTAATGGCATTCGTATTGGTGATAGGCACTACGAGTTTTTAGCCTTTGGAAACTCTCAATTTCGAGAGAATGGCGCATACTTCTTTTGTCAATCCCCGGATTTATCTTGCAACGATATTCGCCAATGGATGGGGACTTTTTCTCACATCAATGTAGTTGCAAAGTATGCTGCAAGACTTGGCCAGTGTTTCTCAACAACCAGAGCTATTAAGGGACTTTCGGCGCCCGACATCGTGAAGATTCCTGATATTGAAAGGGGTAGATACTGCTTCACTGATGGAGTTGGCAAGATCTCGCCTTACCTTGCTCAAATGATCGCTGCTGAACTAAAACTCCGTGTCATCTCGGCACCATCGGCTTTTCAATTCAGACTCGGTGGCTGCAAAGGCATATTGGTCGTTTCTCCTGATGCGAAAAACAATGAAGTCCACATTCGCAAAAGTCAGCAAAAGTTCACAGCTGCATACAATGGTCTTGAAATCATTCGATGTTCACAGTTCTCCTCTGCTACTCTTAATCGGCAAACTATCACTATCCTTTCAGCACTTGGGGTCAAGGACGAAGTATTTTTGAAGATGCTATCTCGGCAACTTTCTGACTATCAGAGTGCAATGGATAACAACGCTATCGCACTTGGCCTCCTTAACAGATACATTGATGATAATCATATGACCATCAATATTGCTGGTATGATATTGAATGGTTTCATGTCAGAAAAAGAGCCATTTGTTTTGTCTTTGCTCCATCTATGGAGAGCATGGTCGATCAAACTCTTAAAGGAGAAGGCAAAGATTATAGTAGAGAATGGAGCTTTCGTGCTCGGCTGTGTTGATGAAACAAACACTCTCAGGGGCTACACCAAGCCAACAGTGGCATGCGGTACGACTTACAAAGAAACCGAGTTACCCCAGATTTTTATCCAAGTGCCTGATAGGGAAAACACGACGCAATACAATGTCATTGAGGGTATTTGTCTCGTCGGACGAAATCCATCCCTTCATCCTGGTGATCTGAGGGTTGTTCAAGCCGTAAACGTACCAGCTTTGCACCACTTGCGGGACGTCGTTGTGTTTCCTCAAAGTGGCGAAAGAGATGTGCCTAGCATGTGTTCTGGTGGCGATTTAGATGGTGATGACTTTTTTGTCATATGGGATAAGGGCCTTCAACCAACCGAATGGAACTGTGAGCCAATGAGCTACGCAGCCTTAGATCCTGTAATGCTCAAACGACCTGTTGTTGTCACAGATTTACAGAAGTTTTTTGTAAAATACATGAAGAACGACTCCTTGCCGAGTATTGCACATGCTCATCTGGCACAAGCTGATTATCAGAAGCAAGGTATCAAGGATCCCAAATGTAAGTATCTTGGTTACGCTCCTGCTTTTGTTATGTTACTTCGATACTAACGCCCGCTTCAGGCCTCAAGCTCGCGGAACTACATTCCAAGGCGGTTGACTACGTTAAGACTGGTCAGCCGGCTATGATGCCAAAAGAACTAGCCCCTCCAAAATGGCCACATTTCATGGAAAAGATCCATCAGCCTGCCTCAAAACAGTATCATTCCCAGAAAATTCTTGGTCAACTGTACGACAAGGTTGAGAGTGTTGACTTCGTACCACAATACGAAGAACCTTTTGACAAACGTATTTTGAGGGCTTACAAACTAGAAAATGCCGTTCTGAAAGCTGCCCGTCAGACTAAGACTAAATATGACACCGCTATGCGACGAATTCTAGCCCAACAAGACATCAAGACTGAATTCGAAGTGTGGTCAACATTTATCCTTTCAAAGCCAAAGGTCGGAAGTGACTACAAACTTCAGGAAGATATGGCAGTGATCACCGGTGCACTCAAAGATAGATTTCGGGCGGTGTGCATCAATATAGCGGGTGGTAAAGACTTTTCAATCCTGGGGCCATTTGTTGCTGCCATGTACAAAGTGACAAAAGAAGAACTCGATATCGCGTTGGCTGAATGTCGTTCAACGAGAACGGTTAACGGAACAAAGGTGCCAAAGCGAAGAATGAGACCTGAATCAATGCCATTGATCAGTTTCCCATGGTTATTCGAGAAGGAATTGGGCAGAATTGCTACTGGTATTGAAGCCATAGATGACTTCGAAAAGATAGGTTTCTCTACCTTCAGAATCGAGAAGCCTCAGGTCATAGCGCTGAATCGTCAGCCGCAGCTCTCTAAGCAAGACGTAGATTTTGTCAAGCAAGAAAATGGTCTTATTGTTCACCGTGGTGAAATTCTTGACGTGTTCCCAGAGAACTCGGACAACGAATTTCCTTGGGACTCTGACGCGAGGTCCGATACTTCTCTGCCAGACTTTGTAGCCTCTGCCCAACCAATTTCAAGAAACGGGGCAGAGTCTACTACAGTCGAAGCTTCTTCCAAAGACACGAACCAGACTTCTACGCTTCAAGACAGTTTACTCCCCCAAAACTTGCAAGGCCAAAATCAGACACCAACAGATACAGAGCACAAAGAATTGGTGAATACAACAGAATCTATCAACCAGGAAATCCTCACGCCATCTTCATCAGTCCACAGTTCCTCTCCAGCAGCCCCTGTTACTACAACCAAGTCCGATCTGAGCCTCTCTGATGATGAAGAGACCGAAGAACATGTCGAGATCATAGAAAATGTCGTTCGCGAGCGGTCTATGATCGACAGACTGTCGGCTTTCGTGGACTAATCAGCTCTCTTATAAACTTTCGAAAGGATTTCGAACCTCGTTACTTGATGGATATTTTCGTTGACTTTCTATCTTTCTTCTTTTGTTTCTTTCTATCTTCCCTACTACCCGCTTAAGAGTGTTCAAAAGTGCATTTCACTGCGTTGAAATTGCACCACTCCGTGCTGCAAAGTTTAGCTTTGGTCCAGAAAATCCTCGAGATGTTGATGGAACAGCATAGATGGATGACTCAGTTTACATGTTTTTTTTCTTCTCCGGAAGGATTTCAATTTTATTAGCTAGGGAGGAATTAAGTGAGCGGATCTGAAAACTAGTTACATGATGGTATTGCGTAACAAGCTAGCGAGCGACCATTTAGTGTGCAATCTTACGATCAATGAATTAATGAAAGTTATGATATACATCATTGCCCTCTGTATAATGCCGATTTGAACTTTGTGAATGGATTTCGTGAGGTTATCTGGTTGTATGCTATGCGATCTACCACCCCTTTCCCCCCTTCTTCGTCCCCTCATAGCCGAGGATTTGACAACCCATTTGCAGAATGAATGGATGGATGACCGACAGAATATAATTTTTTCTTCTATTGGCCTGGCACAGTTAAGATCACAGCATACATAAACCGAAATTTTGGAAAAGATACACGCCACTTGAAGGGATAATATATAATATAATTTTAATTGGCATGAGCCTTTCTTGTACAATTTGTAAATGCAACTTTGAAATTTTAGAACACCTGGATATATGACTAGTCCTTAGATATAGCCCTTAAGAACTGCAGCTTCTGCATTCAATATCGAAGAACCAGCAGCTCCAATGACGGCTAAATATGGTGTTAGTACTTGAGCGTTGTAAAATTGAAAGAGGGTGGGAAACTTACTGTTATGACTCAAGGCCACAAATTTGAGATCGAAGATTCCGCTATCATCTTCTCTGACTCGTCCAACACTGACTGTGTATCCATTCTGTGTATTGCGATCCAATCTTGGTTGTGGTCTATCCGCTTCCTCCATAACGGCAATCGCTGGCTCTGGTGCTGACGGACATCCCAATGTCTGCGCCTCACTTACGTATTCCCTCATAGCCTTCTTGACCTCTTCCGCGGTAGGTTTAGGTCCATCGCGGTTCTTGAAACGAAGAGATACACAAGCCATATGTCCATCTAGAACCGCGACTCTGTTGCAAGCCGCTGAAATCTTCAATTCTGATTGATCCTCAAATCCAGTGACTTCAGAATTGACTCTTCCGAGAATCTTCTGTGCCTCCGTCTCTAACTTATCTTCCTCGCCGGAGATGAATGGAACAACATTGTCGAGAATATCCATACTGCTTACACCTGGATAACCGGCACCACTAACAGCTTGCATGGTGACTACGCTCACTTGGTCGACCTCTCCGAAAGCTTTTTGGATGGCGGCGAATGGGATAACTATGCCGATGACTGCGCAGTTGGAGTTGCAGACAAGGAAACCCTTCTTCAGGGAATGGGCGCGACGTTGGTGGGGGATGAGATCGAAATGGGGGAGGTTGACTGTTGGAACGATGAGGGGAACGATTGGATCGCGGCGGTAGTTTTTGGCATTGGAGAAGACGGCCAATTCAGCCTTCATGAATTCCATCTCTAAATTGACAGTTCAAGTAAGCATTGCCCTTAATAACTCTGTCGTCCTCTAATGGAAATTTCCCAGTGGACAAGGAAGTGTAAATGTATTGAAGGGTCTCATACCAATGTCACCCGCAACATCAGCATCCAATCCACCGAACACAATATCACAATCCGCGAACTCGCTTGCTTTACATTCTTTAACGACTAAATCGCCAATCTCGGCGGTCATGGGAAAAGCTTGTTTCCATTTGACGGCATCTTTGTACTTCTTTCCTGCGGATCGCGAAGAAGCTCCTACGGCATGGAGTTTAAAATATGGATGTTGAGCAAGAAGAAGAATGAATCTTTGACCGACGGAACCGGTGCATCCAAGTACACCTAGATTAGATTAATCAGCGTATGTTATGCGGGAAGCTGGAATGGGAAGGTAGGTAGTGAAGATGTATGAAGAGTGGTGAGAGTTTCGAGGAGGGGTATATTTGAGTTGACTAACCACAACGCTTGGTAGGGAATTGTGTGGCCATGATGTGCAATTTGATCTGACAATGAACAGTTCAATATTGATATCTACTGCGACGATCAAGAAGAAGCGAATTTATGGAAGATATAACAATTTAAAAGGTTGATGGGTGTGACTGTTCACAATACAATGTAATAGAGATCATAGTGGGGGTGGAGAGTAAGGCTGGACTATTTTTTCTGTGGGGTGCCGACCTCGGGCATGCAAGGCTGAAAATATTTCTTCATGTAAATATAATAAGATTTTGCCACATACAAGCTCTTTTGGAAATGGAACCAAACCGAGTCATATTGTAGAAAGACTGATTTGATACTCAGATCTGGAGTTTAGGAGTCTTCGGATAATACATACAACAAAGCAATTAGCAATGCATGTCGCTCTGGATGTGCTACTCAAGACTCGTCTTTGCCTTTCATATACATGTCGACAAATCATCAGGGTAGAGTGGGTTCATTATTTTGAGTTGTAGCTAATTTTCCTATTATACATCCATCCCCATGTGTCATCATCGTCAAATTTGGGCCATTAATATTGACTTGCGGTGTTCTGGCACGCTTTCTGTAAGAAAACTGTTAGCTTGACTTGGGGTCCAAAAAGATTATAGGTTCGTCCATACCAATTGCTCCAAATACCAGTTGCAGATGGACATGTTTCCTTGGTTCTCGTCCATGCAGTTGGTAAAGCTCTTGACCTGGAAGCCACAGTTTGGTTCGCCAAATTGGTTCTTCTCTTGACCTTGGGATGCTACAGCATTATCCTGAGCTGCTTCGGGTGCGCTGGATCCACCGCCGAAGAAACCGGTAATAGCATGTCCTAATGAAGATCCGATGGCGACACCTCTGGATGGAAGAGATCAGTATGCAACTTTGGAAATGACGTCTGGCGCAATGAAAACTCACGCTGCAGTGCTAGCCACTTGTCCAAGCAAACCGGGACCAGAAGAACCTTGAGCTTGTGGAGCTCCTGCTTGTGCTGGAGGAGCGGCTGGGGGAGCTGCACCTGCTGGCCTTGGTGGGTATGCAGCAGTGGTTGCTGGTCGGGTTTGCTGGGCGGATGGTGAAGGTCTGCTTGGGGCCGAGACAGTTGGTCGAGATGGGGCGCTTCCCCTTCCAGATCTTCCTTGACGAGGCATATTTAGTTGATGAAGTGAGAGAAATAGATTCAAGGGTTTAGGTGTGATTATACGATTTTGCCTAGAGAAATGTTGAAGTTGTTGAATGTCGGCCAATGAGATACTTGACAATTTAATCCCGGAATATAATCCGTTTTACACGCGCTAATACTGATTGGGTTAGTTCAGCCTTAATGTACATGTACTGATAATATGAGATAGATGATTCTAGATGGCAAAACTCTACAATATTTCTTGAGTGCAATTACAGAGTGAACTCTTAACAACCATGAAGACGATGTTCAAAACAGACAAAAAGCATTCATTTCATGATGAACAGAATCTTGAGAGAAGAATACCTAGCAGATATTTATTATTTCTTTCTTTCGTAAACCTAGATACTTGTTGTCCAATAACTCAAACCATAAAGCTATCCTATTTTGCCGTGACAAATCATGGTATCATCCCTAAGCCAGCTCCATAAACGCCCTTTTAGATGTGCATGCATCCGGTGACTTTCATGTCCATTTACATAGCCATATACATATCCATATACATATCCCATTTACCAAATGTTTCTAATTCTTGCTCTTGCCCTTGGCCTTCTTGGATCTGCTCTTCGTTTTCTTCTCCTGAGTTTCCTGCTTAGATTTTTTGGATTTAGAATTAGAGGTGGAAGAGCTATCCTCTTTAGACTCGATGGGGCTTGCTGCTACCTTCGCAGTCTTAGACTTTTTGCTTTTGTGTGCTGCAGGTGCAGGTTCGTCTGAAGAATCGGAAGGTGAACCGGAACCATCAGATTCATTTGAGGTTTTGGATTCTGCTTTGTTGGGTTCTGTTGTTTCTTCGCCCACCTTTCTCTTCTTTGATAGCTCCTCAAATCTAATATGAGACTTGGCTCTCTCCTTCGCCAATTGCTCTGCTCTTTGAAGATCATATTTATCATTTCCGCTCTGTAGGTACTGTTAACATAGGTTCTCAACCCCGACAATTGAACAAGAGTAGAAGCTTCCTTACCAATCCTGCTTTGATGAATCGGCCAGCAGCTCCTTTATCCAATTTGAGATTTCTTTCTGCTGCAGTTGCCGGGGGATTCTCTGTAACCTTTATCTTCTCAAAATACTGTTTCATCCGAGTAAGCTCGGTGAAAACAGGATGTTCACGGGCATTGACACCATTGAGGCGAAGGTATGCTATCGAAATGAATTAGTATACAAGTCCTGAATGCGACAGAAATATAATGATGGAAACTCGTACAGAATAATATGGACTCAATGGCATATGTGACAAGAGTATAAAGCTTCGCCTTGTCCAATAAAGGTAACTTGCTTGCAAATTCTGGGATAGTCTTTTGAATGAAAGGTGCAACGGCATCTTCTATATCATCGATATCGTCATCAAGTTGCTCGAGCAAAGAAAGAATCTTGGTAGGATCCATTATGGAAATTTGGTTGAATGTGTTGTAGCGAGTATGATTGACGTAGCATGCGCGATCGAGAGGAACCTAGACAGTAGATACGATTGGATGTTGCTTGTTGCTTGTTGTAAGTTATTTGTGTTTTGAATTGGATTGTAGTCAATGTATCAATTCATTCATTCGTATTCGTAACATTCATTCGTCTTTCAACTTTCCACCATTCTTTCTTAGAAAATTTGGGAATGAGTTCCGACGCTATCGGAAAAAGGCGGCCGCATTCAGTTGCATTGGAATTGAAGTCTTCCAATTGGATTACATGTTTGGCTTACAGGGATTTTCGATAAATATTCTCTGCTAAAGTGCTTAATCGACATTTTTTTCGATTCCGAATATTTGATTGTAAAATGATATTTAGTACTTGAATCTCTCCCATCACATCCATACAACTCAACTTTTGCCTCCCATTTGAACCCTCACTTACTGTTACTTTATATCTTGTCCATGTTCGAAGTCTACACATTTTATGTAAATAGACTTCAGTCTCGTTTTGTACTAAGCCGAAATCTCAGATATATCTCAAGCTAGCTTCACCCCTCACCGAACGGAACTTCAACACGCATTTCGCCTCATTTTACTGAAACTCGACAAATTCTACTTTCCATCGTGGTCCATTACAAGATAACTTCTTACCCTTTTGCGGATGTGTAGAAGGACGTGAAGGCTTTCTTTTCTTGCTTTGGTTTCGCGTGCAGACAATTGCAACAACGAAAGAGTAGACATCTTGATTCTGCTTGTCTGCCATGAGTTCATTGTAATAACCATTGAGAGTGTTCATCCTGTCTTTTCCAAGGTGCGGTCGTCCGCTGTGGCGGGTGCTTGCTCGAAACCCTCAAAATTGTCGATGGCTCTCAGGTAGCATTACCCTGGGCCGGGTGGCCACTCGCACTTGGTCGAGACATAACGGGACATACTGGTGGCCGAGGCGGAAAGGAGGATTGCGCGCCAGCTTGTCATTCGTTTGGGGTTCAGAGAGAGATACCACTACCAGCGGACCTTCTAGGAGTTACGGGAGCAAAAGCGATGGAGTTTATGCGAGCGAAGGGACAGCAGACAAAGATATAACCAATCAAGAGGACAGTCACAAAAAAATCACGCCCAACGATTATGCATATGCTATGGAAATAGAGTCACAAGACGAGCGGGAATTTCAACCAGACAGCGAAGAAGGGAACGATCCATCACCGTTCGATTTCGCCTACTCGCATCGACCTTCGAAATGGGAGGCAAACAAGAGCTCGTCGGCTGAAGAGCTGCCGGATAACGATGACTTGGAAGAGCTTGAGAATGTTGACGTCTCCGACATTGGGCCTGAATATTTGCATTCCCCGGACATCCTAGTTACGAATGTAAAATATGCCGCCCAAGATTCACCTACTATGTCTTCTCGCCAGCATGGCCAAGAACCTTTACAGTCAAGACAAGTCCCCGATCTTCACTACAAACCGACATCACAAGATTCAACACAACGAGGGGATAGGCCTATATCACGCACAATCCATGTTCTAGGAACAGGGCCTATTGGACAATTCATTGCGTATAACCTTGCTGAAATGGATTCTCCGCCGCCTGTTACTTTACTAATGCACCGGCCACTGTTGATTCAACAATGGCACCACTCGCGTCAGGTTCTCAGAGTATGCAAGGATGAAATCATAACCGAGCAATCCGGTTTCGATGTTGAATTATCCGCAAGTTTCAATATTCCTGGGCCCGAGTCAGAGACTAGTGTCACTGAGCATAGATTTGGATACACGAACGAGGTCATAGATAACCTGATCATCACAACGAACGGCGACAAAACAGTGGCGGCACTTACATCCATCAAGCATCGTCTCCGGCCTCATTCAACCATATGTTTTGTGCAACATGGAGCAGGTGTCATTGAGGATGTTAACAAACATGTTTTCCCAGATTTGCAGGATCGTCCTCATTACATGCTTGGTAATTTATCTCATGGATTATTTGCCACGGATCAGCTATGGACTGTGGCTCAAACCACCCAGGGAGAGCTGAAGCTTACAATTCCTCAATATAACACCAGCGCACCCTCCAACGAACCATTGCCCCAAAGCTCAGACAGGAAGCTCACAAATAACTGGGCACCATCTTCAAGATACATGTTAATGTCATTGAGTCGTTCTCCTGATCTTAAAGCCATAGGCTTGAACTATCCTGACTTCATGAAATTCCATCTCGAATACATCGTTGTCAATTCCGTCATTGGGCCGCTGTCTGTCATTTTTGATTGTTCCAACGACCAGCTGTTGTACAATTACCAGGCAAGTCAGACAATGAAGTCCCTCTTGTGGGAAATTTCGTATGTTGTGAGAAGTCTGCCGGAGCTCGCGACCGTTGCAAATCTTAACAAACGCTTTGGAAACCGCAGGTTAATGAGCATGATACACTCAGTGCTTTCTCGTAGCGGGAAGAATGTCACATCTATGTTACACAACGTCAGAAGTGGAATGAAAACGGACGTTGACTTCTACAACGGCTATCTCGCTCGAAGAGCAAAAGAATTGAACATTCCGTTTTCTTCAAATGAGTTAGTCATAAGTATGGTTAAAGCTAAACAAGCTATGAAGTCGAGGGAGATGAATTCATATATACCCGCGGTTGATCGGAGATAGATGGAATGTAGAGGCACGCTGGGCTTGTGAGCGAACGAACTGGGTATGTTTTACCATGTAGGAGTGTACGTTTATGTTAGAATTAGCAACACCTGTAAATTACGTCTTAGATATCTTATATACTCGGTCACTCGCAAAAGCGACACTTTAGATTATAGACCAATGAATAATGCACATATGCCTCTCTTGCAACCTCAATTCTCAATGCACTACTTTATCCTTCTGTGGTGAGTCGACAAGAGACTTCAAGGTGATGAAGTATAGCAACAGGCCTCATGGCATGTTACTTTGCACCCGGTGAGCCACCATCATGAGTGTTCAAATCCAAACTCATGGCCTCAGTGAGCTCTTATCTGAAGACGCTTTTCAGATGCTTGAACTCGGTCTTACTTGCTTGATTGTGATAATGTTATAATTAAACTAAGTTCACATCTCAGCCGAAAATGACTATCGATCAATTTATCGTGGAATTGAAAAATTATGATTCACGGTTGTGGTATGATGTAGTTTTGCCCAAAGAGGGGTTGCCAATCATGGTATTCGTTAACGACTGGGTACCACAAGGCTGGCATCGCAAAGTTACCACACCCCTCATTTTCTTCAACCAGAACAAAAATTACACACACTCAACACCTTAATTATGGAAGACGACGATTTGGCACAAGTAAGTCTCTGGGAAGACTTAGTCACGGCCTCATACTAATTATTCTTTAGATCAGAAAAGCTCGTCTTGAGCAACTGAAAACCCAAGGCGGAGGAGGAGGTGGTAGACCAGGCGCAGCGGGCGGCAGTGGAGGGCAAGAAGATGGCAGACAGTGCGCTTTACTTTGTCGAAGATACATATAAATAACTAACCTTTTGCGCCCTAGACAGCAAGAAGAAGCGGCTCGACAATCTATCCTGACCCAAATTCTCGAACCTGAGGCGGCAGATCGTCTAGGTCGCATTAGACTTGTAAAGGAGTCCAGAGCCGTCGATGTTGAAAATCGCTTGATCATGTTGGCGCGTTCGGGACAATTGAGATCGAAAATTACGGAGGAACAATTGAAGGATTTGTTGAGCAGTGTGTCGGAGGCCCAGGAAACTAAAGAAAAGATTGTGGTTACCAGGAGGAAGGGTGCTTGGGATGACGACGATGATGATCTTTTCGACTTGTAGTCTGTGGTTCGGAAATTAGGGAACATTTAGTGAGCAGATATTTCAGGAATGGATTCCATAATGCTGGGACTGTCTTAGGCCTCCGAGGAAAAGGTGTTAATATTGCGAAATTTTGGGAAATCTACTGCTGTGGTATCAAGTTACTGTGCTATCAAATCCTCCTCAAGTTGCCTTTTGGGCCTTTTTTCTCTCCTTCTCCATCCGTCTGATATCTCTAAGATCAAGAGGCTTTTCAATGCCTAAGTCTTCTCTCAATTCTTCCACACTCCTTTCCAACTGCTCCTCCCAATAAACATTAATAACTTCCTCTGCTTTCAACCCATTCGCAAACGCCCAAGGCGCATATATTGTAAAGAATCTCCTCCTCTCTGCTGACTTCAATGACATCACAGCGAACATACTCAGACCCGTCATTGGTAACAGAGTATTAGCAAATTCAAATGCCTTAAGCGCCACTTCGCCTTCCCTTACAATAGGTAGCCCCGTTATAGCATGGTAGAAATCGTGGCATTCGCGATATCGTTGCATAACATATGCGCATTCTTCGTCATCAATGTATTTTACTGAATCTCGTGTATCGGGCGAAACTCCTTCGCGGTCCAGCCATTCTGCGTAGCACCTGCCTACAGTGTTTGCAGGAAGCGCCCGGAGTCGTGTCATGGAAAGAGTCTTGGAAGATATCCTAGGGCGATCGCGAAGTATGCGTCGACCGGTAGGAGAAGAAAGCATAGCATCGCGGAGACGGTATATGAAATATGGTGTTGCGGTAGCTTCTCCACAAGCTGCAATTAGATCTAGTTTCCCGGATTAGTTTTGAGAGTAAAGGTGGTTTTAGATGATCAATTCATACCTGCACGATAAGGATTAAAGAATGCCATGACTGCTGAGCCCACAGCCAAACCACCCCGCTCAATGGAAGTAAGTGGTACATGGCCTGGATAATTTGGAGCTGGACGATGCAATACACTGAAGCTTCTTGTAGCTAAAGTAATAGAGCAGGCGGTAAGTAATTCCCTGGGAAGGCGGGACGCCTGGGTATATAGACGAGGGGACAATGACATGTTCGGATTATAATTGTGAATTAACCCCTCCAATGTTGACGGGGTGGGATGTTACTGTAGATCAGCTTCAATTATATTGCCTGCCGCCCTTTCGTCGAAATAGCTCTCGGCAAAAGCAGCACTAGAAGAAGACTTTAATGCTACAATTTACTTGCGCACGACAAATGATAGATGAGTATTTACATTGGTTAATTGATCTTAAAGTACGAGAATTCTGTTTTCAGAGGCTTATATCTAGTAGTTCTAGATTAAGCTTGTGGAAATCATCAACATAACGGCTCGGTCGTATATCACGATTTCAGATCTTCTGCAGCAAGCAGCCCCTTCGTCTAACTGCGGTGCGAGCATGGACATGCAAGTACATCAAGAGTTCACAAGATGGGCTGTAAATGAAGGTGTCGTTATCAGTAATGTTTCGCCTTTCCGATTCCCAGAAAAGGGTCTGGGACTAGTAGCGAACAAGAATTTTGAGGTAAAATAAAAGAGCTGCTATGTGGAATTTCACCACTTCCGAAAAGTCATGTGCTTGCTAATCTGTAGTAGATAGGTGATACTCTGTTGCAGGTCCCCATAAAGGCGCTTCGTAAAGATACAGATGTACCTTCTCAGTTTGCAGCGCTGGCACCTGAATTAGCTGTTCATGCTCTCTTCGGTCTATCTCTGGACTCGCTGCTCGGGCCGGAATGGAAAGCTACTCTCCCTTCCAAACAGGACATGCATAGCTCTATGCCTTTATTCTGGGATCCCTCGTTACAACAGCTTCTTCCGTACTCAGCCCAAGCTCTTCTCAAGACGCAAATGGAGAAAATCACTTCTGCTTGGACAATCATCTGCAAAGCATTTCCTGAACCACCCATAACCTACGATGAATTCATGTACAACTATAGTATTGTCAACAGTAGGACGTTCTACTACCTTTCACCGACTATCAAATCATCTAGACCACAACCATCAAAAGAGAATCGTCTTGCGTTGAATCCCTTCGCAGACTACATAAATCATAGTTCAGAACCCACGGTTGATGCAACTCTGAGTCGCGCTGGCTACACACGTGAGCAACATCATTCCTTTAATATTACACCCTCAATCTACCCATACTGTCCCCGTAATTTCTATACTATGATCTATGTAAAATCTACACCTCTCCATAAAGTCTTCACCTAAACTCATTCCAAAGACTCATCGGCCATTGCTAACCCGCAACAACCTAGTCACGGCCTCGCAGCCCATCGAGCAGGGTTCCGAAGTGCACATTTCATACGGAAGCCACAACAACGATTTCCTTCTCGTCGAGTATGGCTTTATACTCGAAGACAACCGATGGGACGAGGTTACTCTGGATCCCTGGATAACACCATTACTAAATGGAGAGCAAAAAGAGCACCTCGAAGAGATGGGATTTCTCGGTAAATACCTCTTAGATCGAGATACCATATGTTATCGCACGCAAGTAGTCCTCAGGATTATATGTCTACCGATAGGTAGATGGAGAAGATTCGTACAGGGATGTGAGGGTGAAGAGGTGTCTCAGGCGACTGCGGATGAAGTTCTATTGAAAGTACTAATGGCTGGTAAGATGGAGATGATGAAAACAATCAAGAAGATAGACGAAAGCCAAGCGGGACTTGAAAGTCAAAGAAATACGTTGAGCAGACGCTCGAACCAAATTGTTTTGGTGATAAATAGAGCGTTAAATCGAATTGGATGCTAAACTTCATAAATTTTCGCTTTGCGTTGTATGATGGACTTCTTGAGAAGCCCCTTCAAACTCACTAAATCATGACATGAGGCTCTGGCTGTTCTATCGACGTTCAGTCAATCAATGTGCCATCTTGTGTCTTGCAGTAAACTTTGGTCGTCTTGGAAGAGCGAGTATTACTGACACTTGAAGCATCGTGCGAGATGGGTCAAAGGGGGTTGGGTGCAATTACACAGAAGGTGGAGACTTAGTAAAAAGCAATCATCTGACAGCTCAAAATACATTCATCGTGAGAATCACACTTCTATGGTACATGCTTTATTTTGAAATACAAGTTAAGAACTGAAAGTGCTCATTATTCCAATTGTCAATTATGCCAGATCCCCGAATTGAACGCCCTTTCCGTTATCTATACCTCATTCTGGTCTGGGTCTTTTGGCACCGTGTGGATTCTGCCAGTCGCCACCAGCGCTTTGATTTTGTTGAAAGAACGCGGGATTAAAGTGCGGTTGCATAGGTTGAAAGCCATTCCCCCCTGATTTCTCGAGTCAGTGATAAATCCCATAGTCCTTTTGTGGTTTCTAACTCAGCTCATGAGTAGCTGTTTCGACGTACCTTGCATTGCACCACCCATTTGTGCCATATTACCCATGTTCATAGGCATTCCCATTCCGCCCATTCCACCCATTGGCATACCTCCCATGGGCATACCTCCCATCATATTATTTCCCATTCCCCCTCGGCCGCCTCTCATACCTCCAGGGCCACCCCGCATGCCACCCATCATACCTCCACGATTGAATCCACCAAATTGATTTCCCATGGGATTCCCTTGAAATCCGCCACCCATTGAAGAATTAAAGCCCCCGCCCATAGATCCTCCTGAGCCCGAAAAGTTACGATTGAAATTGCCTTGATTCATGTTGTTGTTCATGCCTCCACGAGAAGAGTTGTATCCACCGCCACGACCGCGGAAATTACCACCAAAGTTGCCTGAAGTATGACTGCCCCTCTCACTGTTGTAACCTCCTGGTCCTGAGCTTGATCGACTATTTTGGCCTTCTTTCGTGGCGCGGGCTGGCGCGTCTTTGGGTAACGTGCGGAATGGATTGACATTTGGATTGTGGAATGTGACTGTCTGCTTCTTCACATATTGGTGACCTTCACCGAAAGCGTCAATCTTTCGTTTCACTGCCGTCGCAGCTTGTTGGGACGTAAATTCCACATAGGCTTGTCTGTACAGGGAGTCAGTAGATGCTCGGCATTGGAAGGTGCTGTGTGTAGTAAATTACCCCTTGCTCTTTCCATTAACCTTGTGCTCGGAGAAAGTCATCTCCTTCAGCTCATCTTCGACTTGAGCCTGATTGATCCATCCCCGAATATCATCGTCGGTATTCCACCAATGTAATTCTGATATGAGCAGGGCCGTAGTCGCACCTTGATCGATTGGGCGATCGTCAGAGCCTTCCTTTCTCTTTACACCTTGCTGTTGAGGGGCCTGCTTGGGTATGTTGAGAATATCTCGTCCAGATTCGTCGGTACTCTTTATCTTTTGTTGACCTTCAGCGAGTTCATCCTTCTCATGACTAACCTTGATATCTACATAATCGTCATCTTGTTCTTCGTGTTTACCATTAGTTTCGGCAGCTGGTGCGACAGAAGGCTCAACGCCGTCAATCTTGACATCACCTTCATCATCTTTCTTGAAAATTGCATCCTGTTCAGTGTTGGTATCTCCATAGATATCAATGTCGAACTCGTCATCAGCCATGGCGTCTGAATGTGCACACGAGGTACCTTGACTTTCAAGTGAAGGGTGAGTTTTGGTTGAAAAATGATGTTTTGTATTGCTTATGAACAGTTTGAGTTGATGTTATGCCACAGGGAAATGGGATTCTGTGAGAAAATAGAAACAGGATCAGCGGGTGAAAACAAAAGAAGGGCCATTGGATGGTAAAGGTCAACGCATGTGTAGCATTGGAAGCAGAGTCTGAAATACATGGGATAGAATTCAATGAATACGTACACTCCTAAAACCTGGAGGATATTGCTTCAATGAATGAGGTCAAAGTCCGAGAGCCTTCTTTGGCAACTACAGACAGAATGGAGATATAAGACGCAGCTCTGTGCTTGCAGTCTCTTTGAATTTTTGATGTAAAGAAGCCCAACAGATGAATAAACCTCCTATGCCGAAATATTGGAAGAAAGAGGCGAGGCAAGAAAATTGGAATCCAGCCTGAAATTGAAAAGCAGAAATGAAGATGTCAGTTGTCCAAATGCCTTGTTCATCAATAGCAGAAGCACAGAGTAACCGAAGCCTTGCTGTACAATTCCGTCCCTCAAGTACCCTTCACGTCCAGTGTTTGCTGGTTTGCTTGATTGGATTGGGTGTATTGAGTTGAGCGGGTGGTGATTGATTGAATGCGACGGAATTCTCGAGTCGGCGTGAAGGTTCGCAATTGATGTCTCTCGTTAGGACTCTGAGATACGAGTATAGAGTACTTGACAACTGTGAGTCGAGTCGAATGTGTGGGTGGTACTTGTGTTCACCATGAAATAAAAATCGACTCTGTGGGCAGAATGTATCTATTGCTGTATTATCGAATTATATGGAAAAGAGCTTGTGCTGCAAGAGTTCCATACAATATTCAAATGTTAGGCGCGGTATCGCGATGAGCTGAAATCCTAGTAGCTCGAGAGATCGATAATGGAGATACGAGGTGGGTATTTGAGGAAGCAGAGATCAATGATTTAGAAAGGGCATGTAAAATAAACAAGAAAGGAAGTTTTGGCACTTATACGCCGTTGTCGATGAAGATGACAATAGCGACGATAATATCAATATGGAGAGAGTTGAGGGAAATGAAAGTTGGTTCTCTTTTCTTTGATTCTTTCTTCTCCTCTACTGTTGGATTTCGCGCGCCGCTGAGCTTCAATACCTTTTGATGCCCAGTGCTGATTTGTTACCAGGAGCCTGTTCCTTGCCGATTGGCAATTGTCTTAGGTAATCATCCTTGACATCCTTAGGTAATCACTCTTAAGTAATCATGGTCGTTCCTGCCTAAGGTATCACCGTCACAACTTCACACACTTACTACTGGCCTATTCCCTACCACCCAGTAGCTTTCGGATTTGGAAGGTTCTCATTGGATCAATTAACATGCTTTAATTTCTTGAGCCTACCTTATCTGGCTTCTTCGAAATTCCTCCAACTACCTAGTATCTATTTGCTTCACTCGCAACGGAATTCAAAATCTTTGTCAATCATACACTCTCAAAGTATCCAACACCGAAGCGTCGGCCACAAATTAGTCCTTCAATAAAAGTATAATTCGAACCTCTCGAGAATCAATTGTCTACTTCCTCAATCCCAACCTCAACTCCTCAACTTCTTCACAACCATGGCAGACCAAATTCAAGAGTTTATGGAGATTCCAAGAGACTTCATCAAAGATGGTACTCAATTTGTCAATAAATGCACAAAGCGTAAGAACCAGTATTTGCCATTGGTTTCATCAGGACATGAGATTCTAACAAATTATAGCTGATCGTCGCGAATTCCTCAACATCGCTCGAGCTGTAGCTATGGGATTTCTTATTATGGGTGCCGTTGGATACATCGTAAAATTGATCCATATACCACTCAACAACATATTGGTCGGTGGCGCATAGTTTGGGGATGGACAATGGACGATGATTTCTGCACTACGGTGACTTGGTCGTTCGTGGGAAGGGGGGCCATGGAACCTGCACCAAACGAGGGCGAGATGGACGAGATGTTGGCGTATAAACGGATGGAGTTTCTCACAAAATCTAAGGATGTATTATATTTGGCCTTGGTGGCAGTTACTGTTCCTGGCATTGCTTGCGTCTGGAACAAACGGTCCTGCATTTCCAAAGTTGAATGGGACCATATTAAATAATATCCGGCACATTGTCAAAACATTCACTGTATATTGTGAGACTTTTTCCCTTGTGAACAACGTTGGATAAAAGTTGGAGTAGTGGTTGGATAAAGGTTGGAGTAGCGATTTGATTGACGCTTCACATTATCCCGGAATCATGTTGAATTTAAATCACTGGCGATGCGTTCGGATTGGCAAACCACTTCAAACCCAAGTAGGTATGAATGTATCAGGAAATGCCTTACCATGAGTGGATAAGCTGGCAATAGATATGGATTATCAATATTCTATTACCTTGAAGCCAAAGTATAGTGTTAGCTTGGAGTTTGAGAACTTACAATGCCTCTTTCCAACTTCATCGCTGACGCTTAGCGCATCAACTAGATGATTGGAGGCACGCTGCAAAAGATGAAAGGGGAATGAGCAGAAGCGCATGATGGGGGTCACTACCGACTGGTGTATCCAATACAAGGATGGCATAGTACTGATGGAGTAATGTTTACTACTTTGTCAGAAGCTACTTAGGTGGTGCGTTGAGAAAATATGAACAGAAAGAAGTAATAAGAATGCAAGAATGTAAGGAAGCGAGAAAGTGCAACCATGGTGATTTGAGGTATGAAACAGATATTGAATGGTAGAGAAAGGTTGACGAGTGGATAATAATGCTTGGGGAAGTGGATGCTCGATACCAAAATCGAGGAGAGTAGATCGAGTACATAGGTAGTTGAGCTAGTTACTGCTAGCGCGAGATGTATTGAAAAGGCAAACTGAACGATAGTATGACTTTACACTCGTCACATTCGTTATACTCGAGTGTGATTCTCCAGAGAATATGTAAGCTCGAGCTCAGATATCCAGTTGTACTGGATGTCATGAAAGGATGAGAACACATTTGGAGAATATATTTCGAACATATATTCTGCTGATGTATTTGGAGAATATATTTCGAAAACGCATTCATCGGATTTAAATGGATTTAAGTGTATGCGATAAGAAACTCCGAGGTACTGATAAGAATCATGACCCTCTTTCCACTACTCCACCCCACTGACAAAGCATCCTCATCTCATGATATCACTACACTTTCCACATCTTGAACAGTAAGCTTCAATTCTGATATATGTCCGATACATACGACATTATACCATTTACTGATACTAATTAACAGGTGATAAATGTCATTGTCATTCAACTTCCAAGAAATCTAGATCCATCTAAAATGAACTTGAAGTGCACCAAGTAGTGCTTTATTGGGGAACACCTACCTCTCTCTCTTTGCCACCTACCTTGTTTACTACTCCATACAATACTACTGAGAAATTCCTTTTTGTTATTTTGCTCCGAAGAAGTATTGGAAATAGGCGTCTTGATTGACTCGTATTACTATTCTCAATGGCTTCCCAGAGAAGCGTATCAGGTGCCTTCCCGTCAGATGATTCCACGGCCGGGAATGGAGCGGGAGATGATATAAATCTTATAGAAGAAAGAGACGACGAAGAAGATGATTATGCCGACGAGCAGGATGAGGATGATGAGATTGAGGACGATGACGATGACGAAGATGACGACGATGACGATGAAGTTGGTTTCGGTAAGTCTAGACTATCGTTGGATTTGAAACTCTCCTAGTCAAGTTTCACTGACATATGTCGCCCATCTTTTAGATGTGCAGGTTGAAATTGAGGACGATGAAGACGAAGGTGCCACCGCAGTCGATCATAGTGAGACCTACACATCCTTCACTTTGCTCCATACCATATGGCTTATACTCCGATTCCATTTAGCTACACGAACACGATATCTTCTACGGGTATTGGCCGCCCACCCAGATGTTCGGAACATTATACGCTTTACCACTGACCTCGACGAGGACGAGGACGAGCTCTCTTTGTGGCCACGGAGGCGAAGGAGAAGTACACCCGATCCGAATAGGTTCCCTAAAGTGCCAAGCATTGTTGGGGAAGAACTAATGGCGTCGGGTGATTTTGGATCCAATGATGCACAAACTCCAGGCAGAGATGATCACATTAAGGGACGAAAACGTTTGGCAAGAAGAATATTAGACCGAGAGTTAGCATCAGGGAACTTTGCGGCCCAGGTGATAAATCGGAGAACAATGGCACAAGTGAGCGGCACATAGGCAGGCACATTTCTAGGCAGCATACTAATAGAATCCCAGGAAATGTTACCATCTTCGAATGCCGATACTATAATCAATTATGACGATCCCGTTTACTCAGGTCAATTTTCGGATGACGGTAACTTCTTCTTTGCCGTCACCAAGGATTTCAAAGTCCGCATGTATGATACATCAAACCCTTATAAGTGGCGGTATTATAAGACTGTAAGCTACCCTTATGGGCAATGTAAGTACAATCTTCTTGTATCATGGCTTATTTCGATCCCAACACATGATCCATCCGCGCCTTCGTTAATTCCACTAAGCCCATAGAGTATCTCAAGTATTGACAGTCATTAGGGACCCTTACCGATGCTTCACTGAGCCCTGACAACAAATATCTCGCTTACACCTCCATACGTAGTACGGTTTGTCTCGCTCCGACAGACCCAAATGACATGGGAGATCCTTATAATCTGGAGCTCGGTGATCCTGGCACTGGTATACAAAATCCTAGGCTCGATCGGCGAGGGTCATTTGGTATTTGGTCGATTAGATTTTCTGGTGATGGACGCGAGCTTGTTGCGGGAACTACAGGCGGTTCCATTGTTGTCTATGACATAGAAAGTCGTCGTCCACTTCATAGGATTTTTGGGCATGATGAAGATGTCAATGCAGTATGTTTTGCCGACAAATCATCGCCTCACATTCTTTACTCCGGATCAGATGATACAACTATCAAGGTGTGGGATACCAGGAGTATGGGCGATAGTCGAGAAGCGGGTGCATTTATTGGTCACATTGAGGGATTAACATATCTCGATAGCAAAGGAGACGGTCGTAAGTTTTTTATTCGTGAATGTTCAAGAACGGCACGCTAAAAAATTTAAGGCTATATCCTCAGTAATGGTAAGGACCAGAGCATGAAGCTATGGGACTTGCGTATGGTCATGAGTTCGGCTCAATTTTCCAACATCAGGGCAAATGAACGTCGCCCCGGAACAAACTTCGATTATCGCTGGGGACGTTATGATGAGGATGATTGGTACCACGATAAAAATGACAATTCTTTAGTCACATTCAGAGGCCACAGAGTAATGCGGACTCTGATTAGATGTCATTTCTCTCCGCCTGGAAGTACTAATTCAAGATATGTCTATTCGGGGAGCGAAGACGGTAAAGTGTACATATGGAATATGGATGCAACGCTTGCGGGCAAAGTCGATGTTTTCCAGGCAACAAAGAATACAAGGCCACCCCCACCCGGTCAATGGCACGGGGGTTGGCATGGAGGATGGCGTGATGATATAGATGAAGTGAATAGTCCGAGGTGGAAAACAGTAGTTAGAGATGCTAGTTGGCATCCCACTGCTCCCATGATCGCTGGTAGGTGCACCTATGCCAACACTAATTCTTTTCGACTAACAAATTTCAGCATCTGCGTGGAACGGTTATGGTACTGAGCAGGGCACTGTCACCACCCATTCTTGGAATGAGGGTGCTGAAGACGATGAAGCCGAGCCTAAAATGGGATTAAGGGTAAATGCGAAGTTAGAACATGATTCTCACCTTTACCCGGCCCACTTAGGCCGCAACGAAAGAACTCGACATCTCAACAGTCTCCTGCCGAATGCTGATGATGATGAGAACGACGATGGCGATTAGGGCATATCCAGGAGGGAATTTGCAATTCATAGTGCTTGGCGACATACTGTAAGGAGTGGTTAGGTATCAATGTGTTAGACTTCTTTCGGGATTTTCCAGTGTTACAAATCCTGCCATTTTCGAAACTTGGAGCTATTCACAATGGTATCTAGCTGTATAAATGCTTCAATATTCGTATGAAACCCACATGAAAGCTGCAACAGTATCACTGTACAATGTGTGCCTCACCGTGCGTGTATAATTAATGTGAGCTCAATATTTTAAAGTTGTAGATACTTATGAGACTAATATAGAGGGGCCACTGGTAGACTGGTCCGTGTCAATTACGCTTGCTGTCCGCACCATTCCGGGGCGACATTTTCAAATCATGATCTATTAGGGGTGAGAAGACAAGTTATTCATTATCATAATTTGGCATTTTGTGAAATGAGGAATCATGAAGCAACACTCGTCTCTCGGTGTCCGTACTATCTTAAACAGCAGTCGTATGCACACAGGGTGAGGGTGGAATGTCGAGTATAATGAGCCATGGAAAACTCGTGGGCCTACTTAAAAGGAATACAAGTCGGTCGTTGTTAGTGGGCTTCGCGTTAATTTCTCCATTTCTTTTAATGAAGCCTCTTCGCCGGTCACGACGTCCATTGATTTTGGTCTTCCAGTAATCGAGAGATATCCATCTCGCCAATATAAGGGAATGGGGGCGGAGGCCAATCAAAAGACTGCGAGAATGACAAGCCGTCCGTAGGTTCTGCGGTAGGCTATCTGGTGTTAATAGAAGATTGTTAAGTGGGAAACTGAAATAAGATAGTTGGTGACTGTACCTTTAATATCTCATGATTCAAAGCAAATGTAGTTGAATCGATTGTAGCGTGATTAGATGTGTTAGAAAAGTCCTCAACCTGTGTAGGCTTGCTCTGAGACTGTGATGCTGCCCGAGTAGTATCATCCTCCCCGGATCGAAACAGTTCGGGATGCTTGTTCCGGAGGCGATCTCTAAGATCAGTAGGCTGTCGATCCTGAAGGTTGAATTGAGGATCTCTCTGTATCCTCGTCCACGCAGGCCCATAAATGTTATAACCTTCTTTAATTTCACGATCATCTTGGCTGGAGAAGGGGCGTTTCTGCCTCCGATCAGACTGTTTGAATGGCCCTTTTATTCCTAGCTCTTGAAGGTCTGTAAGATTCCTCCGATGATTTCGAGGCTTTCGCCCAGGGTTAGAACCAGAGCTTGACACAGTCTCATCAGCCTCTTGATCTTCACCAGTCATGAAATTTCCGGACAATGGGTCGAAAGTTACCAATTCCGTTTTTGGCTGTCCTTTTGCACTCTCTGCCTTGGTACCAGTATAATGCTTTCCGGAGTTGCGGCTTCCAGCTCTAAGTTCTTCTGGACAACAAGTTCTAAAGCGATCTTTTAGGTCTACCCCTGACCTATTGTTGAAAGTGAAACTTGGGTCTTCTAATATATCCGTCCACTTCCCTACGCCATACTTATGCACACCAAGCAGCAGATTGTTCGTCTCGTGTTCGGACCACTTGTTCCTCGTCTTGACGTCCTTTCTCTTTTTCTTCGTACTTGCTTTCTGACCCAAGACTTCCTGGGTCGGCGATACGATCACACCATCTGTTTTCGAATCCTCTCTCGTTTCTGTGATTTTGGGGGCCAAAGCATTCAAAGTGTTTCTCCCATGACTGTCGTGGAATGAACTCGACGCGATAGGCGGGAACAATGCAGCCTGAGGGGGCGGTTCATGTAAGCCGATGATAATAGGTGGCACCACTTGTTTATTTGATCTTTGCTTTTTGGGTGGTCTAGGCAATTGAACAAACTCATCATTCCCATTCTCCCTATGTTGTTGCTTTTTGGGATGTAGTGGTCTTGCGTTGCCAGTATTGTCATCTAAAATCTTTCGCAGAGATTGCGGAGAAGAACTACCCAGTGTTCGTTCAATTGCACTAATGTCCTTTCCCGTACCCGCATTCCCTATTCGCAAACCCTCTTCTGAGTCTCGATAATTGACTTCATTGTCGTCAATTGGTGCAATGGACGAGGAATGCTGCGATACTTGTGATGATGGCTCACCAGATCGTGTTCCAGCATTGGGTTCTAAAATAAGCGGTCGGTGAGAAGTTTGCAGAATGTTTCGATCGTGCAATGGAGGAAGTTCTAAAGAGGGGGGTTTGTGATGGCTTCAGATGCATCGTTATTAAGAATAGACATTAAATGGGGCTCAATAGTTGTACGCATTATGTTGTCATGGAACCGACATATTGTGAAGACGTTAAAATTGGTGATTGTTCTCTTGTGTGATGATGAATGGGTATGTAGAGAATACAAAAGAAATTGACCCAGAAACAAGAGACAAGAGACAAGAATGGAAGAATGAAAGAATGCAACAAGGGAAGTAAAGTGATAGATTATTCATAGATAGATGAAATGATGTATGATGTGAACTTTATTAATAAGTTTCAATGACTTTTCAATCTAGTTCGTTCTAGATGATGAGCCTCACCAATCACACATAATTACTAAGAATAAATATCTCCGCACGTTACTAGTGAATGAAAATCAATACTACTTTATTGAAATCGATACTCGATCATTTCTATAAATACATTACTTATTTATTGGAAAATCATTACAACATGCGATTTTATATTATATAATTTTTTAAACTTATTATTAAGGAATATCTAGCAATTAAAGATTAATAATGAATTATTCTCTATATACTTATCCTTAATATAAAACTATAGAAATGAATCTTCTTTAATGTTAATAATATTATATTAATCAAAAGACTCCTTCATATCAAATAGTATAACAATGAATAAATTATCTATTTCGTTTCAACAAGAATATTTAAAATCTCCTGTCGTTTAGTGATTCGTATAGAGCTTAGATAACCTCTTCCCTCCCCTTCCAATCAAACTGACTCCGCCTCCTTCAATCAAAATATTCACTTAAACTGTTATACAGCTACAATACTTCTACACCGTCAAACTTAACCCACTTCAATGGATACTCTTCACCATCACAAGTTGCGAAAGTGCAGAACAGCTTCAGTCTACGGCTACATCTGAAGGAACAGTCTTAACATAGGTACTGACACAGTCCTACTTTATCTACGAAAAGGTTTCAACGTTAATAAGTCACCATATCTACACAGCAATCAATAAACATGGCTTCGATCTTGCCCCTCTTCCCAAACTTTGTCTTCGCAGTCTTGGAGCCTATCTCACTGTAAGTTTGTATTTGACGATTGCAATGTTGACATCAACATACTGATTGGGACATAGTGTGGCTGCTTTTATAGTAGCAATGATCTCCCCAGAGTGGTTTGTCCAGGAGCAGGTTGTAAATTCGCGTCACCTGCCTATTAGTGATAATGCACGGGCTGTTGCGCTACAACTAGGTATGGTATATCTTCTGATGGCCATGGTAGAAATTGCCATTCTTAGCGGTACGCAGGAGGCGAAAGTTGTTAGAAACTATCTCTTTGCTTGTTGGTTGGGTGATATTGGTCATTTTGTTGTTACCTACCGTGTCTTGGGATGGGAAAGGGTCGGAAATATCACTCAATGGAATTCAATGACTTTTGGAAACATAGGAGTAACGGTAAGACCACTCTCAATCTGTACTTGTCGTGCGGCGCGTCTCGATATCTAACATTTAGCAGGTATTCTTGTTCTTGACACGTTCGGCCTATCTTCTTGGCCTGTTCGGTCCACATAAGAAAGGCGCCGCAAAGCTTGCTTGAGATGAGACCATTTAGAATGAGCCCCGAGGCTTAAGGAAAGCATATAAGCATGGTATGACCAGCTCATGAATCGTTCCACCTTTAACAGACCGGCGAATATATCGATTTGACTGGGCAATATTACATGAGGAGTTTTCCGCTGATGCTCGTTGGACCGCAATCAACCATATAAATGGATACTCAATAACAACTTTATATCTTGACGCAGTGTTCTGTACTACTAAATGATCTCAATACTTGACCATGAACATATTGTAATGATTGACCACTTGCAACTAGGAAGGAGGGCCGTCACGTCATCCGCGTAACTTTTTGCTTCCGCTACATCTCCTCTCGAGTTTTTATTCTAAACGTGAATAGGCAAATCGCATGAGTATGTAAAACAAAGAGGGGATGCTGCCAGAAAAACTCAAATTGAAATGTTCATTACTGACGACATACGTGCCCTATCTACAAATACAAGCCGAATTATAGCTAACTATATGTGTCGTCTTGAAATTTACGCCACACTAGTAAACTCAAAGATTGACGAAGAAGATGGCTCATGCCTCAGAGTGTTTCGTGGACAGTGTGCATGGCTGTTATAAACAGTAGAGTATCTCACACAGATCAACCTTCCCTGTCGTTATCATCCCTCCGAGGCTCGAAGTTAAGCTGTTGCAATTTTTAGCATAGTTTTTGCAGGGTAAACTTGGCGAAACTTACCGTGTTTCCGTTGTACAACTCATGATGGTTGTCATTATCATTCTGATCTCTAAGAGTTCTTAGATTTGACGCACGGCCACCTCCTACTGATGCGCTAGGTCCGACCGTCTGTTCTGTATCCGATGCAGCAGCCGAACCACCAACAATGCCGCCAAGAGTAGTTAATACCCTATTGACACCCCAGGCGCCGAGGCCATATCCAGCAGCAATTCCTCTAGATAAGATGCCACTTGATTCTGTTGCTTCATAAGCCGAAGTATATGTTTGAACCGGAACAATGATAAGTCTGTTGCCTCCATATTAGTATCCAAGAGCATTGATCAAGGCTGTATAAGCCTAAGTGAAAGGTTACTCACGTGGCGCTTGGAAACAGACCTAATGATGCCAAGTGTTGACTTTCATCGGTCATTGAGAGGGTCTTATTTGGCAATGGCGTACAAACGTGCTTGAATATATAAGGCACGTCGTCCTTTTGTTGACTGTCAATCCACTAGTCATCGTCAGCATTGCCATTTGTTGTCTTTAGGTACATAGAAGCTGTTGATGATGCAGTTTCTCAATCCCCCAGAAAAATAGCATTGGTGCTTTGATGGACTTCTTCACATTACCTTTCTCACGTCACCACTCAGGGTACTGGTGCTAGGAAATCTGGAACGAATGGATGATCCATCAAAAAGTCTGATCTGAAGGGCACAATCCTGTGCTTTTGAGACCGGGGTTAGTATGGATGTATCCTTGTCGCTGGATTCCACTGGCTGTTCTGTGGAGTGATTACTACGGCTAGGCTTGCGTCCTGCATCGTTTCGTCTTCTTGCTTTGTCACTCTCAACGAGTGCAAGAATGCGCGCTCGCTCCTCTCTAGCTTCTTGCTGACGCTTCTTTTGAATCGCAGCATAACCAACGGTTTCCGCCGCTTGAGATGGTTTTTTAGAGTCATCGTCCGCAGTGGCCTTTGAATCTTCGGGTAGTTTACCTTTGGGGTCTCTAGGAAGAAGGCTCGAGCTCGGTTGCCCAGTAGCATTATTACGAATTGATTGTAAAGTGGATGTAGAGCCGATGTTGGAATTCCCAGTGGGTAAAACACCCGATGATTGGCCTTCGGTCGTACGTTGTTCTGAATTCTCCAAGGTTCGCGTTTCATATGGTGATATAGGGTGATCATTCTCGACATTTCTCTGGTTAGATGTAGATTCCAAAGCTTTCTTGAATCGTGTCAGAAAGTCGTCTTTGGATATGCCTGCACTTAAGTACTCTTTGAGTTCTCCATTCCTGTTAGCCCAGAGGTCAGCACTGCCAACACAATTTTTATCGTCTAAAGTCAAGCGTATAAGAAATAGCAGATGTGTGTCTGTATAAGGGGAAAGCAAGAGTATCCGCGAATCCATGTAACCTCAACATGAACAGAAAGACGCGTTTTAATTCACTTGAACATTTGAGATAAAGCACCATCTCTAAGAATGCACGATTGATCAATGCCCCGTACTGATGACATCTGCCCTGCCCATGGAAATTGAAGATATACCGAATGAAAGAATGAGTTAATCATGCTCACCATATAGCAACAAGAGTTGGAACTTTTGGAATAGGAAAGATTGCAGCGAGATAGTTGGCCTCTTCAGAACCAGCACTGAGGCGCAGCAAAACTGTTCTTTCTTGTAGGTGAGAAGTTAACTAGACAGCGATTTAGCATCAAGCCAGAGGGATTCACAATTCTCAGATTACCTCGGAATCTCGTAAGAAATCATCTTCCCAAAGTCTACTTTCATCGTTGCCATCTATTGGGCACGTGGTCATTACATCGATCGAATGAAAGCTTGAGAAGGATGGTATTTACTCGTTACGAAACATGCAACAAGTTTAGATTCCGCTAAAGCCTTGCTGATCCCGCTATTAATGTCGCCGGCGTAGAACATTGCCGCCGCTATCATATACCGAAATTGGCAAACAATATATTTCTTGAATGACTTTGCAAAAGTGAGGAGATATATCGGTTTCTAGCGTCAATATGGAGACCGTGTTATAAAGACCGGCTCTAGCTATGAGGGCGAAAAATATAAACAGATATGGTATGTGACGTGAGCAAGTCAATAGATCGTTGAGGGGAAGTACAAATAGCTGATTTCTTGACCGTAATGTCCTTGATTGTAAGTGAATGGAACAGTGCAAATGTCACCTGATGTTCAAGATATTTATGAGGGTAGATATAATTGCTTCAAGTCTAGACGATATGATGTGGTATGATATCTCGATGGAAAGAGTTGCAGTGACCGAGTGAATAGATGTCCTAGGTAGATTCTGGGTATACCTATGTAATCACAAAAGGTTCAGGTGGCTTATGTTGTGAGTGTGGCGAGTGTGGCGAGTGTGGCTGATAACCGCTCAAATAAAGTAATCAGACAAATTCAAAAAATAGTCTTGCACGTGCACGGCATACCTTATGTTGCGATAAAAGAGCTGGAGAGAATATAATACTTATACTTGTAGGTACCTAGTAGAATCTACCAGAGTAATAACATCAAAGGAATACCTAGCAGATTGACGTGGTTTATAAACTTCATGCGTCAATCGTATTGAATATGCGTTCCCCTGTCTCAGCTCTATCTTACAATCGTATCAATACGTTTTCATCTCATACTAGGAGGATAACTTTTCCCTTCCAATCCCCAAAATGCCCAAGAAATCATCGATGTTTCGCGGGAACCCGCGTCAAGTCCAGACAGGCTGCTGACGATCCCAATTTCACATCTATAATAGACAATCCTCCGAATTTGGTGCGCACAGGAAGAAGGCATGGGCCTGGTCTTATTATTCTAGGTAAGTCATGAGTTGCTCAGCTTCTATTGCCTAGAAGACTCTCTAATATACATAATAAACAGCTTTGATTCCTCTAACAGCTTTCGCCTTGGGGACATGGCAAGTTCAACGTTTGGATTGGAAATCAAAGCTCATTGCAAAATTTGAGGATCGCCTCGTTCGTGATCCTTTACCACTTCCCCCACACATTGATCCTTCGGCAATAAAAGAATTCGACTATAGGAGAATTTTTGCGACTGGTCACTTTAGGCACGATCAAGAAATGCTGATTGGCCCTCGATTGCATGATGGGAAAGACGGATATCTCGTCATTACCCCTTTGGAGCGGGATGGTAAGGGCACTAGTGTTCTTGTAAACCGGGGCTGGATCGAAAAGAAATATAAGAAGCAAACAAGTAGGCCCGACGGGTTGCCTCAAGGTGAGGTAACGGTCGAGGGATTGTTGCGCGAACCTTGGAAGAAGAATTATTTCACGCCAGATAATAGTCCACAGACTCAGGAATTTTACTTTCCTGACGTCGAGCAAATGGCTAAGTTGACAGGAAGTCAACCTGTTTGGATTGAAGAGACAATGGGTAAGATGGCATTTTTATTAGATTTCAAGTGCCATAAAGCTTACAAAACCACAGAACCTGACCTCTTGATGGCTTGGGATCGCGCTGCACGTGGGATTCCAATAGGAAGACCGGCAGAAGTTAATCTCCGAAACAACCACGCACAGTACATATTTACATGGTAGGTACCTCTAATGGTTGGCGAAAAAGTTAAATGCAACCCGTCGCCATGTATGCTAACGCTCTAATTTCACAGGTACGCCTTGGCTGCTGCTACGTCAGTTATGCTATGGATGGTTGTGAAGAAACCATCTGCAGACATCGCTCGACGAGTTCGTCAAAATAAAGAATGGTCTTGAGGATTGCGTGTGTTTTACCTCATTTTCTGGGTGGTTTTGGTCGGGGCCGATCTTTCGAGATCAAGGGGGGAACCATTCTTACGTCTTGTAAGAGCTCTCTAGGCAGGCGACTTTGTGCAAGTGAAAATGGCGTTGTTGTAGCATTGGTTTGGCGTTGTCTGTAAAACACTCAGCACGTATCAAGACTTTAGTCATGTTTAGATAAATACCTTCTCATCAGCATTAAAACATCACTCTCATCAATGGTTTTGCGTCCAGCGTGTTCAGAGTATGTGCTTAAATCATCACTAATCTGTTCGAAGAACCAGTCGGTTGCTTGCATGATCGCATCAAGAGCATCGCCACTCAACCTGTCTCCTTTGCCGGCTCCATTCCTTGCCAGGCTGATTGCATGTTTCTTCACTACACCTAGAGGCAATGATTTGTATTTCAGCCCATGTTTTGAAACCTTATTAACCTTCTTCTGGAACGTCCTCTTAGAATTTTCTGATATCGCCTTGTGAACGGATACTCTAAGGGGTTCGTCATCACTAAGACCGGAGTCCTCGAATGCTCCGATCGACAGTCTTCGAGTGCCATCCTCACCGTTTATGGCTTCATCGTCCATTACAGGATCCGACAGTCTTCGAGTGTCACTCTCACCGTTCATGGCTTCATCATCCATTTCAAAATCATCTCCTAGATAATTGGCAGGGGGGAAGAGATTTCGTCCATAACAGGCATCGCAGTTGGGGTATCTTCTGGTGATGGCGAAGGTTCAAATTGCGCTGGTATTTCGGGCTGCGGAACTGTGAACACAAAAGTCGCATCCCTTTCCTCGGACGGTGAATTGTATGGTCTGATATCACTACTTCGCCCTGGTAGAAGAGACCGGCGATGCAACGTGGTTTCTAATTCTCCCTGTAATCCTGCGCGATCACTAGCTTGCGTCAGCTCAACAGGCCTATCTGAATGTAGGCTCCTGGACTTACCTTCCAAAAAATGGAGAGTTAGCCATCTCTTGGAAATCATCATTCTCAAAATCATTTGCATTGAAGAAGCTTGTTTCCATTTCATCTCGTCCAAATTCTGCTTCGTCCATGTTTCCGAAATGGTCGCTACCACGGATGCTCCCGAAACTGCCCCTCGAGAACAACCTGCTCGGCCTCTCAGCGACAGCTCTCCTTGAAAGCTCGATTGATCGCGTGGTCAGATTTTCGTCCTCTAAAGCCGCCAAACTAGGAAGCAAAAGACTTTCGTCATCCTCATTATCATCATCGTCACTGTCGTCGTCTAGAGGGATGGAAAGTCGTGGGGGTACAAGATTCGGACCGTCGTCAAAGTCATCATCCAAAAGTAAAGTCTGTCTTCTGGAATTGCCGGGTGCTCTTTGAGGTGATGGAATTGTCGGACGGGTTTGAGGAGCCAAAGTCCTGCTCAATAATCTCAATATATCTCGAGGTGTTTCCCTTTGCTGTCTGCCACTTCGTCTTCTATCCTTTCCTGGTGTCAATCCTGCTCGTCGAGCCTCAACTTCTCGCAAAGCTGCTCTCCCATGAGGTGTCAAAGTCTTAGTCCTAAGCTCTGAGCCACCTATCCTTGAGCCACGACTGGGCGTTCTCGAGTAGCTTGCGTCTGTTGGAGATAGTCCAGCAGTAGAAGTGCGGCGCAAAGGAGTTTCTGGCCTTCCACTCATAGCGATGTATATCTTCTATTAGCAAATAGCTAAAATATGAATTACTATGCTTTGTCTTTATCCTGATCAAACTGAATTTCGAATTGACGGAGAAATTTAATCTGTTCCGAAATAAATAGAACATATACTTAGTGGATATTTCATAGTGTTAAGTCAAAACATCAATGATTGAAATACCAATGTTTAGATAAGACGCGTCCAGAACAGTAATTGTAGTGTTGTACGCGCGAATCTTATCTTATCTTAGCGTTAGCGATATGCAGTAAAATTGTGGATCCGCAAGGCTTTAAATTATTTTATGAAGAACTTCCATTGAAAAAGGCTGAGAAAGAGAAATAGGAAGAGAAAGCAATTAATAAATTCTGTGTATGCTACAGCCAGGATCGGGATAAAAATCGCCAAAGTCAAAATTCCTGTCTACATAGGAACCCAAGTAGGATCTTTCACGCAAAACTTCATAGCAATTCCAACTGCGAAAGTCTTCGAGTCGGCGCCGACTTGAGCTCATACTATCACAATGTCAATTGAAAATGAGCTTCAGGATCCTCTGATTGAAGAAGTAAGGGTTCCAACAACCCGATCTGGATCTGACACTCCCAACAAAACAACTTCGAAGAAAAGAAAGCGTGGAGGAAATCATGGTCAAGAGGGGCCCAAGGAAAAGGTTAATGAGGTTGCGAAAAGGAAGAAGCATTCCTCATTCGATGACGAGGATATCGATGTTGAGGCTGGTCTCAACAATGCAATTGCAAAGATGAATGATCATTTATTAGTTGACTATGTCGCAAGCCAAACGAGAAGATTCGAAAGTGATCTTAGTTCCGTTGAATTAGAAGATCGATACATACCAGGTGAACAGAACCTACCCTTAAATATGCTATGAACTTGGCTAATGTATTGGCATTTAAATAGTCTCTGCTGTTCAGGACACTACATCATGGACAAAGCCACGAAATCTCGATAATCTACCTGAGTTTTTGGAGAGATTTTCTGATAATACAACAAAACTTTGGTCTGCATCAAAGAAGAATGGATCACCACACACAATCATTGTTACTGCTGCAGGCCTCAGGGCAGCCGACCTTGCCAGGTATAGTCACGTTCCTGTTATGATTAGGGTTGGCAGTATACATGTATGTATGTTCTTATCTGACAATTTTATAGAGCCGTACGAAAATTTCAAACCAAGGATGTGAAAGTTGCAAAGTTGTTTGCAAAACACATCAAGCTTAAGGATTCCATTGGATTTCTCAAATCTTCAAGGACCGGAATCGCTGTCGGCACACCTCAGAGATTGAAGGATTTGATGGATGAAGGTTCGCTCGCGGTCGATAGGTTGGAGAGAATTGTTATCGATGCCTCTCATATTGATCAGAAGAAGAGGGGTATACTTGAAATGAAAGAGACGCAGATTCCTTTGACAACTTGGCTGGGCCAGAAACCGTTCAGGGAGAGATATGAAGGCTCCACGGATAAGTTACAAATTCTATTTTACTGACTGCATTTGTCAATTCCTTTCATAAAGTTTCACGATAGAACTTTTAATAAAAGAAGTTAATCATAATCAGAGGAAGGTGCAAATGCCTGGTGCAGCTTTGGCGTGATGTAGCAAGTCCGTGTTGCATGGTTACTCGAGGAGGAAGGTCTAACCAAATGAGAGCTACCGGTATGAAGCTTTCCTGCTTCCCTCATTTTGATCCTTTTCTTATTCGTTCTCGTCTACGTATCTCAACACAACAAATTCTCCTCCGGCCGTTTCCGCACACTCATTGAACCCGTTTCTCGATAAAACGATTCCTAACAAAAGTACCTACTCGCAACGTTCCAGGGTCATTTGGCGAGCATCCTATGATTGTAGGGCCGAGTGTGTCCGAAGTACTACGTATAACATGAGGCGTGCCATCTTGCTATTAGCCATGGCAATGGTGAACAACCCCGCTACAAGTGACGGGAATTTTCCTGCTCCCGGTAAAGATGTTTCTTTGGAGACCCAGACGTACCATATTAACATTTACTTGCAGGTTGTGCAGTGCGATGTTGGGAAAACACAAAACATGTCAGCAAATGTGTGGACAAAAACACATGTCTTTGCCAAGATGCAGAATATCATAATGTTGGTCATACTATAGCTTTACTCTGTCGTTGCTTCTAATGCTTAACATCATACGCTGACGGATTTACTGCAGTCCGTCTTCAAATGCATATATTCCCAATGCGATACTGCACATTTTGGTTCCGCGTTACATCATACAATTACTCGATGCGTTGACGTTGCCGACAATATCATTCTAGCAGTACCTTGGCTTTCAAATCACGATTCCTTGCGCCGAAGAGAAGCTGAATATCTTCAAGGTGTCAAGATAGAAGACTCGGAGTCAATTGCGGGATATCCAACACTTAGCGGACTTCCGATTCAAAGTGCTCTCCCATTTGCATCTGTAGTAGCCTTTTCATCACTCTCGCCCATGGTGCACCTTACGAGAGACACTGTGACAGCATCAGTAACAGCATCCGCCACAGCGCCTTTTGATTTGATTCACACAACCTATAATACTGCCCCGGAACTCGTCACGACCAGTCCCCTTCTTTATACTGGGGACGCTTTTAAGATACTACCAAGCATATTATTCCCTTTCCTAGCTCTCATTTTAGGATTATACTTGGCTGTTTGATAGCCAGATGCAAGTTGACGGAAATTTCTGGATCCCAACGGAAGGGCGCGTGGACGACTTCCAAATAGTGTGTGTGGAGTGACAAGGGTGGATACATATATAACATGATCCATCAGTATTTGATATTACATCCACGCATTTTTGCCTATGAATGATACAGCTCAGCCTTCGAACGATCGCCTGGAAAGCCGAGGACAAAAGAACAAGAACTGGTGGTCTGGAGGCGTTCAAGGCACTTCTATCTCCTTTGTGTTTTGTCTACCCAGTAGAAATTTTGTTAAGAGGAACATACGTAAGTATGCACTTTAAGCTACGAAATAGATTATGATAAATTTCTCTATCAAAGTTTCAAGATTGGAAAGTGATTGACTGAATGCTTTTCCCACCAAATCAACGCATCTTAGAACTAGCCCAAACCGGCTAGTGAAGATTGATCCTTCTCACCGCCATGGGCAGAATATTTCTCGCGACAGGAAATAATCAAACTGGAAACTCGAAAAATGTTTGGCTAGATCTCGACATTTTGATAACCACCTATTCTTCCAATTCCTACATCAACCACCCGCCTATCAATTTAGTTTCATTATGGGGTTTGGAACAGGAGCTTCTCGAGCAGAAAGAAAAGCCAAAAGGCGCAAGATCGAAAATTCAATTCCCGACATACCTGACGACCTCGGAACAGAAGCAAATGACGATGGCGCCGTTTCGACAAAAAGAAAAAGATCTATCGATGACGATGCGAAAGTTGGCCAGGCCATCACTTTGGACAGGAAGGAAGAAATCGCAGATAAGAACGTAGAGTCCCATCACAAGTCCAAGAAGAATAAAACCTCTTCAACCGAATCGTCTTTACTGCCCATGCAAATCGGAGAACCATCAGATATAGCGGAGACCGAAGCTGCGCCTAAGAAGTCTAAGAAGGAAAGGAAAGCGGAGAGAAAAGCTAAAGAGGCTGATGCAAAGTCAACGTCCATAGCGCAGACGGCAGAACCTGCGACAGGAAATGCTACTGGACCCCCCGATCAAATTAGTGCCGAGAGGAAACGTGCGAAGACCAAGAAGCAAGGAGGTGCTTCTGGTGATAATTCCGAGAGCAAGGCTGCAAGATTCATCGTTTTTATCGGTAGGAGTCCCTTCCTAAAGCAATTTCTATTTTTGGGACTTACATCTTGTTAGGAAACCTGCCATTCACTGCTACAACAGCATCGATAAAAAACCACTTTGCAGCCGTTAAACCTGCGTCGGTTCGTCATCTCACGGAGAAAGGAAATCCTACTAAATCAAGGGGTTGTGCTTTCCTTGAGTTCGAAGGCTATGATCATATGAAAACTTGCTTGAAGCAATTTCACCAATCCACATTCAATGATGGTATCTCAGCACCAAGAAAGCTCAACGTTGAGCTGACGTGAGTAACATCCTTACGTCCACCATTCGTCTTCCATCTAATTGTTATGGTAGTGCCGGAGGCGGTGGTAACACTAAAGATCGTCGGTCCAAAATCAAAGAGAAAAATGTGAAACTGAATGAGCAACGTGTGAGACAAGCACAAGAGGTAACGATTCTCCTATTTTATATGGTTCTACTACTGGACGGCACACTTCTTGGGCGAGAAGTATATTTGCTTGTTCGTACCATACTAACAAAAACACCAGGCCGACAATCCTAAAGTTAGCAAAAAGGAAGCAGTTCAAGGAGTGAAGCACGTATTGGCTGAGGATAGTGGAGTCCATCCAAGTAGAAAGGCAAGAATCGGTGGATGAATTATGATACCCGTTTACAATAGCATACAAATTGAAGTGAACCAATCTTCAGTATTAATGAAATTCGAGATACATATTGATTTGTTCATTACTCCATGCATTTATCGTGACCTATCTACAGAAAAAGAGGTATCTTCGGTATCTTCAGGGACGCATGTTGCATCGATATATGCTGCCACATCCATTTAATGCCAAATTCTACAACATAGAATTGGAAAAGTCGATAAACAGAAAATGCTTGTATTAACCCATTCGTATTTCCCCGCACCTTACTCCTCAAAACTCTCCATCTCCGATTATTGTAGAAGCTAAACCACTTCCAACCAGTTCACTGTGTCTATAGATCGTCGCCTGCTGTTGTCTCAACTCAATCTGACTTCATAGAACTGTACACTTAGACTTCTTCGGCTTGGGTGCTTGTTGTTGTGGACTCAGGACAGCACTTCATATGGTCAGTTGATCGTTGTCACACCATGCTTCGAGTAAAATATCTTACCGGATTGCCTCATCGAATACACTCTTAAGGTTTCTCTGTGTGAGCGCAGAACATTCTAAATACTTGTGTGCCCTGATTTCTTTAGCAACAACTCTTGCCTGGTCATAGGTTACAGGTTCCATTCGTTTGGATCTAAGGGATTCTTTGGTAGGCTCGTCATCTCGAAGATCCAATTTCGTTCCAACAAGGATGATTGGAACGCCAGGCGCATGGTGGGATATTTCAGGAAACCACTGTTATTCAATTGAGTCAGTGGAACATGATCATATTTTGCGAATCTGGAAGATTTCCACACATACCTTTGCTCGGACGTTATCGAAAGATGGAGGGCTGACAATCGAAAAACAGATCAAGAATACATCTGTTTGGGGGTAGGAAAGCGGGCGCAGTCTATCATAATCTTCTTGTCCAGCAGTATCCCATAAACCTAAGCTTATTGGCTTTCCGTCAACCATCACGCTGGCAGAATAATTATCGAATCTAGCTAAGTTAGTGACCAGCCTGTTGTAACCAAGCATCCAAACTCACACAGTAGGGATGTATTCTCCAGGAAATGCATTAGTAGTGTACGAAATCAGGAGACATGTCTGTAAAAATAATGTAAGTGATTGAGTTGATTATAAGACTGATAAACTGGAGAAGTACCTTGCCAACAGCTCCATCTCCTGTCACAACACACTGTTCGCAGATAAGGTCAGTTTCCTTGCTCAACAAACTGTGGAATCGATATTCCCGTATGATATAATGAATCTGACCTTGAGCGATTGGGTTCCTGGTGCTGCCATTTTCCGATCTTTTGAGATGATTTCTAGAGTTTGCTTGTGTTGATGGGTGCGTATCCGAGGATGAAGGAGTCGGATGGTTGTGTTATTTTTTGGTAGGATCGTCCTGCATGATTATTAGAACTTTGGACACAATGGAAACTGTCTGTACTGGTCTGTACGAATAAAGAACAAGATGTATCAAATCGAAGATGCATGGAGATGTACCTTCTTCAGATGTCCTGATTTTCAGAGTAATGGATGTTGTTTTCAATTAAGGAAGCAAGTGCAGAATTGATTGATTGTAGTAGTATCAGGGTTTGATTGATTCAATTCGATGTTGATTATATGGTGAATGCCGATGATTTAGTTATTATTTACTTGAGTTGATAAGGAAGACGGATCGATTGATGATGGTGTCAATATTGTGTAAAAAGTAATTCGATCGACAGCAAGATGAGGAAAGTCGCAATAATGGATTAAAAAGCGAGCAAGACTGCTATGATCTGTTGTTGAGACAAAGCATGAAGCCTGAGCGCGGCAGGCTACTGAAGACATGAGGCAGATCTGTAACTACAAGCTTACGATAGAGCCATTTATCACGGGTTTCTTAGCGCCGCTGAGCTTACAGGGGACTAAGCCTATTAAAGCGCGTGAAGTATAAACACCATAATTTACAAACGTAAAAAGAAATCTACATAATAAAATGAAGTCGTTTTGAAATGAGTAAATCGATATCAAATATAGAATATAAGAGGAAATCGAGAGAGATTATTATTAACTAATTAATAAGTAAAATAATAGAGTATAAGAATAAGAAAGTTATCTTATCTAGAATTATATTATCTTTAATCTAATAAAGTACTATCCCTTTGACCTATAAAAGAAGAATTCTTAAGTCTATATTATTATTAAGTGATTAAAGATAGATTATAGATTATAGAATTACTTTTAATTTTTAAGGTTATTTCTTATAAATTATTCCTTATAAAGTATTACTTTATAATATTATTTATTATAGTATTGTTTATTATAATAGTGTTTTCTATGATGTAATTTTTTATAATTAAAGAGTTATTTTCTTAATAATCGTATTATTTATAAGATAGAGTAGTAGTTATTTAAAATATCGTAAAGGCTTTCGAATCCTATTATAATTATAGGGCAATATTATAGGGTTGTAAAAGCTGCTTTATTACTATCTAAAGAGACTATACTACTTATAGGTATCTGTTATATAAGCTATACTATCATAGTGTTGTGTGTTATAATAATTTAAATTCTAGATTTAATATAAAGAATTATTTATCGTACGTCTTATAAGAAGTAATATAAGTATCGTAGGTCATAGGCTAATAGTATATAATAGAAGCTGGCTCTAATTAACGACTAAAATGGATTATATAAGCAGTGTGACACGTGATATTAAAGAATCTGTATTGAATTAAATTTCTCTCTTATTTTATATTCAAAAGGAAAAAGACCTCTTTTTATGCTTTTTCCTACTAATTTAACTTTTCCGCTTTTGTTAATCTCTTGTAGATCTCTTCCTAATCCGTTCATTCTTTCGAAATAAAGCCCTTTTTTGTTTTCTTTATTTTACAGCCGTTTTCGTATTTTATAGCCGTTTTCGAATTAATAATCGTTTTCGAATTAATAGTCGTTTTCGGATTAATAATCGTTTTCGGATTAATAATTGCTTTCGTAAGCTTATAAGCGATGATCATATGATCTGATTATATAATAGGCTAATATTAGATTGAATGCCTTTAAAAAGATATATATATTATATTATTTTTTGATTAAAATAATAATAAGAATAGGCTTAAAGATTAACAATTAAATAAAAGAACTATACTAGGGAAGAAAGGTCTTCCTAATGAATTAACCTATATTATTGGATGGACTTTATAAGGTGTATACACATAATATGTAAGGGGATTAAATAGTATTATTATTCTTGCTTACCCCCTTTATACGAAGGGAGTAGATAGCTATATATATTTAGATATGATTTTATTCCACTTACACTTGAAAGGTAGAGGTAGAGTAAACACATAGTTTGTTATATGGTTTACTTATATATTCCAATATAGGCTTTACTTTTTCTTTTTTGTATAAAGTACATTTGTACAAATCCTATTATCAATTTGAAATTTGTAATAGGCAATTACTATATCAATTAGTTCAAATTTTGTATCTATAGATTTATCAAACGAGTGTAGAGAATCTGATTTAAATCAATTAAAACATTGTATTAAAACCTATCAAAATCTATCAAATCTATTAAGGTTTTATATTATAAATAATC